AGGGGGGGGGGGGAGGGGGATTGTGATGGGGTGCTGTGGTTTTTGTGTGTGGAAACTTGTGGGAGGTCTACTTCTACTTCTACTTCTATTCTCCACTACTGTAGCTGGTTAGGAGGATGAGTACTGTATGAGTACAATATGAGTACGATATGAGTATGAGTACTTGCTGTTACAGTGCCATACTTGTACCGTATCTATTGTCTGACTAGACTAGGTACATAGTAATCTTACAGTACTTAGGTTTGTAAGGCGATGGTTGGAATTCTTGGACTTACTCCGTACTATACCGTCCGTGCTGAATAAGGTGAGGAAAGGAGGGGAGGGAGATGTAGTGTATAGTATAGTATAGTATTGCCATAACCCCTTTTTTTCTTTTCTCCTTTTTTCTTGTTCTTTTTTTCTTTTTGATTTATTGATGCTTGATATTCTGGGGTATTGAAATTAATATTTGAGATACGGTAGATAGATGGGGCAATTTAATGCCTTGGCTTTTGGAAATGGGTAATTTTGGAAATTCTACGGGGGGAGGCAGGGTACTTGGCGTGTTTTTAGAAGGAAAATTTTGGGGGGTACTGGTACCGGTATTTTGATTTAGGCTACGGATACTGGTACTTTGGAGATTGGGAGGGGCTAGGGTAGGGTAGGAGAGGGGGTATCCTTGGGGAATTATTGTATTGGAACTGGTATTGGTGCTGGTTTGGTTCAAGGAGCTGTACCGTCGGTTTGTATATCTGAAGTGACTGAAGTATCCCCTAGCGCCGATGATGGTTTTTGGTACGAGTGCTAAGGTTTATACGACCTTGAGATATGAGTAATTAAAGCTACTATAAGCATCCTCTAGCCATAGCTGTACAATAGTTTTACAAGAGTAAGTAAAATCTGAAGTTGAGGGGTTTGAATGAATTCGAATAGTAATCTTACAGGAAAAAGGGATACCTCAGAGCTGTGAACCCAACGAGTACTCGAGTAATGGTAGGAAGATGTCATGTTTGGGTACCTAGGGTTGGGTGCGTAAGGTTGCGAGGGTGGAGGGTTTGGATCTACAGTGCAGGACCTGGTTGGTACAGCAGGTTTGTTGCGCCCTATGTAAAGTTTAAAATCTTGTCGTTAGGGTTGATGCTGGTATTGCTTGTGCCAGTAACCCTTTGTTAGTGCCCTACTAGTGTGAAGGAGATAGATAAGCTTACTCGTGTGGGAGCGAGTTGACAGGAGGACTTGAGACATGGGAATAGGTGTGTTGGTGTGTTGGTGATAGGTCGGTCATGTTCAGGGGTGGGGACTAGTTTCTTACATTGTTGGTATCACTGATAAGAGCTGGATGATAAGGAGATGCTGGATTTTGTCTGGAGGATAGGAATCAAGATGGGAGATGGGAGATGGGAAGTCAGATGTATGGTTGACAGAGGTTGACAGATCGGAAATTAGATAAGTTTCATGTTTGGAAATGTAGTAGTGAATGAATAGACGGTTTACATTGAGGTTTCTAAGCGGAAACCATAGCCGGGATATCCGGATATCCCCTTTCTAACCGAGCCAGACGAGATCACAGAATATGGGTTTTCTAGGTAATTTGAAGTTCAGTGATTGAAACATGGGCATATGCAATCTATTCTATTGTTATATATGCAAAAAGGAAGAAAATGGCTTGATATTCAAGGGGTAGATGGTCTTTTCAGCTGGAAAGTCCACCGCCGTTCACTGCCAAATGGTGTTTCCCGGCCCCTTCACCAACCTGACCGATGAGGCCAGAATGTGACTAAGACCGTATCTAGCCTAGTGGAGTACCAAGAAATGTCTTTCAAGTGTGCAGCTGGTTCCTGACATAGATTTGCCTTCTACAAACCCCATCATCATTTTGCAGTCCACCTTGCGCGACGTTGTACCAGGGAGGAAGTTGAGAGAAGTTGCTGTTTGTGGAAGGAAACTGGAAACCGCAAAACACGCAGGAATCTGACAAACATCCTCTACCAAACCATCGCACTGTAAGTACTGAGTCTCTCTTCCCGCAGTTGATCGGTCGTGGTCGGTCGCATCCTCCCTTTCTTTGCGCCAGCGGATGGTGGATACGAAAGCGACTCATCAGCAATTCTCACCAAGCGGCGGCAACAACCACGACCTTTGTTCCACAGCACCACAACCGCAGCGAGCCTCCTGCCAGCATCCATATTATTCGCAGCACACATCATCCAGAACTCGCCAGTCACACAAGATTTATGCATCCTGCAGCCCGCGCAGATGCTGGTCATGCAACGCCGACTTGTTGATCCCAGACTCCCTCTGAAGCAACATCATTAAAGGAAGGACGTCGGTCGTCCACCAACATGCCAGTCACAAGGGTTGAGGAATGGCTACAATCAGACCGTGATTGCGACCGACGGGATGCTCATCCTCATGCTCCTCCACACCGCTGCCGCAGAATCATCAAGGAATGGACGACGGAGGATGGCGCATTTGTGACGTGCTATGCTGACGATGGGACTCAACAGACACATAAACTAGTCGCCATGTCTTCTCTTTCGCGTCGTGCTTGCTACAAGTGCGGAAACGTTGGCCACTATGCTGAAGTTTGCTCCTCTGCTGAGCGTCTCTGCTACAATTGTATGTACATTCCATCTTCAAATCCAAATCCTCCCTTGTTGCACGAAGCCAGCTAACCTTTCTCTCTTCGTAGGCAAGCAACCAGGTACTACTCGACCTTTCTCAATATCACCTTTCCATTACCGACATCGTCTAACATTATAATAGGTCATGAATCCAATGGTTGTCCCTTGCCACGAACCACTGAGGCTAAGCAATGCTATCACTGCCAGGGTTTAGGCCATGTCCAGGCCGACTGCCCAACTCTCCGACTCAGTGGAGCTGGCACGGGTGGTCGATGCTATAACTGTGGTCAGCCCGGTCATTTGGCTGTAGGTTCTTCAAATTCTTGTTAGTTGCACAGATACTGATGGTTTACAGCGTTCTTGCCCTGCTCCGGCTGGTCCAGGTCCTATTGGTGGTGCTGGTCGTGGCATCGGTGCGCCTCGAGGAGGTTTTGGTGGCGGATTTGTTCCTCGTGGAGGCGGACTTGCTGGAGGCCCACGCCCGGCAACATGCTACAAGTGTGGTGGTCCAAACCATTTCGCTCGCGATTGCCAGGCTCAAGCCATGAAGTGCTACGCTTGCGGAAAGTTGGGACACATTTCTCGGTAAGCCTTCACATTACCATGTTATGAAACCACGGGTAAACTGACTAAATATAGTGACTGCACTGCGCCTAACGGTGGACCTTTGAACACGGCCGGCAAGACTTGCTACCAATGTGGCGAGGCAGGTCACATCTCTAGAGATTGTAAGTTTAGACTTTCCAACCCCGCGTTTGTTTCATGTTTATACCTGTGGCCCCATTATGCTCAAGTCATAGCGAACCCTGCCTTGCAGAGCACGTGTTTGGAGATCCAAAATTCCCCAACTAACTTTTGATATAGGCCCACAAAAGGCTACCAATGGAGACCACACTGCTGATGGTGTCGACCTTGGTGTTCCGGTTGCCGTTGCGCCCATTCAACCTATTGCATAGGTCGGTGCTTAATTGGACCAACACAGGGCAATAGTATACGATGAACTATTGTGACCGACCTGTGACATTTTACACGATCATCGCTTTTCATATCTGTATTTTTGGACACAACAAGGATCGTCTTCCCGCTCATTCTGTTCTGCATAATGCCCGGCTCGGCATACGAAAATCGTTATTTTTCACTTACGGATTGCTTTTCATGGCGCCTGGTCTTCGCATGTTTTTTCTCCATACGAACCCCCAAAAGCTTTTGCACGATAATTCATTTCCTACCTTTACGACTTGGCAACCCCGGTAGATACCATTTTGACCTTTCAACAACGTGGCGTCAACACATTAATTTCATGTTTTCTCGGGTAGAAATCAGTGTATTCCTTCTTGTCCTGGGCAAGGGTGGTAGGACGCTTTTGAAACTACATGGAGATGGCGGAGGCGAACAGCGAACAAAAACCTGGTGTAGGTAGCAGCGGAGAGGCAATGGAAGGGTGACGGAATGGGTAAGAAGATGCTGAGTGGGTGGTGGGATAGTTAATAGCAGCGTGATTTCTGAATCGAGGCTTGAGTCCAAAGTAATAAAGATTCCCGACAAATATTTGGTGTTTTACTTGTGATGTTTTATGGCGAGTGCGATTCTTGACTAATGATGTATGTATATTGGGAGTAGGGATTCTGTACTGTAGATGAGTAAGGAGATAGTGTTGGAAGCATGGCGTGAGTGATGCTGTCAACTTGTTGGGGGAAGTCGCGAAAGCGGGCCGGTCCAGGCAGCCGAGCCGATGCAACTCTTCCCTCAGCTCTTCCTCTCTGCCAACTCGGATTCAACAACACCAATCCGACACTCGTACCTTGATCTCACGCGTGTCTTCCGCCGTCGCGGCTCTCTTCTCCGGACCAAAACACCTTTCATGTCAGTCATTCACGTCTGGGGATCATCGTCATCTGATTTCTGGGCTACTGCTCAGTTCATCCTTACTCTCTTGACGGTTGGTGTCGTTGGGCTGGTTGGCGGCGTGATTTTCGCGGCGGGGGTGAAGTGGAGGAAGGCGAGACGGGGGATTCTTGCGTACTGAGTGGGCGAGAGACGCGTGTTTGGTGGTACTTTTGTGAGGGTGTGTCCTGAGCTTTACGCGTCGAAGTGGAGAAGAAGGTATCAAGCAAGAGAAGTCCCTGTCAAGATGGCGGGAGGTTCTGTTAGTGATGATGAGGAGGTATGGTATCTATCTTCCTTGTAGGTTGTAGGTTGATGGTGCTGATGGTGAAAAGGTTGGCATTCTTGATATTGATGAGATTCAGGCTCATGGTATGTTTGTTCTGCTTCGGTATGATTGGAAGAGATGTGGACTATGAGACTGATGGGCGTAGGTATTGGAGCTACGGATATTGCGAAGTTGAAGGCTAATAACATTCATACTGTTGCGGTATGTCTTTTTTCACTTCTTCGTGGTCGTGTTCTAATTTTACGCAGAGCTTGATTTCATGCACTACCAAACGTCTCCTGAAGATCAAGGGCTTCTCTGACATCAAGGTCGAGAAGATCAAGGAGGCTGCTAAGAAGATGTCGGTGGGTAGTTCTTTTAATACTTGTTACTGGTCGCTGCTGATTCATTGTAGCCAGGTGCAAGTGGCTTCATCACGGCTGCTGAATTGGGTCAGGTTCGAAAGAAGTGTATTCGCATTTCTACTGGCAGCAAGCAGCTTGATGCTTGTTTGAACGGGTAATTTATCCTCGATGATCCTACGGTCTTTTTCTGACTAGTCGCAGTGGTTTCCAGACTATGAGTATCAGCGAGGTCTACGGAGAGTTCAGTGAGTTGTAGCGTAGTTATTCCTTTTGGTCACGGTTAACCAGGAATAGGATGTGGCAAAACCCAACTCGCACATACCATGGCAGTCATTGCCCAACTCCCAAAGGCAAGTCTTGCAAACTCGCATAGTCGCGTGTTGCTAATATATTCTAGGAGATGGGTGGTGCTGAAGGAAAGGTTGCTTATATTGGTTAGCCTAATCTCCCCCCCTCTTTCTGCCACACCCTCGCTAATCCTGTCGGCAGATACAGAAGGCACCTTTCGACCAGAGAGAATCATGGAAATTGCCGAGCGGTTTGGAGGTAAGCTCTCTCACCACTTTCCCCAAGAAGTTCTAGTGCTAACGATAATAGTTGATCCTGATCAAGCATGCGAGAACATTGCCTATGCCAGAGCCCAAAATAGTGAGGTAAGGTTGAAGTGCGACACATTAGTGACCTGAGTATATCTAATTTGACTCCGACAGATGCAAACCGAGTTGCTCGAGGCCCTCGCATCAAACTTCGCAACGAATGAATACCGTCTCCTTATTATCGATAGTGTCATGGCACTCTACCGAACGGATTACTCAGGTCGTGGCGAGCTCTCTGAACGTCAACAAGTCCTTGGATCTTTCCTTCGACGTGCCACTCAAATGGCTGAAGAGTTCAATCTTGCCGTCCTCATGGTATGCCACTTCTTTCTTCTACATTCATATTGATGATGGGCTAACCCGGGGGTATTAGACCAACCAAGTCATGTCTGATCCTGGTGCTTCCGCGCTCTTTGCGGGTGCTGATGGAAGAAAGCCGGCTGGTGGGCATATTCTTGCGCATGCTTCTACGACGCGTCTCCTTCTGAGAAAGGGAAGAGGTGAGGAGCGGGTTGCTAAGATTGTTGATTCGCCAGGTGGGTTATATCGCACCCTCCCCAACTATCATCTTTGGTTTTCATTTACTAAAATGCAATTATGTAGATTGCCCCGAAAGAGAGGCTACGTATATCATCACGACTGGTGGTATCAATGATCCCGAGAAAGCGTAGTCTTGCTCTGGTGTTTGCTTTTCTCCCCTGACGGATAATGATGGATGATGGTGATGATGATGGAATGGACGATTATGATGGATGATATATTGCATTTCTGATTTGCTTGAATAGAAGAACATGAACTGGCGCTGGAATATGGATGGATGGATGGACTGATGGATTTGATACCCCCTTTTATCGCTTTCCCTGGATTTGCTTGTACTGTGTACAGATGAAATAGATATGACATAACACTACAACAAAACAAGACCTTTCTTGCGGGTATGAGTTATTTGTGGTGGAAGTGAAGGGTGTATTTCTTGGGTATTCTTTCTCCATACTCTCCGTAAATATTGGTGTTAAACTCCTCTTTTCTGGCTTCTTGGTCTCGTTACTTGTTGGGGTTTCTGCTGCTTATTTGGGTTTCCTCGGTCGGTAAGCTGTTAGGATTCATGGAGTGACTACTCTTTCTCTGTGGGCTGGAAAGATAAGTTATTAGATAATTTAGTTGGAGCACAAATACTAGAGAGACAAGAGATAAGCTCTTCTTAAGCGGCCTGGGCGTATTCTTGTTTGACTTTCGTCTCTTCGTCGTACAGTAGCTTGAGTTTGCTGCGGGTTGTGCACTACCAGCCAAAACTCTCCATCCCTTAGGATCAGGGAAAAATATTATATGACATGAACCACACCAAACCTAGTTTCCATCATGATAACTTATACCCCCTTTCTACATCCATGGCACGTTTCTCGTCGCAGCAGAAGCAATGCTCATAAAGGAGCACTCCAATAGACCACAGGCATAGTAACGCAAGAGTTCCGCCTAATAGATACCACCAAAATGATTTCTTTGTGTGGTCCGCAAACGGAAAGACCAGGAGGCCAAAAGCGGTGCAAAGCCATACAGGCGCCAAAACCAGAAATGAATTCGCTAGCTTTTCCCACGCTTTGTGGTTTGGCCTTCCTACAGACGCTTGTATGTCACGTAACGAGTATTCAGTTTTGTCCATTCGTTGTTTGACGACTAATTCCATGTGTCGAAGCTCACGTGGCATCATATACTTCTTCTATAAACCGATTAGTTACAGAAAGAAATTGAGGGTTATAAAGATTATTCCATACACTTCTTTTGTTTAGATGATACCTCCCCAGTCCTCTCCAGTATAATAATAAACTCCCGTGTGGACATGGTAGAAATACCCGTGGATCTTAGCATGACTTACCAAGTGACCCGTTTCCTATTCTATGTAAACCTCGATCCCACCGACTACACCGGGCCATTTCTTGAATTTCCGTTCCAACTTATCGATAGATTGGTACGCCAGTGCCGTTCAGTCCCAAACCCAACTCCCGGCAATTTCGTCTATTTCTGCCGGATTATAGGACGTGTGTTTTCTCAGAGAATTTCGAATCCAATCTTGCGCCTCCAAAACCGTGTAATACTCGAGTGTTTTTTTTCCTTTGAGTCGCATTTCCCGAGCCATTTCTACTATGTCCTTGCGCGGAAAGACTTTAAATTCTTGGGCTGGTTCTTCGAATGCTGGGTGGGGGTAGGCGAAAATTGGTAGATTCTTTTTAGTGTTTTCAAATCGGCTAAGCAGAGGTTGTCTTTCAGGTGGTTGCGTTTCGCTGGACTTGGAGTAAATCCAGTTGGAAACCTTCTGTATCCATCTAACCATTGCAGTTTCTATCAATCAAGAGTTTCGTATAGTTGAAAGGTTAAATTTTGGGAGAAAGAGCGTCGGACTCGCTTGGTATTTAAAGTTATTAGGTATACTCGCTAATTTAGCAGGTATAGATCGCCTCTGCTTGGTCTATACTTAGGTAGTAGCTTATAGTTCTAAGACGAACCGTTAACCTACTTGAAACAACCTGGTGAACCTAACCGTGTTGTACACGCTGGGTGTTCTAGAACCACGGGGGATAAACAAGTGACCCCGCGAACAGATCGTCATCGCGCCTAAAAACAAAAGCCGTGCATTTGTTTGAACAGTAATAAGCCTAATTACATGGACGAAATAGGAAAGTCATATTATTGGGAATCTTTCCAATTATGAATATATCGAATTAATCTCAGCTGGTACTGTGATAAAACCAAGAAATGTTTAGCAGTGACAATATCCGTTGACGATATCGTCAACAGAGTCCTCCATCTGATCCACCAAGCACGTGAACAATTTCTATACTTGACCTTCGGGCTGGCCGTGGGGTATGCATAGACGTCATCTGCAACATTCACGAGTGGGGTGTGCCAAGACATGTTTGAAAGTTAGATTATTTACATCTTACACCTCTCAGAATCACCGCCTCTTTACCCAATGTCTCCTTGATATACAGCAGAAACCAGCATGCCTGGTATCGTCCGCAAGATTCTGATCTTCGCTGCGCTTGATGGCTTGGTCTTGCAGCCGTTGTCGCATAAGGGACAGCGTCCTGCCTCGGCGACCAAAATCGCATACAATGAGGCCAATATTGGGCCTGCGTTGAAGCAGCGGGAGGGTGAAGATGAGGGAAGATGTTTTGAGGCTTTTGGAATTGTGGGTGAGTGTTGCCATGGGGTTTTTGGAGGGGTTTGATAGTGGGAACGTGCTGGGTGGAGAAGAGCGACCCCGCTGACGTATTCTCGGTCGAATAGGATTGTTGACCGTTTCGAAAACCTCCTTTCTTATTTCGATTACGAGACGTCAACAAGTCGCTCAGATACAAGGGAAGCCAATTTATGTGATTACCGAGGTGGCCGTTACCCCACTTGCTTCTAGAGCAGAAGCCAGCGCCTCGATCGAACAGACCAAGACTGCATTGCAGAAAGGTGCCGTCGATGGACATGAGCTGGACGAACCGGATAGTGAGGATGAAGACGACGGAGCTAGAGGAGGCAGCGATGATGTCGATGACCAGGAAGCACAACCTGTGGTGATGAACTCTAGCTCGAATGGGCATAAGATGACAAGTAGTGTTGCAGAGGATGTGATCTCCAAGAAGGGTGGCTATGGAAGATTTGCCAAGGAGTGGTTTTCGAAGAAAGGATGGACTGCCGACCAGAGACGAAACCTCGGAATGACTGCATCAGAAGATCAGAATGCAGCCCTAAAGACGGGTGAAAGCGAGGCAGCTACGCCCATAGGCAGTGATGCCGGCGATCAGATTGACAAGAATGATGTTTTGGACGAGTCTGGCAAGAGAGCCAAAGAAGTTGCCGGCGCCCTAGTACCAAAATTACTACGAACGGCGCAGTTATACTTTGGCTCTTCGCGGAGTTTCTACTTTTCTTATGATTATGATCTTACTCGAAGTTTTCTGAATCGTGGAGAGGCCGCCAATACGGAGCTACATCTCCATGAGACGGCCGATCCGCTGTTCTTCTGGAATCGACATATTGTACAGCCTTTTGTGGATGTTGGGCAAGGTCCTTTGGTTTTACCTCTCCTACAAGGATATGTCGGACAAAGGGAATTTCAGATGGATATAGATCCCCCACAACCAATTTTGGTTCTAGATGGCGCTGAAAAGTGCTCTATGGAAATGAGGGATTTGTCACCTCGAATGTCCCAAGAAGGCAGAATTCCAGACGTGGATGGTGCTTTTGGGAACTTGAGGTATCGAAGCAAAAGCCCGATCAGACGGGATACAATGAAATCGTTTTCATTAACTTTGATATCCCGGCGATCAGTGAAACGTGCTGGCCTCAGATATTTGCGACGAGGGGTAGACGAGGATGGTCATACTGCTAATAGTGTTGAAACAGAACAGATATTAGCAGATTCGGAGTGGAATTCGACAAGCAAAGTTCACTCGTTTGTGCAGTTGCGAGGCAGCATACCCATTTTCTTTTCACAAACACCGTATTCATTCAAACCAGTTCCCCAGATTCAGCACTCTGTAGAAACAAATTATAAGGCATTTAACAAACATTTTGACAACATATCCGCACGGTACGGCCGTGTTCAGGTGGCTTCACTAGTCGAGAAACACGGCCCTGAAGCTATTGTTGGCGAACAGTTCGAAAAGTTTGCCACTCGGCTAAATGAGTCAGGAGGGATAGGCGAATCGAAGGTTAAGTTTGAATGGTTTGATTTTCATTCAGCTTGTCGGGGCATGAAGTTTGAAAATGTAAGTTTACTTATGGATAGTCTCGGAGATCAACTTGATGAATTTGGATTTACGGTGGAGGCCAACGGCGTCCAAACATCAAAACAAAGTGGCGTTTTAAGAACCAATTGTATGGACTGTCTCGATCGAACGAATGTAGTCCAAAATTACATTGGAAAACGAGCACTGGAACAGCAGCTCAAAGATGAGGGTATCGATTTCAGTCTTCAGGCCGACCAAACGAATCAATGGTTCAATATGTTATGGGCGGATAATGGTGATGCGGTATCTAAACAGTATGCTTCAACTGCGGCTATGAAAGGCGATTTTACTCGTACACGGAAACGAGATTATAAAGGGGCTATAACGGACATGGGTCTCTCGATATCAAGATTCTACAGCGGGTAGGTTGCCACATAAACAAGCTTACGTTTCATTCGCTAATTCCTTCACAGCATCGTGAATGACTTCTTCAGCCAAGCAGCAATCGACTTCTTTCTCGGGAACATGTCAAGTTTAGTCTTCAATGACTTCGAATCTAACCTCATGTCTCGAGATCCAGCCGTATCCATGCAAAGGATGCGTCAACAAGCCATAGAAGCCTGTCAAAAACTCGTCATAGCGGATGAAGACGAGGAAATGATCGGTGGATGGACATTACTCACTCCCAACGTGCCCAATACCATTAAATCCTCGCCCTTTGAGGAGTCAATCCTGCTCCTCACCGATTCAGGACTTTACTCCTGTCGTTTCGACTGGAACATGGAGAAAGTCTCCTCCTTTGAGCGTGTTTCTCTCGATCATATCATGGGGATCAAGTACGGGACGTATATCACATCAACCCTGACCGCCTCCCAAGCCGACGAAGCACAGAATGTGGGATTTGTGATCACCTACAAAGTCGGCAAGAACGACATTACACGTATCAATACACGCTCCATGGCGAACGTTGCCCGTCCCGAAGTCGATTTCCTAGGTCTGAATGCCGCCTCTGTGCCCGCGCCGTTGGCTACTGGTATCGCAGCGTTGATCGGCCGTCCGCAATCGCCAGCGGATAGGGTCCTCGCGCTGAAGGCTCTGTACACCCGCTCGGCCGTGTCCAAGGATGCGGACGCCACCCAGGGGAATGCGATGAGTGAGCTGGAGCAAGTCACGGGTATCTGTGAGGAGATTGAGAGGATGATTCGTGCTGGGAGGGTCGTTGAGGTGGGGAATGAGAGGGAGAGGGAGGGCTTGGTGGAGAGGGGGGAGATTATCAGTCTAGCTGAAGCGCGGAAGTCTACGGGGTTGTTGGAGCAGCTGGGACATAGCTTTAAGAAACTTATTTGGGCGTGAGTGGGAGGTTGGAGTGGTATTCTTTGTTCTCCTGCCTCTGTCTCCTATTCTGAAGAAATTGGACTGCGGTACTTCACGTAGTACATACAGGGAGGAAGGGTAAGTGAGAGGGAGAGCTTCTGTTACCGCAGCCGAGGACTGATGAAGAGGGGATTGAGGCGCGAAGTGGGTTGTGTAGTGTACATAATTGTGGAATAGAAATAATATATACCCCTCATAAATCGGTCCCGTACTATGAGTTGTAATTTCACAGAGGTCCCTCGCTTGCTTGCCTTGCTTACTTGATCGCTCGCGTTTATCTGGGGTGCATGGCATGTATGTATATCCATATATCCCATCCACGCTTGAGGGAAAAGAAAAGATGGCAATGGCATCATAGTGGTCTGACATTTCTTCAAGACGTAGGGCGTAAAGACAAGACAAGGCGTGGCGTCTCCATCCCGATTCCATCCCCTACAGTTGTTTTTCCCCTCGCTACTTTTTTTCACCTATAATCTACACTACACTACACTAGGTAAGATAGCAAAGAATCTCTCAAGTGTGGCTTTGCCCTTGCGAAACCTCACGCCCTCCACGTTGTCAAATCTTTATAGACAGGTTCCAAGTAAACCGCTTAGATTAGCTTAGTCCCGAAGGGTTGCCTTGTGCGAGTGTGGCGCATATCCCTCTTTCGAGAGGTAGAGTTAGTTTGGAGCGTCCAATGACCACGGATTTCGAGGGACGTGTCAGCGCTTTGCGATTGACGAGTAGCAAATCAAATCGAAGCACGATGAGAAGAAAATACTGTAAGGGTATGGATGTGGATGTGGATGTAGATATGAGGGGTTGATTGTCAAAGTATAAGGGGCAGAACAGGGCGCAGGTGGATTGGTATGGTTGGTGGTAGGCTTGCTCTGCAGTCCAGGTCCAGGGCGGAAAGAGGTACGGTACGGTATGTTGTGTGTGATGGATATGTGGATGGCTTTGCAGGACAGGGTGGGATGGATATGCACCGTTCATGCAATGTGATGATTCACAATCCCTCTATATCCAGGGTCCTGCTTTTCACCCCACCAAGACTCCCTTGTTGCCTTTTTATCTTCTCACCACCATCACCAAATTTCTTCGCTTGTGTCTTGTCGACTCTGTCCTCCTGTACGAAGGCGTGATGAGGCGACGGACCGTGTATGGAGAAGAAGGGAGAGGTGGGGTGGATGAGATGAGATGACGATCTGCAATTGAAGCGGGTGTGGGTGGTTGGTTACATCCAATAATAAGCTTACAGGTAAAGTCAGGGGTGCAAGAAGCTTGAAAGAGACGCAAGTTCCTGATATGGGGAAGGTATCCTGATTGAATTTCTGATAATCTTTTTGACTGAAATGGAGGAGGAATATGAGGACGGAATACCGAGTTTGGTGTTCAAGGAAAGATGGGTGTCAGACTGATATTGTAAGATCAGATACTGTAGGTACGATATGCTTGGATCTGGAGACAGGCTTGGCGTTGGAATTTTTGCCTTTGAGGCTCAGATGGAAGGAGCCACGTCGAAGATTTCTACTAGAAAAAAAGATCGTCAAGGACCAGAATGTGGAGAATTTCAGTACTTACAAAAATAAACGCAAGGACAATCCGGTATCGTGACTTGCTCTCGTAAACACCGAGGAGGAGCTCGGAGAAACAACAATCTGACAGGACCCCTACTGTAGAATCCCAATGTTCTCTGAGGGATCGCCCCGGCTTCGATGCATAACCCTAACACCAATGGGTACAGCCGATATCAGCAGGCTCTCCTCCACGCCTCCACGAGGTGCTGGGCCGTGCCGGGACAGCAAGGCGGTCAGTGGTTAAAATCTCCCCAGCCCTTCCGCAAATAACACGCCATGTCAATCGTATCCAGATCGCTGTCAACCCCCATTTGACTGGGTATGCGTATTTTTCCGCCAACCATAGTGGTACGTGAGGAACCCGAGACGCAAATGTAGATCTATATCTTTAAGTTTAGCTCCACTTTGGAGGCTTAAAGGGTCCCCAAGCTTTTCAACCGGCGTCTAAGGTAGGAACGAGGGACCTCGTGGGACAACATGTACACCGCTCAGCAAGATAAGTAGCCTATCGGTACCCCGTACGTGAATTTGGCATTACCGCTTCGCATCAATGGAAGTATATTTTGAGAAACGGGCAACGGAGTGCGTCCTAGCCTTCGTCGGAGTTCGACGTATGTTTGCAGGACATTTGGAATGCTGTACTTGTGCGTCAATGAGGTCGAGATAATTGCCTGATCAAGAGAAATGCAAAAGGACCCTCTCCATAAGCAGAGTAGAAATAACGCCTTGGTTGCATGTGAGACGATCTGATTGGATGACTTCTACGTCCATAACCTGGAGATAAACTCGTCTTGCTGGTTTTGAAGAATTATTTGAGTAGCCTTGCAGGTTCAAAGATGGGGTTATGAACGTATTGCAAAATGAAATTGGGTGGAGAAAAGAATCCTGCCCAATCGAGAGGATCAAGCAAAGACAACCCCAAGAGCACTGTTATAGTAACCATCGAGTGAAGTGGCATTGACCAATCCAGAGCAAAGACCATAGATGATTACTTAGGAGTTCACTCCGTAAGAGCTTGCGACTCCACAATCCCGCATTCCTCCCGTAGGCCAAAGACAGAGGGCCGCAAAGGTCCGCAGATGCAGCCGCCCATTAAAGAAGCACACAGATGTTACGATCCCACTACCGACATCGATGATCCATATTGCACTCCGTCCATAGACTCAAGATTTTCCCGGGATTCTTCCTACCACCGTTGATCGTTGTTACCCGTGTTTGAGCCACTTCGGTACTACTCTATGAATATAATTGTTTTGTCTGAATAGAAAATTCCAAAATACGAGAAATGCCCTTTTGGCAGCGTTCGTTTTTGCAGACATAGAGAAAGGAAGCCTTCAAGCTGAAGGGGCTGTGATGCATCAACAACAACCCCGGTCTTTGTGGCGATGGGGGGCTTCAGGATGCTCCTCTTGCCACGTGGCCCCCTACTTCACAGAGACTTGCCGTGAGATCGTAAATTGAGAAATACGATTGTCGTGGGATTAGAACCTCAAGATTTTCCCGTTCTTTGATGGTCAAATTTCAGATCCGTGCGAAACGGTCTGAGATAGCTGTGAGTAGGAAGTGCAACATCATAACGCCCTGTCAAAATCTTAATATCTCAAAAGATAAGTCAGACATGCAAAACCTACCATGCTGCATCCTATTTGCATGTTGGTATTGATGGATGAACAAAAACCGCCTGAGTCATCGAAAAGTGTATTACGTAGAGCACACTTCGCATCCCCCAGGAGAAGACCATGTCTCTGATTGGTAGATACGCCGCAGAAAAGTGCAGGCAACTTATGCAACCTTATTCCTTATCGGGAGATTCTGCTGGTCTGATTGATCACCAAGACCTGTTCTGCAACCTCGCTATGTACCTGGCCATCTTGGACTTAGAACAATGCTGATAGGAAAGACATCTCGAAGGCATTTTGTCATGGGACCAACAAGGCACCTATCAGTTGCCCGATACGATTCCCTGTCCAGGAATGTTTGACAACATATGAGTACGGGCAAGCTCTCATCCAAATTTGGCCTTACGGATTGAGAACCAAAATCCATCGTAGCACGTCGACGCAGCAATTGCGGATCGGTAGCTCCTTGAGACCCGAAGCTGTGGTTTGCCACGAGCACGGCAATGTACATCGTAGTAATTTGTCGAGGCTGTGCTTCCCTCAACCTTAGGGATTCGGAACTTTCATCTTATGCATCAGATATTTGGAACCATCTCGGATGAGAATTCGAACTGTTATCCCGATATGACGGGCCAAACTTGCCGTGCTTCTATCCGGCTGAATTCGTGGCTTCGAATTTGACAAGTAACCAAGCAGTTTCCCTCAACAACTAGCGGACAATATGCAAACATCGAACTAAATCCGATGCTGTCAGCCTGCATGAGTCCGAGAAAAATTCCAGGGTTGAGGGGTAGAGTGGGCAGCTTGGCATTCGAAGGTGCGTTGCATTCGCCAGAATCTTGCTTACGACAGCAGATTGTTGCATAGTAAGCACACCTAGAAGGCTCAACGTAAGCGAACCTACACGGGATTTCGAATTTAGGTAATGTTTTTTGGGATGACTTGAGTGGCCGATGGCTTTGGAAGGTCGGCATCTCCACCTCTTCCCACGTTTCGAGAAACCCTGGTCAATGCTACCAGCGAAGTTCAGCCCCATGTCGTTACTCACATCCTTATTTTCTGCGAGGGGAATGATTGGTGATTACATTTCCCCTTTGCGGAATAACTTCGATAGCGGAGACGGCAAGCGGCACGCAATAAATTCTGTGGTGTGGAGGATGAGGCCATACCAAGAATTAAAGATCCTGGGGCCGTTGGGGTCGATGGTACCGAGGAGGCAGCCTCGAGTCCATAAGGGCGTGGCCACCCATCTTTTGTTGACTTCAAAAGCCTTCTTATTTTCAAATCCAAAAGTACCGTCGAACCTCACACTTCTAGCAAAAGTATATTCCATCTTTGTGACCAGTCCTTGCCAACTAGTATCAAAGCTTCAACGCAATTCACAGCCAACCTTACTTAGCCATCGTGTCGAATTGTGTGCCATGGCTTCAGGATCGTATTCCCCAGAGGGACAGCACATGTCGTCGACAAGTGAACTCCTTCCAGGACTATATGATGGAACGTCAAGTGAATCTTCCGCAAGCTCCCCTCTGAATTACAATGTAAGCATCGCCAGGCCCGGTTTTCACCAGCCCATGGTCGACAAGGCTAACTTTCAAACAGGCTTTCGATAGTTCATATGGCGGGAATGGCTACATGTCATATCCCACATTTCCTATGCAATATTCCACACAAGATGGCGCTGCGCCCTTAGGGCTTATACCAGTCGAGTTGGAAATCGAAGGTCTATATGAAGACTACGACCGCAGAAGAAGGAAGAATGGAAGCGAGAAGATTGTATCTTCTCATGTACATTCGGTAGGTAATCCAATGGCTGCTTGGTGACACAACAAGCTTATCATTTCTCAGCGCCGCAGAGCTCAGAACCGTGCATCACAGCGAGCCTTCAGGGATCGGAAAGAGAAACACATGCGAGAACTCGAACAACGACTGGCTGAATTAGAAGGCCGACACACCAATCTCTCTCGTTCATACGAGTCGCTGCAGATGGAATACAGTAGCGTGAAACAAGAACTGGATTCTCTCAAGAATGAAAGTTCACGAGGCGACGGGTCGTCGAGGAATTACCACTCGTCCAAGACGGTGGAAGACTCTCAGCGCGAGATTCTCGATCCATTACTCTTCGATGTATCGGCCTTCTGTTTTGATCAGGAAGATATTACCCATGGCCATGGAAGTGATTGAGCGAGCGAGCGGTGGTGTGATGTGACGGACATAAGAGAGCAATATACGACGTAATGCGAAGCCATGCAATGCAATCTGGGATCTTTTTGGAGTTTGAAGTTAGGAGGCGCCTATCAGGTTTGGAGGAAAAAACACATGTACAGCTTGATTGATTGGCGTTGGCAGGATGGTCTTTTGGTCCTGGAGGCGTATGCGGTGTTCGGAATTCTCCTCTGGGAATGGTTGCTGTGAATGGTCCAGCTGCAGTTGCAGTTGCAGCGGGGTCAGAGATGGACTCTGCATCTCTGGCCGCATTTATAACGATGGACTGCACTGCATCGAGTTTTTTTGTTAGGATCATGTACGCAGTGGAGTAGTATACGGCAAGGATGCCTATAACAGAACTTGGTCGATTGGATTGAATCACGATTGAAATGAAATCGTCATCATCCTCACTGTGACTTTCCGATAGCTGCCGTCTTCATTTTCCTTATCTGTGTGCGTGTGTATGTATGTGTGTGTGTCTGCTGTCGTGGCTGATTATCTCCGGAGTTCCATGTTGCCCGCCCATTTTCAGAACGCGTTGGATGAGGGAGCTCGAGGTTGATTGCAGCCGTAGCGCCGTAGCGTCGCAGCACATCTCAAGTCTCGACTCTGAACATTGTAGAATACCGCGTGCAGAGTGCAGAGTGCGGGGTTGACAACTTGATTCTCTGCTGCAGACAGAAATGAAGAAAAATAGATGAAAGATCTCGAGTTAATATCCTCGCGGGAGTACGACTAGAAGTTTCGCGACGGGACGCGGGTACTGACACGTGATCTCGGGTTAACTTTGGATTTCACCCCACCCGACTGCGCCTCAACCCCTCCATCCCCCCAAGACCCCTTTGGCCCAGATCTGGACTCCAGAGACACATATTGACATCTCCTGTTGCAATTTGCCAACAATTTGAAGCACTATGCTCATCCTCGAATCCCATAAAGATATCGCCACCAAGGCCAATGGCTTGGAAGGTTCTATGAGTGAGACAATGAAAATCTTTCTTACCCCTCCTTTCTAATTCTCTGCGGGGTTCGGCTTGAAACTTGAAGCGTGGAGACTGATGGCGTGGTGCTGCATTCTATAGGAATCTTCCTCTATCACCCATCTATACCAGGTTATCCAAATGCGTGTGTAAATCCAAAACTTGAATGCAATAAAACCTCACATCTCCAAGAACGATGAGCTGACTTGCACCTCAGACGTTTTCCCGGTGTCGTCTTGTTCTCGGAGATTTATCAGGGTAAGTCAAGTTGCTATAAATCACTGTCTGGTTCTATCCATCTATCTCCATAGAAATAGAGAGGTCGAAAATCTGGCACTGATTGTTTCGCTGTAGTCACCGGTCCAGTAGCACGCTTCGCTCGTCAGATTGCAGGTCAAGGCTATATTGTTGCAGCTCCATCCTCATATCATGAGTTTACAGGTCCTGAACCTTTGGCATATGATGTTCCTGGTACGGACGCCGGTAATGACTACAAAATTAAGAAGGTAAGATTCATATGCAAACTTGAAACTCTCAACATGAGTTGTCGATGTCAAGTAAATAACTCAATATTGCAGACGCTAGCGGGGTACGATGAAGATTCTACATTATCTATCGACACACTGCTATCACTTTCAACTTGTAATGGCAGAATAGGAGCTACAGGAATGGTATGTTCCATTGTTATGCAAAGAAACCTTTTCCCTCTTCGTCCCCCTCTGCATTTACTTCAAAACACTCTAACAAATTGCAGTGCCTCGGAGGCCACCTAGCCTACCGTTGTGCACTAGACCCCCGCGTCTCTGCAGTAGTAACCTACTTCGCAACAGATCTGCACTCCGCAACGCTCGGCGCGGGCATGAAAGACGACTCTCTTTCACGTGCAGGAGAGATCAAAGCCGAATTGGCGATGATCCACGGCACGAAAGATAACCACGTACCGCCTGAAGGACGGGATCTGATTCGGAAAACGCTGAGAGATTCGGGCGTGGTATTTTCGTGGTATGAGGTTGCTGGTGCCCAACGTAAGTCGAGTTTGTACTGGGAGGAAAGGAGGGTTGAAAAGATGCGGCTGATGAATTTATAGATGCTTTTATTCGTGATGAATTGTCGAAGGGAAGGTATGATCCGGCGATTACCAAGATCTGTTTTGAGATCTTGCTTGAGCTTTTTGGGAGGACTTTGAAGCTTGATTTAGGCTCTCATGACGGGAAGGAGCAGAAGGTTGAGGATATCTGTTAGGGTTTTGATTTTCCCCCTAGGAGATCTAGCTTGGGGGTTTCATAGTGTACAGTACGTATATGCCAATGGCTACGAAACTTCCTGGTTGTTTTATGAATAACTCGCTAATCTCCACCTCTGTTCGTTTCTTCCATCTTCTTTCTACTCTTATGAAATTTAACTTCTACCAATTCCTCGAACCAAGGATTCCGCGTTAGTGGTACAATCTCATTATCTCATAAGCGATGCACCAATCAAAGAACAGAACAAAGAGATATTTCTTTGAAGCGCATAATTGCATTGTCCGATACCCCGTGCTTTCCAACTCTCTTTCTTCTACAAAGCAACTCCCAAAAGTCTCCATTGAACATGACCTTCTCATTCATCTCCCTAATTGGGGGAACAGTTTTAAAGTCACGAAAACAGAATTGTAATATTACGTTAAATACAGACATGTCATGAAGTCCAAGATACATGAAAAGCAGACACAGTCACTGAAACAAAATGCATCCTTACAATATCCCAATCCCTTCAATCGAAGTCGTCAAGGAAGAGGAGCAGTTTGACAATCTCTACTCCCCAACGTCTACCTCCATGTCAATCATCTCATGGCTTGAGAACGTAAAGAAGGAAAGTAGTGAGAGTAAGTATTTATACTCACCAACACCCCCATACTCACCAACATACCTCTCACCTCCCACTCCATTCTCCGCAAGCACGAATAAGGAAAGCGAGTCTCCAGACATCAAGTCATCTCCCTCTACCCCAACCCCTCTCACCACACCACACAACCTAACCCTTCCCCTTCCCATCCCCAGCTATCTTGAGCCCCAAATCACCGTAGCACCACCGCACTTCTTCTACCGAGAACCCGCTACACGCCTCCCTCTCCTTCCGATGCTGGTCGAGCCCAAGATCACAATCAGACCTTTGAATCCCTTCCAGAGGCCTGCGGCTGCTCGTCCTAGGCCTCAAGTTGCAATCGCGGGGGGAGCTGGTATCCGACGCTATCCTGCGAGAGTGGTGTATCGACAGCACCAACGCCAGTACCCTGTGCAGCAAATTTCACAGGAATGGCGGTTTACGAGATTGAGGGATGATGGGAGGCCGTTTCGTGTGCAGAAGCGGCAACTTTTCCGCTGGTCTAACTCTCTTGATCGAGGGATGTCCAATTTGTAGGTGAGGTGTGGTGGATACCTTTAGTAAGATGGATGATATTTGGATATGCTAATCTGCTGTTTTTAATAAAATAACTTTTCCTCTTCTAATTAAGTATTTTTATGTGTCTTTGTGTTTTGTATGTTTTTGCTTCTTCAGTGACCATCCCTTTCCTCTAACTCACTATGATCTACAATTCAAGAACACAGTCTAAATTTTCTAGTAAGGCACTCGTCGTTATAGGCCTTGATACTGCCTACCCGCATGGTAAACTCAGTTCCTGTGAGGAATCTGCATAACTACAAAATGCAACGTAAGAGGATCATTTCCTTCGCAAACATCCCTAGGCCTCGAGATAGCTTCGCACTCTGTAGAATACCAACGCCTATACTAAAGATATACATAAAGCCTTTGACCTCTTGAAGTTTTACAGTCCATTATTCTTGTAATTTCTACGGACTGGAGTGATCTGTCTCTTGTCGACGTGTTAGAATGTTAGATATTCATCCTGCTGTTTTGGTGATCTGTTAAGTATTGGTGCGGATTTCATATCTGGTGTATTTACCAGAAACGTAGAAATCGTTCTCATATAGAATAAGCATTAAAAAGTCTCCCTCCAGCGCGTTCGCTCATGTCGCTCTCGAGTCTCGATCGCGGGACTTAAGCGAACCGCCCTCAACCCCGATTAAACATTCCCTCCCGAGTCCCGACTACTCACTAAAAGAGACAAGTCGGCACTAATGAAAAAAAAACGTTCAGTGATCAAAATAGCAAACTAAAACATACAGGGGTTGTTGCGAAATGCAGCAAATTCCAAAATCTCAAGCCTTTCTTACTCAAAATGACACTAAAAGCAAACCCCACAGGGAACATGTACGCCGTATGACGATTTCATCAGAATAAAGGGTATGCTAACTACCTACTAGAAGCAGTCCCGTTCGGTTCACGCCGACCAAATATTCATGGATTCAGCGAACGGAGTCGGCCGATGGCCATTTGCGAACTGCAACAAAATCCATAGAATAGTACTAGATTCAAACTGAATCATGATGATGTACAGCACAGTACATATTGAGTGCCTTCATCGGAATATTATCGTAAGCTAGCAAGGGAGTATTTTGTAGCGAAGTGCAACAAAATATTCGCGATGGGACTACAAGTTAGTTACTTGAACTAACCATCTAGGAGGGAGGTCATTAGAAGGAGTCTACGCCATTTGAGAATCGTACTGTAAGGACTAGCAACTTACGTTTTTGTAGCGAAATGCAACAAAATATTTAGTAAAGTAGATCGCGATGTTGATTAACCTCTTAAAGGTAAGCTGAAGGATACATATCACGCTATCTTTTGGACGTTTTACGTCACGATCTTGTATTAAATTTGCGTTCACGATGTAAAGAAATAGCGAAGTGCAACAAAATATTTAGTGCAGTAGGTCGTGACGTTGATTAACCTCTTAAAGGTAAGCTGAAGGATATATATCACGCTATCTTTTCGGTGTTTTACGTCGCGATCTTGAAGTGGGTTTGCGTGAAATTTACGTAGAAGATGTAAGGAAATAGCGAAGTGCAACAAAGAATTTAGCATACAGTTTTGGGACGTGGCTGAAGGGAAGTTGAAGAGAGCTGAATGATGAATATCACGCTAATCTTTTGACGCTTTGCGTCACGATCTTACAATGGACTTTCGTACAAGATGTAAGGAAATAGCGAAGTGCAACAAAACATCTAATTAAGTAGATCTTAACGTTGATTCACCACTAAGAAGGAAGCTAAAGGATGTATATCACGCCATCTCCCAGGGGCTTTACATCACGACTTTGTATACGTAGGCTATCGTGTAAGGTGTAAGGAAATAGCGAAATGTGATAAAATCTCTGATTGACGCTAGAGAACGACTACATGAAAAAACATCCCAACCCGGTTGCGCCAGCGTTCTCTAGTCATTTCATCAGCATTTCACGGTAAACTAGTAAGGTACGAGTCTATAGCGAAAATAAAACAAAATCTTCAACATGTCTACTAAAAGCAAATTACTTCTCAAGTAAAAACTTGCAAGAAAGCTGGTGGACGTTTTTCACACCTGCATAATCCAGTGATTCAATCGAAAACGTTTATTGGAGTACTAGTGGCGAGGTACAAGTCTAAAACGAAGTGCAATGAAATCTCCAAAACGATACTAAAAGTAAAATGCCACATAGTATACATAACACATCGTGGCTATTTCCTTCTGTGGGTTCATCAGTAATTTATGGTAAACTACCTACCTGCGGTAAGTAGCTAACTCATCTAAGGCAGGTGGTGGGCACTCAGTAGTATTTAGTCATGTGACAGATATTTACCCATCGACGGGTGGGAGCCTTACGATTCCTGACAACACCTACTTTACATGTATACCAAAGAAGAAGAAGAAGAAAATTCCAAGAGAATTGATGTGGCCCGATGGTAATTATCGTCGCCGAGAGCGAACTGCAACAAAACACTCGAGATGGGACTAAGACGGGACTAACACTAGCCTACGTCTCAGCTAAACGTCTAGACTCTGTGCTAGGAAGATCAGTCCGCCCTTCCGCTCTTTTCCAAATACATTTTTGTTTACTGGAAAGACTAACCTCACAGAGCATCGATATACATAACGAACTCACGATCCGCGATAACGAAAGAGAACTATCAAACACACCCTCGAATCATCCACAAATCCTCGAGATCCTCGAGATCCCAGATTAATACCAAAAACAGCTTCGCAGAGGAACAAAGACCTACCAACTAACCTAAAATCGCCAAAATTCAACTTTACAGTAGGTACAAACAAGCTGAAAACCATACCATAGTACACCACCACCATAATGAAAAGAAAGCTAACCACCAGCTGAACAGCGCTGTGCAACAAAACAGGAACCTGCCTTACAACACCAAACAAGAAGGAAAAGAAAACTAATAACCAGCTGAACCGCGACGTGCAACAAAAATAAAAGTCTACCAATGGTTCCTTTCAGGAATCGAAACTAATGTATAGCCTAAGATATGCACCGTCACGCTCTAAAATAGTTCCTCGACCCAACGAATTATTCCATTCCTGGAAAAAGAATTGTTACATTTGATTGGATAAGAACATAATGAGGAGCGATCCCCAGGATACAATGCTACTACTCTATAATAGCCAGAATGAAAATCTAAGAGGTGTGCCAGAGCAACAAACGAAGAAAAGCAAGAAGTCCATCAGTATGCCGCCGATCCCGCTGAAATGTGTATGTCCAAAAGCCTTTCCTCAGTTACAAACTGAAACAGGTCATGGGAAGGAAAAGATGGTTCGGAATCCCAGATCGTTAAATCCCTGATTCTTTCCTACATGCAAATTGCCTCTCTTAATCAAGAACGCAATCGATATTCCAATCAGGAGCCCCATTCACGATAAAGCCAATCCCAAAGCGGCTCAGGAACCACGTTGACAAGCTGATTCAAAGTCGGCTGAGAGAAATTATATCGGCCCTGTTCAGTCGCAGCTAATTCTTGGAAACGTGCAAGCTGGGTCCAATTACGATGAAAGGAGTGGTATTCGAGGTGTGCTGGTAACGCACTCGCTTGATGAACTATTGTATCTAGGTCGGACACTATGGTCGAAAGTTAGCTTTTTTTTGACATTGGTAGATCGCTACTGAAAGATGAGGAACGGATTGACTTACGGCCTTTGACAACTGCTCCCCACTGTACAATTTCACTAACTGTCCTTCGATCACTCTGTAGTCTGAATTCTGCGGGCCACGTGGATGGACCAAGTTCAAGAGCAGCAGCAACGAACTTTGCAAGATCATAGACTGATGTCAGACAGACGTAGAGAGATTGACCAGCAGCGTTGAACTCGACTATTTCTGCCGTTGATGTTCCAAGGTTCATGAGATAGTCACCTTCTTGTCGAATTCCGGTTCCCGATCCAATGTTGTAAGCTGCCAAACCCCCTCGGGCAAACCTTTGGTAGAAGACGCCACAAGAGAAGATAGTGAAGCGCATCCGGTGTCTAGAGTCATGGCTCCATTCCTTTAATCGTGCAATCGTTGCTTTTTTCCCACGGTCCAAGGGATCATTGGGGGTCCGGCGTCCGGGTGGTCCTTCAAACTCTGCTGGAACGAATCTGCTGACCCCTGAATGAGCTGCTGCATCGATGAGGTTGATTTGCGGTGAGCCAGAAACAGTAGAGATAACCACATCAATTCCTCGAAGTGTATAGCGAAGATCTGTTTGGTCATCATAGTTGACGACAACAACTTGAAACCCATCTGCTGTAAGTGCCGGTTGAGGCTTGATAATGTCAGCGAGAAGTGGACTTGTCGAAGAAGGGGTTGGATTGACGAACCCGCCTCGAAAGTATAATAACAGTGTAAGTCCCTACTGAATCCAAACACTGTGCAAATATTCGAGCCAGTCCGCCAGACCCAGCTATTGCTATTCTCATCATGATTGTAGAATATTTGTTCCTTTTTGAGATGATGTTTCAAAATCACTACCCATGGCTATTATATATTTATTAACGCGGGCAGACATTTTATTCATCATGGTACTACGTTCGTAAGGCAAAAGATGTCCCTGCACAACTAAGGAGCAAATGGATTGCGAGCGTGGTAAGGCAAATAGCCACATGTGACTCAAGAAGGTCCGCTGCTGTGTGAGTGGGTAGAATCAACGGACAGTCCATGGCATGTTACAGTTAATTATAACTCATCAATCTCGTTCATGGGGGAGAGATAGAAACAGAGGGATGTTTTGGGGAAAGTTCCGCGTCCGAGGTCCGAAGTGAAATAACATTCTCTAGGGACGATTCTTCCGTGGCGAATACCAGTGCAAACGGACAGACAAAATGCTGTTTCAGGTAGTTGCCTGCTATGAGGTTCTGAGATGGGTTTGAGAAGAGTTAGACTAATTAAACAGTCTTGCTTGATAATCGATCAACTCAGAACCAGTCATAGCAAGAGCCCGCATAATGTAGACATCTTCCACGTGCTGAGACCATGGACAGAAAATGTGAGAAAGTTCAGGCCTACTTCTTTTTGAACCTTACAAGAAGGTTGGGAAGGATCACTTGGTCTCCGGGTTTGGGGGCTCTTGATATTCAGTGAAATGCCCCATCCTGAAGGAACAAAAGAGCAAACTCTGCACAGCTCATCACTGATTCGCTTATATACCACCTAGCCATGCGGCATAATATGCTGCTTCTCATTTCATCGACACAGTCAGCAGCGAATGAGAAGCGACTAAAGACAAATCATGAAAACAACTACAAGTAAACTTTCCAGGATAGTTTGGGTGAGTGACCAACGTGGTGGTTACCTGGAAGAGCTTCTTAATTAAAACCGCCTCATGATTAGACCCAGTTTTTCTCACCGCAATAACTTCCTTGAAGTCAAGTACGGACGAGGCTGGAGGAAGAGATTTGTCCGTCTTAGTCCGAATGGTATCTTACAGCACCTGGACAAAAGACTCGCAACAATGAGAATAATACGTAGCTCAAGGCTCCAAGATGCTTGAAGCGGACAACTGACGTGAACCGGACGCAGATATGAGGCAGTTGGAACGAATGGGAAGTTCTGGAGATGGCCAACCTGAAAAATTATCAGTTGACTAGCCTCTGCCTGCTTGACCGAAATGCCGGCCCAAGATGGGTCGGCCATGCAGAGAGCTTTAGGACCGATCACTGGAATTTGATTGGGGGCCGTTGCTATCCGTAAGAAAGAATCCAAGTGTAAGATCATCGCGTGGATCAAGCCTCCCAACCCAGCAGCCATTGGAGTGGGATCGAGTCATAGAAGCATGTGAGTTGACGATCGCCTGGGATTTCCAAGTCGACTGTCGATTGGTAAGGAGGCGGATTGTATCGAGTTGAAGGGTGTTTCTGGTGGTGTAAGGTACGAAGTCGGATTTTTCTTAAGGCTGAATATAGTCTTAGGTACGTCCTGCATGCATAAGCGTGCTGCGAGTGCTTTCTGAGGTAGGCATGAGAGGATTGTAGCCTAATATGGAGTTGCGAATATTCGGGCATCGCCGAGATAGCGAGGTGCTTGTAGGTAGTACGGTAGTATGGAAGTATGAAAGAGAGCAGAGCCGCTTGGTGTTGTGGACGGAGGAAATGTCCAGAAAGGGATGGCAAAGAAAAGAAATGGGAAGGAGCAGGGGCGGGCGGTACGGTAACGATCATGATCATGTGATCAAGAACCTCTCGCTCCTTCCCCCTTCCTCCTGTCGGTAGTAGTTTAGCTGAGCTCCGACCTTTAGCGCAACTTGCAATAATAATATTGACCACAACAACGCGCGACTGCCCTTGTCGGTTGCGACCCACCTTGCCCTCCTCTTGCACATCAGTACTTGCAACACCACGGAAGCCCAGGACTCTCTTTCCTCCAGAGGGAAAGGAAGAGACAGTGGCAGAGACAAAGACAGTCGTAATTGTCAATTGTCAATTGTCGACAATTATCAGTTTGCCAGTTTGAGGTACTCCGTACTTGCTGCTCAAGTTCCAACTACGACAAGTTTCAAAAGACACAAGCTACCAGACTAACAACCCTTTATTGACTTGAATTCAGACAGACCACAACCATAGCTTCCTTCACAATGCCTCGCCATTTCGCTTCCCAGCCATCCACTATGTCCAATCGCAAGGAAAACCGATTTCAACCATATCAACTGAAGAGAGAGAGCATGTACAGCACCGATTTCTCGGAACCAAAAAGAAGTAAGCGAGAACACTACTCGGGTCCCACATCTTTGCGCCAGAGAAACCATCGCGGCGATGATGAAATCTCTGATTCCTCGCGCAGGAGAAACAGTTTCAACCCTCATCAAACTGGATATCGCAGTCGACGTGACAGTGACATCGATTGGAAGAAACCCTGGCCACGAGGTGAGACTCCAAGTTCAGTCTATCAAGCCACGCCCAGCGAGCGTGAGACGGACCACTGGCGACCTGACGGCACTGAGATGCGAAAATACCCTCGTCAAGACAGCCTTGATGACCGACCTCTCTCGATGCCATACCTCCCTGGTGATACCCCCTCTAATATAGGAGTCCGTTCTACAGACCGATATCGTCCTTCTAACCCTTTCCTACCTCGTGATACCCCTTTCACTAGGGGAGTTTCTGATACGGATCGTTATCGCCCTTCCAATGAATGCCGACAACAAGTGAAGCAAGAAAGAGGTACTCCTTTCTCCACAGGAGTTCCTTGGACAGATCGCTCTGCCAACGAAGCGTTACCCCAAACAGAAGGAGGAAGGGATGCTTCTCAATCACAAATCGAGGCGGAATTATTCTCAGCAGAGTTGGACAAGCTTATCCGAGAATCTTCTGCTCTATTTGACTCTGAAAGATCTCGCGTATCATCCCCTTTCCATCAGTCAATCGACCAGGTTCTGTCTTCTGACACCAACAACGTATTCGTTTCCCAAACGCAATTCCACGAAGCTGAGCCGAGTCAAGATCGTCGTCTGTCGAGCCAATCCCTTTCTTTTTCTTCTGGTGTTGGTAACGGTGGTGGGTGGTGCGAGAAAAAATGGTTGAGTTCTCAGGCAGCGTGTACCGATGTACCATGGACCTATTTCAACAGTGCTCCTAGCGGCTCTCAAAACCCTACCGATCAAGTTACAGCCCCTTTCAGTCCATCTCATGCATCTAACACCATTAGGGATCCGTTTGGGCAAATTTCCGAGTGTGCACTGTTAGGCCCCAGTGCTTTCTGTTCTCACAGTGTCTCTGATTTCGATGAGGAAGTTGAGGTCGCCATGCCAGTTTCCTACACTCATGACATGGACTGGGCGAGACTTAGGTTGAAGGATTTCGTAGAGAAGTACCATGGATATGGTGATGAGTTGGCAGCGGAATCATCAATCTTGAAAAAGCGCAAGACTCCTGCTCGTGCAGAAGAGAAGTCAAACATACCAAAACCCCTCAAAAAGTTTCGCTACGAATCATCGAGGTGGTGGAAGAAAGTTGTCGAGTCCAAAGCACAAACATGGGGCTCGGAAGATGAATTGGTTAGTCAAGTCCACTACTGTCCTGTGCAGTAGCTAACTTTGACTGCTAGTTGTAAGAGATGTTACCTCGACCCTAATTCGGTACAATATTGGCAGTCCGGTTTGCCTGTATATCGCCATCTCAGCTTGAATTTCATACTTTAAGGGGGGTGTTATAAAGTTCGGTATGTGAAGTACCAAACAGCTATGCCGCCGACTTCCGACTTTTCGACATCCTCAACAATGTTTCACGATCGGAACTATGATTCTTGATCTCCGTCAATATTGGAAATGTCTCTCTGCCAGCGCCTTGACAGAATCTGATTGGTGGTTATGTGGTAGTTGTCAGACTTAAGAGGGAAGGAGGATTGTTGTATTATTGTTCAAGTATTTTCCTTCATTGATCATATCAAGCTACTGATACCTTTGCAATGAGTCACCTAGCTCATTGGCGTTTGTTGGCTTGTATCAAGGTGTGCATGGGTTGCCAAATCGGGCTGTCGGGAAGAGATCCTTCGCCCAGGGGTGTTTGGGTGGATGCCTCGCGCCCGCGGCCTCTTCGCTAAAGGCTGTTTCGTTTGTTCTTGCTTTAGTTGATACCTGAGGGGAGTGGTAAAGAACTGTAAACTAGCAAGAATTTCATGAAATCTCTACTCTATTCTCTTTCTGATGCTGCTTTGATTGCTTGTATGATGTATGATAACGTTGAAACCATTTTGGTGTCTGACACAAGGCTACTTTCTAGAAAGACTATGGAGCTAATCTTCCACTTGTCGAATTGAGCAGCAAAACCCCCCTCCCCGCCCCCCATCTTGGGCAGCTCGAAAGGACAAAGACTTCATACTTGAATTACCTTTATCATAAAATGCAATTGGGCAGTCTACTATTACCTAAGTAGTTGCAGAGACTAAGTCCCTATAGCTAGATTTCGCTCTCTCAACACCCTTACCGTTTCCTACCCCCAGTTTCTTTGACCATTTGCTCTCGCTGTCGCATCCTTAATGTTGTATTTTTATTATTATATATACTCGTACTAAACCCAGTGGGAGCGGGTGTATATAAGGTATAGACTGCCGGGAGTATATAAGGTATAAACTTTTTGTATGCGCTCGGTTATATATACCCTATCGACAATTGTCTATACCTTATATACACTCGGTTGTATATAAATAGTTTCTAAAATGTCCGCGGTTGTATATAAATTATAACTTCTTTCTATGTAGTTTTATACTTATTTCTACACTTATTTCTACACTTTTACGGCTCGAATCACTTACTAAAATCACGTATATACGAGGGACAGAGAGAATAGAAGGGGCAGTTAGGCGAGGGGGGGTAGAAAATAGGGGGATAGACAAAAGGAGGGGGGTCACAGGTAGAGGGATAGTAGAAACGACTAAGTACACTCACAGGTAGGAACGGGAGAAAACGACTAGTAGAAAATAGGGGGATAGACAAAAGGAGGGGGGTCACAGGTAGAGGGATAGTAGAAACGACTAAGTACACTCACAGGTAGGAACGGGAGAAAACGACTAAGTACACTTATAGGTAAGGATAGTAGGAGTAAAGAGAGGGCGGGGGATGGGTAATAATATAGATAGTACTCGAAAGTACGCACGTGGTAGGATCTATATACATAAAACTATAATAAAAGTCTATTCCTAGCTACCGGACTAGTAAAAGTACTTAGCGAAATTAAGAAAACTTATCTCTAAATAATCGGTTATCTATAAGGTATAGACTCCCGGCTCTTACTAGATAAAGAGATTCTTAATAAAATAAGGGTTTTTTTAGGTTTATAGGCTTAGGAGGGTGTTTATTTAGGTATTCTACTTATTATAGGGAGTTTTAGAAATATCGATTTTTTTAAATTTTTAATATTCTATAAAATTATCGGTTGTATATAAGGTATAGACTAGGTGTATATAAGGTATAAACCTTTCTGCTCCCACTGGGAACACTAGTCTCGTGAATATTACAAGGAGAGAGGAAGACGGGTTATTGTTACGAGCGGACGTTCTTGTAGTGTTTTCGCTCGTTTCTTGCGGAGGTAAGGTTAGTCTAGGGGTAGGGCTAGGGTAAAGTTATGTAAAGAGGCTAAGTTATTACGGGAGTATTGTACCAATGCCCCTCTCCCATCCCACTGAATTTTTTAAAGTTTCTTGCATGGGATGAAGTACTATATACTTTGAGCTAAACAGAGTATAAATCCGAATTATGCCGAGCCGAAAACCGGTACGTACGTGGCTTCATCTGATGTATACAATGGACGACCTTTTCCATCCCAAAAAAGGAGATCCACCTATACATATCTCAGTCTATTCTCACATCCCACTAGTCCAACATACCAACATACCAACGACCAAGAGAGAAGCATTATCAACCTACCTCTTCGTCTAATCTCATTGCTTGTTTCGTTCTTCTCGAACAACATTAACATACTAATACACTAACAACCCCGTCCGCCCTACACAGTCGACAACTCGTAACTATGTTCTTCTCTAAGCACATCATCACAGTCCTCACCGTCTTGCTCGTCGGACTTGCGGAAGTCCAAGCTATATTAAATTGCAATTGGGCTACCCGGGAGCGCGGTTGCAGGAATGGAAGAATCGACTGTACGGATGATCTCAAAGCCGAACAACGTTTATGCTGTGACAAAATGTTAGAGGGGATATTAGATTGAAGCCTGGGTTTGGAGGGAGACTCTCGTTAGGAGGAGAGGAGTTGGATGGGGATTGTACGAGTATGGGGGAAGGTGTTCGGCTGCCAGTTGTCTTGTTTGTTTGGAAGATATCGACCCCCTCGTTTACTTGTCAAATACCTAACCAAGTGGACTCTTGGACGGTGGTACTACTATCTAGGGGATCGCAGTATATCATTAGTGTAGAATAAACGAGAAGGACAAGCGCTGATGATGACTTAGTTACTGAAATTAAAGATCGGAGATGAGAGGTAGAAAGGTTGCTTTTACATTGTTATACGGAAAGGGGAAAAGAATAGGGCCAATCTGGATAATCAGTACAGACCATACTACTAGTTATAAAATGAAAATTCCGTTATTCAGATGCTGCCAGTATCAAAATTCAAAGTAGATACTAGCAAGCTTTTACGAAGCAATAGCAAGCACAAAGTCAGTATGACGCGAGAGACGTGACAATGTCCTACCGTTCACAGCACGTATTAGCGTTTGGCCTACCCCCTCAAATCCCCCTCGCTTCTAGATCCCTATAGTATCAATTTCCTCGTCTCCCCTCACATAACACGGAGGCTAAAGAGCCATGGTTAAGATATGCAAATCACAATACATTCTGTCAGTTTCAATAAAACACATTCCATTCCGCCTTCCCCAGATATCGAAGGGATACCAGATGATTGAAGGTGTAACCAATGAACCATGGAACGAAAGGTAAGTGGCATCTGAGAATTATTCTAAAACTTTTATTCTAAAAAGTTTATTTTAAAAGGTTTTATCATATGGAATGGTCATAGGACATACTCGGGAAAAGAGGTACTCGAAATAGTGTCACCCATTCAAAGTTGCTTTGCTACGGTTATATGGCTACCAGAGCATTTATACCACCGTAATATCAAGGACTGTGTGATATAGGTAGGTAGTTAAGACCTCGTCCTGTAAGATCTTACCGAGGGATATTGGACTGATCTCCACTGCGGACAAAGCCTATTATAAGATTTACCATACAAGAAACACCACCTCAACACACCACTTACAGTACTCCAAAAGCAAAAATACAGTAACCTAATTTACCACCACCCATCCTCTTACACCATCCACTCAACCAACAAACCCGATATTATATTACATCACATATGTCATACATCAAACATAACACCTAGGCAGAAAACCCCTTATACCCACGAATCACAATACTAAACACACCCCACTCAACAACTTTATAGATCATATAGACAACTGAATCAAAGAACCGCGTTCAAGGTGTATATTTCACGACTCATATTACATACAAAAGAAAGGCAGAGAAAGAAAACACCCGCAAAGTACCGCTCAAAAACGTCAAAATAAGAAAATCGGACGCCACGTTCTCCTTCCAACCACCCACCCATCATGTCTTGAAAAAAAGACAATACAGTAAAAGTAATAATATTCCAGGTCGTAACATCCATTCCATTCCTTTTTCATACACACACCTCCACCCACCTTACCCGACCCAATCATCTCCGCCCCACCCCAAAACCCTACCTAGATAGTGGAAGTAGAAAGTTATTTTTTCCCTTTCATATCAGACTTTGTGCATTCATCTCTTCACTAACATGAGCTCCATCTCGTCGAGCAAAACAAAGGAAAAAGTCGAAATCATATCCTCAAAAAGAAAATCACAACTCGTCCTTCACATTCGTCTTTCCCGCTGCAACAGCGCTGCTCACACTACTAGCAAATTCCTCCACCCCCTCACTAGCCTGTTTGACGTACTCGCTTGCTCCCTCACCAGCATTTGCAGCGAACTCAGCCAGTCGAGCACGAGCAGACTCCACAGCAGCAGACAAACGAGATTGTGCACTTTCAATGGCGCCTTGCTCCTCTCCATATATAGCCTTGCTGATTTTTGCTTGGGCTGAGGCATAAGCTTGCGCAGCGGCAGCTGTGGCCGATGCGTACTTCTCGGCTACATTGGTAGCCGCCTCTACCTTCCCAGTAGGAGTTCCATATATGGCTTCTGAGATGGCTCGTTGAGCAGAAAGAGCTGCCAGTGAAATGGAGCTGGAGGCGGCCTCGGCGTAGCCAGTGCTTGTACCGTATATCTTTGCGGAGGCAGCGCTCTGAACGGAGCTATAAGCAGAGGCGGCTGCTGAGCTGGCTTGTTCGTATGAGCCTTTTTTGGTTCCATAAATTTGAATGCTGGCTGCTTGAACCACATCGTTGACTCGCGACGATGCCGAGTCGAGAATTACCTCGATAGTGGCTGGCGGAGTGAACATGACAGACACAGCAGAAAAGACAGAAGAATAAGCCTCGTTCGCGATAGACGATGCCGAAGAAACCACATCATCCGCGTTTGTGTAATAAGCGGAGCTTAATTTATTGTAAACGCTCTCTGTAAATGTAGGGTCTTTGCCGATTATGAGCTCCCTGATGATGGATTGTACGACAAAGTACTGGGAAGTGGCTGCACCAGTAGCAACCGCACCGTATTCCTTGGCTTCCGACAACAATTGGCGCGTCACAAACTAAACCATTAGACGTTAGTATTCAAATGCGACGACGTGTGGGCATAAACCTCAGAGACGAGGGGATATCGAAAGAATGACTAACTTACATAAGGAGTTGGTGCGCCATAAATTTGCTCGCTAGCTTTGTTGATTAGAGCATCCCAATTTTCACTCGCCTTGGAGGCAATTTTTTCGGTTAGAGGCGTTTCGCTGCCGTACACGGCCCCTGATGCTTGGGAAGCTTGATCTTGAATTTTGTTTGCAATAACTGAGGATATACTGGAATATGAACTGGATGCTTCGGCAACAGAGGCGGAATATTGAGAAGAAGCCTGGGCAGCTAGGCTAGATGTTGGGACAATTTCTTTACCCTTCGCCCCCGCACTGGAGATGGAGGATAAAAAGTTATTTAATTGAGCCGATGCCTTGGAAACAGCGATCGAATAGTATGAGTCGGCCGTGCTCAAAGCCTTCTCATAACCATGTGGCTCCGTTCCAACAATACCAGCACTGGCCTTGCTGTACACACTCTCATGGAAAGGTGTTGGCTTTGGCATGATGGCCGCGGAAACCGCCGCCATGTACTCTGAGTATCTCGCATGTGCCAGTCCAATGCCAGCGTAATACTGCTCTTGCATTTGAACAGACAATTTTTGTTTCTGAGTTGTGCCAGTGTTTATGGCAGCTACGTAGTTCTTCGCATCGGAGAACCGACTTGCGGCAAGATCGAGACCTTCAGAGAGTCTGGATTGAGCTAATGATTTGGCTGATTCCAGAGCAGCCTGGGCATTACTATACGCCCCACTTGCCTGTGAAACAATTGATGCAGTGACAGGCGCCGGTGACCCGTAAAGAGCTACGCTGGCACTATAGCAAACATCAGCTTGTGGTCGAATCGACCAAATTATAAGAAATGGGAAACGTACGTAGAAACAGCGTCGGAATATCTGCTTGAAGCTATGCTAGCAACGCTCTCGCCTGCCCCTTTTTCAGTTCCATAGAGTACGCTACTGGCGGCCGCAAGAGCACTCGAGTACTTTTGAGCTGCTAATTTTGTGACTTGATGTCCCGGAGTGCTGGTGGGTTTCAACAAAGCCTCGCTGACTGCTTTTGTAATATCGGCGTACTTGTCGCCTGCTTCACTTGCCATGCTCTGTAATCTCTCACTGAAAGTATCGTCATCGGAATCGTCAATGGAATCGTCGAAAATGATTTGACGAGCTTCAACCTTTTGGGCCATGGCTCCACCCCAAACCTTTTTCGATGCAGTGCTACTGGCAGATGATGCCGCTGATTCAACCGAGATGGAGGCAGCGTCAAGGCTTTTTGATAGGGAACTCGCGATAGAGGACGTGGCGGAGCTGAGAGAGCTCGATGCATCGGAGACAACGCTCGAAACCTCAGAACCGGCTGACTTTGCGTTTTCCGTTGCGACTGAAGCGATACTTTCCACGCCTCCTTGCTGGCCCCCAATGATTGCGCTTGATGCCTCACTCGCCAAATCACCCACACTGGAGCTTGCAACAGAACTCAAGCTTTCAATGGTGCCTTGTTCGGTGCCAACGATCGCTTCAGAAACACTAGACACACCACCCTGAGCTTTAGATAATGCCTCTTGAATAACATCCTGGGCATTTTCACCCCCTTCCACAACCTTCTCCTTGATATTTTTGCCTAACGAGGCAGCCGCTGCCGGCATGTGTTTGGTACTGAAATCGTCACTGCTATCCTCCATTGAAATCTTCCACCGTCCTGTTTCCTTGAGACGCGCCAATTCCTTTGCAGCTTCTTCCGCAATTGCCATTGCTCTGTTTTCGTTGTCTTCAGCAGCTGCACGGACACGATCAAGACCAGGGTGTTCAGTGATCACTTTTTCGACATCCAACCGCCACTCTTCAAATTTACCCTTCAATTTGTGATATTTGGTCCAATGCTTGTGAGTAATTCCATCAGTCCAGGCCCATCTCATTCCAACCTCTTGTAATCCCATGTCTCTAATAGTGTCTAGAACGTCAAAGGTGTCTGATGCGGTTTGTTCCAGGAGGGAGTTCATTTCTTGATCAAAATTTAGTTTCCAATTTCGAACTGCTTGACCCTTTTCCTTGATTGCAAGACCAGTTTTGCGAACGGCCTGCGCAAGATCCTTTTCACACTCTTCGGAGTCTTTACTCTCCACAATTGAGATGATATCGCGTTTTAGAGATTTGAACCCCGACTTGACAGTCTCTTCCAATTGTACAATTAGTGCATTTCCAACGCCTTTTGCTTGTTTGACCATTGTTTCTGAGATTTCCGTAATTCGCTCCTCCATTTCATCTGATCCCTCGTCGGCAGCTTTGGCGAACTTCTCCTGCCAAACCCTGAGATCGTTGGTAACAATTTCTTGTGCCTTTTCCCGGATTGCCTTCTTCTTGGCCTCGATTTCTTCTTCTGACTCTGTAGTTTCCTCTGTACTCTGTTCGATCGTGGGCTCGGAAGATGGAAGCTCCGTAACCTCAATCGTCTCGGTATCTTCTGTGGTAGAGGAATAAAACTCCGATGCCGAGAAATCCGAGGATGTTGACGGGGCAGATGAAGAACTGGAAAAAGTTAGTCATTGCAAAGAGGTACATGGAGTCTTGTTCATACCTATCGACCTCATCCACAACTGCCTTGAGCTTTTTCCCGTCTCGGTATCTGCCCAGGCGCTGACCAATTCTCACTAACTGTGGCTCCACATTTTCGCCATATAGAATCCGCACTTGCGGCCAAATTGTACGTTCTACAAATACCGCACTTGTTGTCCATGCCCATTGAGTGTATGGAAAGGCAGTGTTGAGGGCAAAATCGGTTGTGATCAGATATCCGTCGATAACGTGTGGCTTAACCATATTATATGTTGGTAGGATGTGCCCATAGTACGTTTGGAGGGCATTTGTTCTCAAAATGTCAAAGTATGGCGATGTCACATCAACGGCCTGCATAATGTGTGGCCCCAAAGTTTCGTCATATTTTGTCTTTGCCACGTCTTGATATTTTTGCACCAGCGGCTGTAAGTTCTTCTCCCATTGAGCCTGGCCATATGACTGCGCTTGCGCTACGCGAGGAGCGCCACATTTCTTACCCAAGACGATTACCGGTATGATGACCTTTTGGTTGGCCGTTTCGTAGTAGGGCTTTACCTTATCAACATACGGTGCGGCATATACATCGTAGTATGGTGAGAGATATGGGGACACGGCTGACTCCAATTGGAAATAGGGCTTGCAGATCCTGGGCGAGGTGTCTGTAAGGAGATCTGGCGTGGAGGGACATCGAAAATATATGGTGATGATTGAGTACCAAGTCAATAACCTAGGAGAGCATGTTAGCGTGGGTTGATGTGTTACTGGGGTGCGAATGGAAGTCGTGGACGTGCCTGGAGATTATGCTGAACAGGCGTGAGCCAGTCTTTTTGGGTGTCTGCGTCTTCGTCTTCGATTTCGTTTTTGTTGGAGGAGATTTCGACTGGCCGTTGATGGCCTTCCCATTATTCATCGACGACTGCGACTTTTCCCCCGACTCAACCGGCTTTGCACTGCCCATCTTTCACAGCATGCAACGTCGAGGAGCTTACTGATGGGAAAGCTTTTGGCTGTGTTGGCGAAGAATTGGTTTTGGTGCGATAGACGCAGGTGGAGCGCTTGGGGAGAGCTTGAGCTTGCAGATGCTCGGTGCTCTCAAACAAAGTCAACACGGACCAATTGGGGGATCGTGAGAGTCCTCCGTCTCCGTGCTGTCGCGAGTACCGGTGACTAGATACCTGTACCTGTCGGGCGGGAAAGTGATAGATGGGTAGCACAGCAGTTGGGCACAAACGATGTGGAGCGATTCTCACTTGATATTTCTTAAATTCTATGTGGGAAGGAGAGGGAGAGGGAGAGGGAGAGGGAGAGGCTGTTGAGAGATTAGGGAGCTTGATCTTGTTGGTGGTTGTGTGCTTAGGTAGGTTAGCGATTGGATGTGCATGCTGTGGCTGCCAAAAGCCAAGACCCTGTTGGAGCCAACGTCATCGGACGGCAGAAAACAGCAGAAGAGCCATACAATAGCCACACCCAGAGCCAGAGACCAAGGAACCGGAAGTCAGGGGCACGTGACAGACACGCCTAGGTAGGTACAAATATTTGGACCCAGCTATTCTCGGTAGACATTGTTATACGATATTTTATTGGTGGAAGGATGGAGATTGCAAAGCATTGCAAGATTACCATACTCGTACCTCGATACCTACTATTTCTTGCATCTGATACATACCGCTTAGCGATGTTGATGTTGATGTTGATGTTGATGCCTGATTTGTTTCCCTTTGCTTCTGAAGCATGGCCTTTTTACCGAGGCTGAACGTTAGCAACCTAGCTTCTTCTGTCATCCTTCAGCTAACACAACCTCCCGTCATAATGGACCACAAGGTGGCAGGCAGTACGAGTAAATATTTCTAGCACTTCTAGATACTATAGTCTCTTTAGGATTAGAGTTAGCGATATAATACTTATATTTAAGCTCCTTGAACGATTGTTAATTAGATTAGCTAAATAGTAAATAAAACTTGTCAAGTAAATAGGATTTCAAATAAATCATCCAAGGTATCAGCGTAAGTGAAACTGGGTAATTAAACAGTACTATTCACGAACTTCTCGAACCATCAATCTCACAGTGAATGCAATTTTGTCATAATCAAACTACCTAGACAGTCAATATCACATCCCAAGTCCGCTTGGACTTTCTATGTTCTCCAGTCAAACTATTCCGGAGTTTACCCGAGGACAACGGCATCATCCCAAAGCCAGCTGAGGAGGGAATTCAACAGTACCCATCCCATCCTACCACGCCTACCTCCATACTGACAACCCTTCCCATCTCGCATCATACCATTCCCACGCCGTCTTCACCTCGACACTCGGAACGATCCAGAATAGCCACCGAACCCTCTTCCTAGACCTCCGAGTGCCAGATTTACAGGGCTTGTCAAAGGTTCATCCCAACCCGTACCCAGATGGTTTTACAACTGCGCTGAGCCCAAGGCATCGCCTTCGAGTCCTTTTCGTGCCATTCCCAATATTGAAACCTCTTCACTCACCTGAGCATCTTCCTTCCCACCCTTTGCCGACGTCTTCCATACCGCAGATATGGCAGAGCCAATCTTCGAGCCAGCAGCAACTCCGGCCGGGCAGCCTCCGGATATCATGAATGACCCCGAGTTCGCCACGAATACCGAGATGGGTGATGATGGAAATGGGGACAGCGATACATGCAGAATATGCCGAGGAGAGGGCAGCGATTCCGAGTCCCTCTTTCACCCGTGCAAGTGTAGTGGGAGTATCAAATATGTCCACCAAGACTGCTTGATGGAGTGGTTATCCCATTCTCAAAAGAAACACTGCGAGCTCTGCAAAACGCCCTTTCGATTTACAAAACTATACTCGCCCAATATGCCGCAGTCGCTACCGTTCCCTCTGTTAATCAAGCATGTTGCCATGCACATTGTCAAAAACCTAGCAACATGGCTACGTTTTATGTTGGTTGTAGTGGTGTGGTTGGTATTCCTGCCGTATGCGTTAAGACAGATTTGGCGGTTGTTATTTTGGTTTAGTGATGGCGGATGGCCTACGTATCATTCCAACATTGATGCTATTCGCAATGCAACAAACGCAGGAGCTTTAGAATTGGCGCGGGAAATGCAACTAGCGGCCAGCTTGACAGAAAATGGAACTTCGCCTGTCACGCCTTTCCATGCAGCTCAGACATCTTCGGCGAGTATTGGTGGGATCATGGGGCGAATCGTCGAGATTCTTTCACCCATCTCACAAACCCTAAACTTCACAGACCCGAATCCACCGAAAGGTATTTACCTTAGTATGGGGCCCATAAAAGTCTTCATGTCGGATGATTCTAGTAACCATACAACCAATCTCACCGAGTTTCTCGCAAGTATTCCTGGCGCCTCTCCCAGCCCATCATTGTTGAGTGAGGTATCATTCTTCCGGAATCTTACACGAAGCGTTCACGTCAACCAAATTGTGATTAGCATTTTTGAAGGCTATATCATTACCTTTCTAGTTGTGGTGTCCTTTATTTTGGTCTTTCTTATTCGGGAATGGGTGGTACAGCAACAGCCTGGAATCAACATAGGGGCCGGTTTCAATGCCGAGTTTGCCGGTGCTGAGAGAGCCAGAGAACAGCAAGGTCAAGCCGATGCTCGTCGAAACCCGATTGAGGAGCGCCGAGCCGTAAGAGATGAGGGCCATCCAAATCCTATCCAGCAGCGGGAGCGAGTTATTGCTCGGCCGAGGCGAAGAAATGTTCATTTTGGGGATGCTGAGGAAGTTCCGCCGCACCAGAACCCCGCTGAAGAAGCAGTCAGAAATGGCATTTTACCCTTGGAAAATGGGGCTTTTGCACCTCGTCCTTCACCACCACGTGAGGCCTTTTCCCCAGCTGTCGAAATACAGCGGAGACTTACCGAGGAGCCAAGAATGACGGAGGAGTTTCTAGCCATATGGCGTCGTGCAGACAGTGATCCTAAAGAAGTACTGCGCATCATTGAGGACGAGAACAAGGCTAGTGAGATGCGATATTGGGTCAATGCCATGAAGGTGTTACAGGATCCTCTTGCACATGAAGGAAACTCGAACTCGGGGACGCATCTCACCGATAGAGATGTAGACCTCCCAGAATTTGCTACACCTGGTCCTCGGCGATACTCGCCTGTAGAAGCTTCCGTACCTGCCGATAGTGATACGAGCAGTGCAAGTACTGAAAGTTGGGTGGACATACAGAAGGCAATCAACATACCCACACAAGAACCAACAATCGAAGACTCACAGCCGCCCGAGGCGCTAGGCATAAGGAATGATCTTGACTACTCCTCGGAGAAGGGAAAACAGAAGGCAAATGAGACTTTAGAATCCAGTTCTACCATTCCTGATACAGATGTCATCTCCACGCCGAGTTTGCCAAACTTAGATCTGGATTCCTCAGGACTTGATTTAGATCCCTTTGCGCCTAGACCACCCCGCCCAAGAGCTGTTTCTGATGGCCCCCAAAGAAACGAAAGCAAGTCTCCGCTAGCGAATAATAATTGGTCATTTTCCAATCTTCCTGAAGTCGATAAATCAGAGAGATCCGAAGATGATTCATCTGCCGACCTTGTACACAACGAGGATCCTTCGTCTGGCAAATCTTCCTCAACCGCAAAAGGGCCCACAGACAATGCGGATGACGTGACTCGCCCATTATTGGCGAATGTAGTCGAGCCGGATAGAAATCCTGATGAAAATCGTGGTCAAGATGATTTCACTCGCATATATGACAATTTTGACGAGGCTCTTAACTCAGATAGCTCTGATAGCGATCAAGAAAATGATCATATTATAGACGATCCTATTCCCGGACCAGTTGCTGCTCAAGCAAACGACCCTCTTCCCCAAGCTCATGAGCCTGTCGTACCACGACCTGCAGAACATCGAGGTCTTTTGGGAAATGTTGCGGATTATCTGTGGGGAGCCGCTGGTGATGACAGACAAGAAGAACAAGGGGGAAACGATGAGCAGATCGTTCAAGATCTGGCAGCTGAGGCGCCATTTGTTCCCGTAGCTCATCACGACCTTTTCAACCAAGCTGATGCGGACCAAGATAGAGAGGTAGTTGAAGCCGCAATTGCCGCTGGAATCGACCCCAACGACCAGGATGCTATCGAGGATGCTGAAGACTTCGAAGGCATAATGGAACTTATTGGCATGCGTGGCCCGATTTTCAGCTTGGTACAAAACGCGCTGTTTAGCGCGTTCCTTCTGGCTTTAGCTGTTGCTACTGGTGTCTGGATCCCATACAATATTGGTAGGACATCAATATTACTTGTGGCAAACCCCGGTCCTGCCTTCAAACTGCCCTTGAGGCTTATATTTGGATGTGCGGCTTTTCTACAGGATCTTACTTTGTCCGTTCTTGGATTTGTGTCGTACTGTTTGATTTTAGCGGCCGGGATACCGACAAGACTATGGTCCTATGCATTTGCAACTTCAGCCACAGTTAAGGTCATACAAGAATCTCGACTTGCGCCAGCCGCCGCGAAGGTGTCATACGATGCTTTATTCAGGATACTAAATGGCACCGTCAATACCATAATCCACGTCACAGACTCCGAAATGTTTGCATTCTCTGCAGCCTCGCACGAGTCGCTCATAAGCATACAAACACTTATCATCGACACGGTCACTGGGATTTGGGCTGCTGCCGCGTACTTGTTCACTGGAGACTGGAGATTATCAATTGGTGGCACCTGTGAATTTCTTCTCGATTGGCTCACGTACACTTGGGATATACTGGCTTCCGTGCCCGTACTTTTCCTCAAGCCAGACTCTTGGGTGATTAGTCTTGGTGTGGCAGAACGAACAACGCCGCTTGATCTAGGGCTCAGTGTATGGGATGGATGGGCCAGATTTTGGGCCATTTTCTCCGGCTACACGGCTCTATGTGTTTTGGGTGCCCTCTATGTTAGAAAAGGCTCGCCTTTCTCTACCAGCCAAGTGGGCCGAGAATGGGAGGCCAGTCTACTCGATTTACTCAACCAAGCTGGTGGTGTCATGAAAGTAATTCTCATCATCAGTATCGAGATGCTCGTTTTCCCGCTGTATTGTGGGCTCCTTCTGGACGCTGCTCTGTTACCGCTCTTCGAGAATGCAACGATCATGTCTCGAATCAACTTCACCATAGAGTCACCATTCACTTCCATGTTTGTCCATTGGTTTGTGGGCACATGCTACATGTTCCACTTTGCTCTCTTTGTGTCAATGTGTCGGAAGATAATGCGAAAGGGGGTTTTATGTAAGTCTGATATCTGATCCCTAAATCTCCGCTAATGATACTAGATTTTATTCGCGATCCTGATGACCCAACATTTCACCCCGTAAGAGACGTATTGGAACGAAACGTGGCGACCCAGCTGCGAAAGATCCTTTTCAGTGCATTGGTTTATGGTGCATTGGTGGTCGTGTGTCTAGGTGGTGTTGTATGGGGCTTGGCACTCGCTTTCAAGAGTGTATTGCCAATCCATTGGTCGTCCAACGAGCCAGTACTAGAGTTTCCAATCGACCTACTCTTCTACAATTTTCTGATGCCCCTGGCCGTTAAATTCTTTAAACCATCTGACGGGCTTCATGCCATGTATACATGGTGGTTCCGCCAATGCGCACGAATGCTACGACTCACATGGTTCATGTTTGACGAACGGAAGCCAGACGAAGAAGGTTATCATGTTCGGAAGACCTGGTCGGTTATCTTCAGAGGATTCAAAGGCGACCCTTCCATTCCAGTTGAGACAAACGATAAAGATGCGCCATTTGAAAACGACGCTGAGATGAAAGCATACTTTTGTCGCGATGGACAGTACGTTCGAGCACCAGCTTCTGATCAAGTCAGAATCCCCAAAGGAGGACGAATATTCATGCCTGTAGATGAGATGAACGAAAGACTGGATGGTAAATGGGATCAGCCTGATGGTGTGCATGGTCGAACGAACGAGCTATACAAACAGGTCTATATCCCGCCCTTCTTTCAGCTCCGTATATGCTTGTTTATACTCTTCATCTGGCTTTTTGCTGCCTTTACAGGCGTTGGTATTACCATCGTACCGCTCGTCTTTGGGCGCTATGTTTTCGCTAAGATGATCCCGCCTCATGTTCGCAAAAACGATGTGTATGCCTTCTCTATTGGGATTTACATTCTAGGGTCTATGTTATATGCCGTTCTTCATGTTCGACAATTTTTCTCCTGGCTACGGAATGCTCTAGCTCTTGATGCAGAAACCCCATATAACATTCTACGTCGTGCTACAACGATAACTATTCGCTTTGCGCGTATTACCTGGACATACAGCGCTTTTCTGCTCGTCCTACCAACGCTCTGCACTTGTCTCGTCGAATTCTATTTCATCCTTCCTCTTCATACATTTTTCTCGGCTGATGAGAGACATGTTGTACATTTTGTACAGAGTTGGACTCTCGGCTTGCTATACGTTAAGCTCACTACACGTGTGATTCTCTGGTATGAAGACTCACGAGCGGCACAAGCCCTTCGCGCCGTCACCCGGAATGGATATCTGGACCCAGATGCGAGACTGGCAACTCGCAGTTTTATCCTGCCAAGTATATTCCTACTTTCATGCGCCCTAGGGTGGCCTTGGTTGATTGCGAATATCGCTACCAAAACCGTGATGAGAGATCAACCGCAGAATCACATCTTCGCTTATCGATATGCATATCCCTTCTGCTTGGCTATGCTGGTTGTCAACATGGCACTGTGGCGAGTGTTTGGCATGCTCAAGCAGTGGAGAATGATGATCCGGGACGAGGTTTACCTTATTGGAGAGCGGTTACATAATTTTGGGGATAGGAGGGTTGTCAGTCCGAGTGTATCTAGCAAAGTGGTACCACCGGTCCAAAGACTGGATACTTGATTTTCCAGTTGAGCGGATGATACGGATACACTTTATAATCAGTAGAACTGGTGGTAGCGGTGCGTGACGATTGGCATGAATGGAGCAAAATATTGGAAGAGGGATCTGTAAGGGAAGGGATACATTGCACTGGCGTTTTTTCTTTTGTGTTTTCCCCTATGGGAAAGGGGATAACAGTGGTGATTGAACTCTTTTTTTTTTAGCGCACTAAGCTTCTCTTTTTTGTGTGGTTTACTGAGAGAAAGAAAGAGAGGAAGCAAGAAAGATATCCTCTCCTTTGGGTGTGTTAGGAACTCTGGTGGTTACTTAGTTCTTTATAATAATTAGTTTCTTTTAATGAGGTTTCTCGTTTTGTTCGTTCGTCTTCTCTTCGCTTCTTGGATCCCTGAGGGATTAGCTGGGTGTACTATGTATGATCTGAGCGGAACATGGCTGTCCTTTTGGGCCTCTTGCGGTATTGTAGATTGATAAATATCTTTTTTCTCGCGTTTTCTTCGCTGCTTGGTGATTGTTGAGTTGTGAGGTTGTGGGGTATGTAAGGGTTCCTGGTGGAAGGTAGGTTGATGAGGATAGGGACTTCGGGTCGTGTGGGCAAGATAGGTAGGTCGTGTTGCGGTTGTGCGAGATACTTGGGAATCTCTAGAAATCTCTCCCAAGGTCCTGTTGCCGACTCTGGTGAGTTTCAGGCGGGTGACTGGGACAAGTGAGGTGTTATGGTATTAGGATGTGGGGAGGAGCGAGTCTGGGCTCGGTTTTGGGCTTGGTGGGAGTAGTCATTTCACTTTTGCTCACTTACGGGGAATGGACGATGGCGAGCTCGTCTGAGTCGAGGTTGGGGTTACCTGGTGTGAGGAAGAGGGACGTGTGCTTGCCTACAGTACTATACCACTGCTACTGCATAAACCCTAAAACACCACCTAAACTCAGGGTAAACACTTCACGTTATTTCTACTCTTCCGTGGTATAAATTTTATATACGTTTTGTATAATTAATAATTAGATAATTTCGATTAATTTTATCTACTTATTTTATTTAGTATATCTAAAGTTATAAAGTTATTAGGTAAGGAAGTTAAGTAAGATCAAAGTACACTTTTTACACCGAAAATCACCCGAAACTAGCCTAGAAGAACAGCTACCCCGCGAGTATTAACCTCACATAACGTATTTTACTTTTTAGTAGAGCGCATTCTATCAAAAGTTAAATAAGGTCGCTATTAACCAATACTTTTAGTTATAGAGAAAAATACTAACGGGGAATTAAACATATATTATTCTAAAGTAGGCAAAAGGGGTGGTTTTAGTGGGGTTTAAGGTTTTATGCAGTAGCAGTGGCACCCCTCACTGTACCTGGATAGCCGTTGAGGCTCAGTTGAGTCAAGAAGTTCAAGTTGAGAGCCCGGATCAATGATCATGTCAGGATCGTGTTAGAATGGGAAGGAGCCAGCCACCCAATGGCAGTTTCAACTCTACTATGTTGTGTTATGCAAACCCTTAAGCACCTTTTGGACAGACGAGGATTGGAGGAAGGAACGTTTTTAACGCAGCCTCCATGACAAGTTGACAACCTTGCTTATTAGCTTTCAGGGCCTATACCGCTAGGTACCTCGCAGTGAAGATGAGCTTCGACTATAAACCCTTGTGCAGGACTTCTTTTCTTTGAAACCCTTTCTCACTTCTGGGGGTAATTAGAAGTGATTTTGTGAGGGCATCTCACTCTACTCACCACATGGTCAGTATCCTTTGTCTGACCCTATAGTTTGAGTTCCTTCTTGTGGGTAGAATGATACAAGCACAATATGACTTTAAGCATAGAGCCGCATCTCTTTTTAAATCGCTTATGATCCGATCTTGTACATACCTCTCTTTTCATTTTTGGACTTTGAATTGAAGTTATGTATTGTCTTTGTTGTCTATGTCGTGCGCTAGCTACTATTATCTTCTAAAGCCATCCTCTGCCCAGAGCCTGCTCAAGAGGGTGTGTTAGAAGTCTGGCGCCTGCGCCACTGGCTAGCTCTAAAACTTGTCTCTCCTTTTCTCGTCACATCTTAGCTTGGGAGTATCTAGTCGTCCTTCTTGTTCTGCGCTAGCATGAACTGGATTGATTCTGGGGGTGTCCGGCTCTCCCAAGCAAGAAATATCCTACCAACCTCATCCCCACTGTCTGCGAAGTCATTGCCAAATGCATTTGTTTGTTCGAATTCTTCTACGAGCTTTTAGTAAATTTCAAGGAGAATTAAGCTGTAGGGCGTGTAATACCTCTCATCTTTTCCATCTCCTTTTTAAATTCCCACAAGCGAGCTTTGACCTTTTCCTCCGCGTCTTTCCAAGAGCTACAGGTTCCAAGAGACCAATCCCAACCGTCAATCAATTGGGCTTGATACTTAGTCTCCAAGGCTTCAGAAGGACCAAAAAGAACAACCTGGCGCTTTCTTTTCACGGTCTTAGCCAGGTCCCAGATACCTAATACCCGTCCAGACGAACGCTCATCTGCATCCCCATACAAAAGGACTGCTAAATTCTTGGGCTGGAACCTACGAAGAAGAGTAAACCAGCTGGGTGTCTGCTGGTCTAATCTTTCTTTAGAGCTGTCGATAAGCTCCGTTCTGAGAATCCGCCACGTAATGGCCACTTGAAGAATATGTGGTTCGTGCTCACAAGGAGCTTTTGAGTCTCCGAGATCTCTCCGCTGATTTTTGCACCGACCGCATGACCAAAGAAATCCGAAATCAGGATAGAGATCCCAGTTATTTGAAATATAGACAATTATATCTACCTCCCAATTGAAGTAAAGCGGGCGGCTGCTGCCATTAGATCGTTTAATATTATTCGAAAGACTATTGTCGAAAAAGTCAAGTTTCAGTTCCAGAAGCGTCTCATATGCTTCTTTACAAGAACTGGCGGTCACATTGGTTTGAGAAAAGCTCACGCCTTCGACGAGACCCATGACAATGACTTGCGGCAATTTCAAGGCCTCCGCCCATATCATCCTATTTGAGTTAGCAAAGAATATCAATCAGGAAGCTCGTACTCACTTTCGGAGTTCAAATGGCAAATATCCAAAAGAGTGAATTGTTCAGGCTTGGGCATTTCGTGACTCTGAAGTTGACCCTCGTCTTTGGTAACCTCCAAAGTGACCTCGAGATCGGTTTCTGGTGTTGGGGATTGAGAGACGGAATCATCGACGGAGACTTGAAGATTGGACATCTTATCATGGAGCTCTTCCTCCGGTTCCTCAAGATAATTGCTAGATGGAGGTTGAGCAGTAACGCCATGGAGTTGGGAAAGGTGAATAATGGCTCTTTCATCGGCGTTCGAGGTACCATTACCATCTCTGTTATTGCTATCCATCTTAGCGAAAGGTATATTTCGTTCTTCTCGTTGTAAGGCAAGAATTTGAAGAACTCGAGAGTGGTTCAAGGCTAGTTTACCAAGCAGGTGGTTGTGTAGAAGGCTTGGTCTTGGGGAAGCGTTGGATCGTATTTAGACCTGGCATAGCGCTGAGTCTGCGGAGATGTTCATTCACCTTTATCAGCCTGCAGTTAACCTCAAGCCAGTGTCTTTGACTCACTTTTAAGAAGGGACATGCAATCTACCCAGTCTTCAGTTCTGAAAGAAAATCTCAATGATTCGCCTATTATAGTATTTCAGGGAGAAAGACTCTGGTTACTAACTTTCTAACTAGCATAGACAGGATAGAGCAGACCTTGAGCCAACCACTTCTATCCTTCCAACCCACCAAATAAATCAAAGAAAACACAAGAATCAAAAAATCAACAACCCAAAACCACAAATAAGACCAGTCTTTCAATCTTCTACAAAACTGTACGTAGGATAGTAAATCACTAGATCTAACACAGCACTACCCGTATCTCTTTATCAGACAGACAAACAAGGCCCATCCAACTGAGGCTAGAGACTCAAGGAGATCGTCGTCTTGTTTGCTGACTTATATGAAAAGGCATATTTCAAGATTATAATGGAAAGTGCTCCAGCTAGCTAGCTTTGGAGGTGAGGGGAATAATAAGTCACGTGATGTAATTGTGATCTCGAAACCTCGAAACAACACATATCTAGCGAGACTAGCTGAACCCGCAAGATACCGTAAAAAACAACCAAACAGAAAATGCATGTACGTAATATCTCATGTAGACAGATACTTCAATTTTCTACAATAATCCTATCAAAGAGTTCTCCCAAGTATTCCCCAAAGCCGTGTTTTGGGCTTTGGCAGGAAGAAGAATAAGAAGAGAGAAAAAAAGCCCACAGCCCAAAAAGCGACCCAAGTGAAACTTGAAACGTTGTATCTTTTATGCCACACAATATCCTCTTTCTCTCGTTATGCATATTTTGGCAAACGTAAGGTATACCCGAAGTACAATCATCCGTAAAAACCACCCCTCCCTCGGACTTCAAAGGCTGGCTTTAAAGAGTCCGAAGTTTTCACTCTTCTCTGTCAAATACGAAGGACAGAAGATCAAATCAACTCCCAGCCATGCACACGTCCAACACCACCCATGCTTCCTTTTCGTCTTCTTCTTATTTTGTTTCGGTGTCTAAAAACACAAGCTTCTGTTCGTAGTTCGTAATTCAGTCCATCTTCAAGCCTTCACCTTCCTCAACGTGAATCTCAGTAGCAGGTTCTTCAACTTCCTCTCCATCAAGGCTGTGGTTCACGTTGAATTCCGGGCCCCGTCTAGCCAGTAAATCTTCATGGAGACCCATGATGCCAAGTTGTTGTTCCTCGTCCATATCGGGGACGTGGTTTTCATCGATGTAAGACTCATCAGGACTGGCGTTTTCAAATTCCACCAAGCGACCAGCTCTCGAACCTGAGCTTGCCGAAGAGTTGCACTGACCACGATCGCTGCGACCATCATCCATCTCATCCGAACTCGCTCCATCACCAATGACTTTCCCTCGGGTATTTCCTAAGCCATTGAAATTCCATGTTGCCGGCATCACACTATCTATGCCTTTAAGCTGGTTGTAAGATTTGACGTTGTTGATGTTCAGACCATCCTCTTCCATCCCAATGGCCTCGTCATCCTCGATGCTGTCTTGAATGGGGTGGTTGTCGTTCATAGTAGCGTCATTATCATAAAGTTCTGCATCGTTATCTTCGTGGGTTTGGTAGGGAGGCAGACTCTCCATCTCATGAGCCGAACCATGATTTGGTTGACGGTGAGCTGCTTCTACTCCGGTCAAGGCGCTCGACGACCCACGAAAGGTATTTCCGACGAGGCGCTGTTCTTCCCCCGACTCCATTGCATCATCATCATTAGGATCATGTGGATTTTCGAAATCATCAAAGATCTTTTGAAATCTTTCTCCCCCTAGCGGTACCTCTGATCTTCGCCGATAGAAAAGAAGGTATGCAGCGGCGGTAACCACTGCATTTGGATCGTTGATTTTATGTACAGAAGAGTCTGGAGGAGGATCAGTAGATGAAGAGACACTGAGAATCAGTTGAACTTACCGTTATACTCGTACCACTCGCCATCGATGAAGCTTTTGGCGAAAGCAGTATAATGACCACCTCCAAGTCCTCCCCAATGATCGTCAACTGCAATCAGGTCGTAGATTTCTCGTTTCCCATCTTCCTTTTCAAAGACGCGCGAAGAAATATCAAGGCCCTCGATGGGGAAGTCGACCATAACATCGAGTTTATCGCGGCGCGTACCACTAGAGCTAAATCTCTTGAGATGTATGACAAGGACGTCAGGTGTCTTCCAGAGCTCTAGCTTTTTGCTTGCTCGTACATGTTCCTTGCAGCGAGGACAGTACCAAGTATCCGCCTCTGATAGAACTTCCTCCTTGCCAAACTCGTTCAGGCAATCGTCCAGGGTTATGCCATTTTTGCGACGTTGTGCGCGTGCCTTTTTCTTTGCATCAAGTTGCGGATCTGGAAGTGTGGGCAAGTTGGTGTATCTATCGACACCGCGCATTGTATCGTTGGCATCATCGCCACCGTACATGGCCGCCCAGGCCTCCTCATTCCAATCAACGATAATTCCTTCTCCAAGACGAATAAGTGGCCCATCGTCCACAACTTCTCCGTCATCGTCGTTGGCGCCATCTGTCGATGCCCGATGCTGGTTCCCCTTTCTTGAGTAAGTCTTCATTTTACGATTGCGACGCTTGCTGTGACCTACTCTGACCCCAGCTCTTGATCGGACAGGAAGAGCCTAGTCTTCGTCAGAATACCTTCAATCAAGAAGGAAGCTGTGCAGATTCGGATGGGGAAAAAATCAATGCATTTCGGATTGTGAAAAGAAATATCGAACTCACCTTAGATACGACGGGCGCAGGAGCAGCAGCAAGTTCATCTTCGCTGCCGCTAGACTCTTCGTTCATCCGTGTTTGATTAGAGAATGCAACAGAATTGTCTTCGTTGCTACTCTCTGATCTGGCTCGGGTACTTGATCCATCAGATCCATCTAAGCCGTCAACGGGATTTTGTTGTGATAGCGGAATTCTGGAAGCTAGTGTAGGATATGAATTATCGTCTTTGATGTTATTGAAGCCTGAACAAATTAATGTATTCGGCGATGTGATGTAGTTTAGTACAAACATGTTTTGAAGTTGAGGATTTAGGTATTCTCCCGGACTCATGAACTTTGGTCGTCGTTTGGTAAATGCCTTCAGAGGCAAACTATAAAATCAGTCAGTAAAACAGTTATGCTCTCAAGCCCGTGACTCTTACAATTCTTGGTCGGCGCTCTGAGATTTTTCACCATCAGCTTTTCCGGTCACGATAGAGTCCTTCATAGTAACGTCCACAAGCTCATCTTCGCCATCAACTGAAGTTGCAACTACCTTGCTACCCCCAGAAGAATCAGCATCAGATCCAGTAGTGAGGACGATGTCCGGATCAACGCCATCCGAAACACTAGCATCAGCCTCATCATCGTCATTGGCGAATGCGCTAGATGTGCTAAAGGTCGCAATTTTTTCGAGAATCTTTCTTTTGATTACTTCGATGTCTCGAGCCTACGTTGGTTAGATTACAGGATGAGATATTTGGTGGCTCAGAACACTTACCTCTGAAGGATTGACTACAATGAAATGCGGTGCCTCAGTAGCCATCCACTTGTTTTTATTGAATTTGTTGTTGCGTGCAGGATCTGGTTTGCGATAGAAGACAGGCACGAGCATGCTATCTGCCATTGGATCACTCCAATGTGGTATCTCATCTTCCATATCAGGCATAGTACTCAGCACTGACTGAAAATGCTTTTGTTTCTTGGCTTTGCGTACTGGTGGCCAATTGGTCACCTTTGCTTCCAATTCGTAGACCACGGGACGGTCGTTGTTTCCAACCTCTTCCGAGGCCACTTGTCCATCTTCATAGATTTTGTAGAACTTTTTGCTGAATTCCTCGGCAGCAAACAATCTATCAACTGGTACGCCGACTCGTTTACTGATAAATTCCTTCAGATTCAAAATGGTGCCTTGCTTGTCGATGTCGACATTGATGATGACAGGGGGGTCATTCAAGGGAAAGTAGAAGACGGGGAATTGCCAGGAGCTTTCGATGGGCAATTGCAAGGTCAAAGCGTTAAATGGATCAAATGTGATGCTCACTTTCGAGCACTGGGGGCAAACGAGAGTTGACTGATACATGCCAGTAAAAAGGTCTGCAATGACAGAGTCATCACGTTTCTTGGTAATGTCCCAAACCTTTTCTGCCATTTCTCGAGTTGCTTGCGGATTGCCGATCATTTCATCAGTCGAATCTGGCTTTTCGATGTACGGCTTCTTTCTCACGCGACTCAAGTCCTCCTGTAGACCATCGAGAAGGAAACCGAGAAACTCCTGAGAGTCTTGCTGGCCATAGCCCGAAAAAGACGGTGCATATTTACCAATGGTGGTCTTGAATTGGCGAGGAGCCACTGATGTCGGTACTGGGTCCTTGTAAAATTCCTGCAAGAGACGATAATAGGCCATGGCAACCTCGCCATTATTTCCCAGCGGATTATCGACATTCAATTCCGAAGTTGCAGTACCAGTTAAGAAGTACTTGGTCAGCTCCTCCACACTTCGAACGCACTGGAGCGCAGAATTCATGTAGCAGGTATTCCCAAGGTTACTTAGACCAACTGTCCCCAGAGTTCTACCATTCTTTGACCGGCCTCGCGTGATCACACCAAATTGAGCTGGGCTGCTTCTACCGCTAACAGGTGCGCTCTGAGAGGCACCGCTACGCGATAGAGCAGTAGAAGCGCCGTGCTTGCCCGCAACAAAATTGGAAACATGCGTCTTCGATTTAGCATCAACCTCTTCATCGATCACGATGGTCTGATCTTCTGCTAAGCCTACAATCGACAAGGTCACATTGCCGTTGTATTTTGGGTTGGCACTAACGTCCTCGTGTTCCAGGACCTCTCTTTGACTCCCTTTCTCGAGGTGCAAAAATGATGTCACGTCCAACAAGAGATTCGTCCACAAATCCTGAGGTTGCCGAATAGATGAAATGTTCTCTGAATTTGGCGAACTGGGACGTGATAATGGTGGTGTGGCGGCGTTTGGAATAGGCGCCGAGGTATTTGCAGCGGGTAGTTGCCGGGGCACTCTCCAAATTCTGACCTTTTTCGAATTTTCTATGCTCGTCCTAAACTTTATCTTCTCGAGAAACTCAACATATCTTGTGGATGTGCTCAGGACTAAAACAACAGGTTTGGGCCTTTCAGCTTTGAGCTTTTGGGGGAGCAAGATCGGGGTTTGATCTCCCCATAACCTATGTATTGTAAAGATTGGGGGGTTCAACTCGTACTGCATGTTGGGAAGGCCGTATTTGTCCGGGCTCGTGTTATGGGCGTAACGCACGATCGGGACCGTCCCCGGCATGATCCCATACCATTCTACAATCATGTCCCAAGCATCTTTAGGGAGCATCTCGAAATGTTCTGGTCGGTTCATTCCAGGTTTGAGTTGGGCAAATTGAACTCCTTCCGCATCTGTTATGAGTTGTTGTATAATATCTGAATTATCCACTGGCCCAATCTCCCCTTCTGGCTCAACTTTGCTATGCTGCCTTGCCTCTGTGCCTCGATCGGTGACACGTTTAAGCCAAAGCATAGACACCAAGTAAGACTCGTCTCCCTCTTGCGGTTGTCCCTCCAAAGCTGCCGTCGCCAATGTGCTTACAGTCTTGATCTGATAGTCGATAGAAGGAATATCTGTAGTAAATTGAAATCAGCTATGTCGCAGAGAGCAAACAACTAAGTGTACGTACCTGTACAAGGTTTCATTGTTTGGGTAGTGGGCTTGTCTTCTTCCGCAGAGGCATTGGGCGACTTGTCTTCGTCTGCTCCAGCAGGTAGTGTTTGTGAGCTGTCTGGCAGGGACTTCTCATCTTGTAGCTCTTCCGATGGTAGAACAGTGACCATTTCCACATCTTCTTTCTGGTCCAAGACCACATCAGACTCTTCTAGGTCCGACGCCCGTCTCTTCAAAGGCGAGGAGGACCTCTGTGTCTCGTTTACAGCTTCGCCCATCATTATCCTTCTAGAATGTGTACTGATGGGCGACTGGCTTTTGTAGGCCCCCGTGTCGTTTGGGGCAAGTGAGGCAGCTCGTTGTTGCGCAGCTGACGAATCCACGCCGCCTTCACCGTGGATGGAAAGACCAGCGTATGCTGCACTGGGCGAGCTTGCCGCTGACGAAATGTACTCTGGACCAGTAAATGTGGAAGAGTTCTGTAGGTGTGAAGGAATATGGGGAGGGAGCGTGGATTCGGAAGCGGGAGATTCAAATTGGGGCGGGTCGCGGTGTGGTAGCGATTCTTCAACGGACCTCAGAGGGTTATCTGGATTGTGATTGTGGACAGGATGCGGGGAGGTTGTGTGACGCGGCGAGAGCTTTCGTTTCTTTGCAGAAGACGCCGTGGTGATGCGAGCTGCCTGTGCAGCTCTGAGATGAGATCGCCTGGTGGGAGTCGTATGGCTACGAGATCGTGAATGGTTGGTGGTGGGAGGTGGGAGGTGGATTGGTGGTGTAGAGCAGGCGTTGGGCGTTGGGCGATGCTTCAGACTCAGATGCTCGGTGGTGGGACAACCAGAGGGGGAAGGCAAGTATCGGAATTTATGGATATGGGCCACGACAAGCAGTCGGCCACATCAGATTTTGATTGCAACGGAATTAAGTGTGGCCAGATTGGTGGTGAATCACTGCTGGGGGTATGGGTGTCAGGGCAGATGTAGAGGTTTCAATCCTGTATGCGTAGCGTTGAGTCTCTGCCTGCTCTGGATCTCAGCGTAGGTTTGGTGGTGTTGTGCGAGGACGCCGTCAATTTTTGAAGAAAGATGGCGACACCAACACTACAATCACCAAGACACCAATTCCTGAATAGATGCAGAAATAAATAGCTACTCGTATAGCCCCAGAAAAGACTGTGTCACGAAAGTACCACAGTTTTGGCAAATGAATTGGCAGTTTCCAAGGGTATGACTTTTAGTCAACGTTGCGCGTGGTCAATTGCAAGTCATGTTGGCCTGAGCTGAGGTGGAGTCTCAAGTCTGCATATTCTGAATGGATTTCAAATCAAATGAATATTCTATAGAATGAAATTCTTCTCTTTCTCTTTGAGATGTTTGTTTGTCGTAATCCACTGTCTTGTATTTGATGTGCAGGCGAGTGTTTCTGTTTTCTCCGGAACCTTGAGCACTTAACTCTGATTTTCAACTATAAACACATCCAACAGAATTACAATCTTGACACATATCTAATGAAACGCCGCTTAAACATACCCTAGTTTAGTTCAATTTACGCAATCCTTCAAAAATATAATGTGTTCCTCCTTGCTATTTAGCCCTTCTATGAGTAACGGAACTTGGCTATCAGGGGGAGAAAAAAGACGCCGATTTAAGGCACAGGGCCACCTCGACTAACACCACCACTACCTAGCATTTAATATGTATATTAAACCTATCTCAATAGATTTAAAGAATGTCTAGACCGCGATAGACAAATAATACATTATCAGACATTATTCTACAATTTAATTTGTAAATGTTATAATGAAACGTTATTATTTAGACGTGGTGTTAGGTGGGGTGGCCTGTGCCTCAAATCGGCGTCTTTTTTCTCCTCCTGATAGCTTGGCTGCCAGGTGGGCCCGGGGAGCTCAACTTGTCACGTGACTGTCACTCTTTTGTATGCCGCGGGTAGCGATACAGCTATCCCTGACTCCCTAACTCTCACAATACTGGTAGACAGAACTCCTACTAAACCCAAATGAGAATGATAACTTTTGCAGTTCATTCGCTATCAACTTATTCAAAACATATGTTTCATTCTTAAACCCCCATTTGCGCAACAAAAGCATCTCGTAAAGCCCTACCGTACCTACCCTAGGACGGGTAGCCAAGGAATCTATCAAAGTTGCCGTCTAGATGCTTTATTAATTTATTACAGGTCAGCTTACACTAGCCTCGAAATTTACAAAGCAGGAAAATTCTCACAAGCATACATTACACTACTCTTCAATTCGTTGATACTTGCTGTGCGGTGGAGCACGGCGGTCAACAAACAATCGCACAGCCCCAAATATATGCGAGGCGAGTGTGGCTTGCCCTCTCTCTCCACACAACCCGTCTACTTTACGAGACGAGATCTTTCATTTGCATCATCGGTGAGACCATAATAGACTGCCAGAACACGCTTTCGGTGGTATGGGTAGTGTACATGAAAGCCCGTCATAAGTGTTACTTTATTGGGCTAGGAAACAATAGGTGAATAGTCACTTCCGCTCACCGAAATGACTCGATTCGGCACCTACAGTATCAAGGCAGTGAGGCAGCTGAACTGTTTTGCTTGCCTAGCTTTGGCTTACCTCTACTGTACTTGATGTATATATATAAAGTCCCTTCCTTCTCTTCCCTTCCCATTTTCTTCCATCGTGCACTGGAGAACCCCACTCTCTGCACAACCACCATGAATTCTTGTGATACCAAGATATAATATCAAGCACCCGCAAATCGCGCGAGGTCTGATGAAAAGGATGAATGAATGGGAAAGACCCGAAACAACAATGACGGAGGCCCTCGCGGATCACCTCACTTCATTCTCAGTCCGGCCTTCTAGCTCCAATGAGCCATTCCTCGATCCGGGCCAAATCAACCCCCAAACCGCCATCTTAGAAGCCTTCTTTCCGGGGTTTTCTCTCATCTCCTCCGCACTCCTCAAATATGCCAAAATCGACCTCTCGCTCTACCTCCCCATGCTCTTCGTCCTGGGACTCATCATTTTCGTGACAAGATATTGTTCCGACTGGGCCTGGGATTTCGTGGAAACGCATGCCATGTCTAGTGCAGATATCCGCGTAGATGATGAGATTTACAATATGTTGATGGCGTGGGTTGCCAATCAGCAGTTCGCCAAAAGAACGCGTCGTTTTGTGGCGAACACGAATCTTAATACGCGAGCGTGGTTACTAAGTGCTTGGACTCAGGACCAGGAGGATGATGAGGTGGAAGAGGAAGAGGAAAGTGTGGGGTTTGATGCAGATGGGAACCCGGTTGGTAAGATTGGGGGGAGTAAGGGGAAAGAAGTGAGGTTCACGCCGAGTTTTGGGACGCATTACTTTTGGTATAAGAAGCATCTCTTACTTTTTAGAAGAGCCAAGGAGGAACGTCAAAATGGGTACGGATCTGTAAGTTAAATGCGTGTTCTTCTTTTTTAGTTTTTGTCCTGACTACCCTACTTTGATTTGGTAACCGGATTACCTGGATGGGCTAATACTTTCGCGAAATAGGTCAGTGAGCGAGAGGAAATCTCCATCTGCTGTTTTGGCAGGAACCCAGAGATTCTTAAGACACTCTTGGAAGAGTGCCGCACGGAATTCAAGAAAGGTGATGAAACTCGAACGGTTATCTATCGTGGAGGATCAAAGTCTTCACTAGCAGAAACCTCTTGGACCAGATGTATTTCCCGAGCCTCCCGACCATTTTCGACCGTCGTTCTCGATGAGACTGTCAAGCAGAATCTTTTGGATGACATGAGAGATTACCTTCATCCATACACTCGGAGGTGGTAGTAAGTAGCATTCCACATCCCAACAAAATCCATGGCATCGTTCTAATATTTCTCAGCTCTAACCGAGGTATTCCATATCGTCGTGGCTATCTATTATATGGCCCTCCAGGTACCGGGAAAAGCTCTCTTAGTTTTGCAATCGCCGGTTATTTCAAGCTCAAGATCTACATCGTCAGTCTCAACTCGCCCTCCATGGACGAAGAAACCCTGGGAACGCTCTTTTCTCAACTCCCCAAGCAATGCGTAGTCCTCCTCGAGGACATCGACACAGCAGGCCTGACACATACCCGAGGGGACGCCGCAAAGGATGACACGTCTGATAAACCAGAAAGCCCAACATCTGCAAATGTCGAGAAACAAAATACTGAAAGGCCTGGGAGGATCTCGCTCTCGGCACTTCTTAACATCTTGGATGGTGTAGCGAGTCAGGAAGGGAGAGTATTGATTATGACAACGAATCACATTGAGAAGCTAGATTCTGCTCTCATTCGCCCAGGCCGAGTCGATATGACCGTCAAATTCGACCTAGCAACCACCTTCATGCTCGCCACAATCTTCCGATCTATCTTCGCCATCCTGGAAGGTGACATTCCTCCTTCCGCCCGAGAGACGGCCTTCCCCCGTATCCGCTCCCCTAAACCCTCTTCGGGCACAAAAACAAAAACAAAAACAGAGAAAGACATCTTAGATGAGAGAATTCGTCAAGAAGAAGAAGCAAGATTAGAAAAAGAATTCGCCGAGAAGAAGACGAAAGAAGAGGAAAAAGTCGAAGAGTTGAGTAGACAGTTCGCAGATGCCATTCCCAGTATGGTATTCAGTCCCGCTGAGATCCAAGGGTATCTCTTGAAGTATAAGAGGGAGCCAGAGAAAGCAGTTCAGGGAGCCAAAGATTGGGTCAAGGAGACTATGACGGAGAAGCGGAAACAGGCTGAGAAGGACAGGCAGGATGAAGAGGCTCGGTTGAAGAAGGAAAGGGAAGATGAAGAGGCTCGGTTGAAGAAGGAAAAGGAAGCTGAAGAAAAAGAGGCGAAGGAGAAAGTGGAAAAAGAGGTCGAGGAAAAATTAGAGGCGGAAAAAAAACTTGTGGAGAAAAAAGCTTTGGTTAATGGTATCAAGGATAATGAATAGATGCATGAGTGGTCTGTAGATGAGGGCCCGATGAATTATATGAATACCTAAAGATGATTAGATACCCACATATCCTCCTTTCAATTATAACTAACGAATGCTGATTGAGTCGTAAATACAAGAATTCCTACTATTCTGTTACAAGATAAGAAGGGGAGAACTCTTCAATTTGTAAAGTAAGGTATAGGTGGCTATCAAATACCCTAAAATGTAGTGTACTAAATTTAAGTAGGTGAGTTGAGTAGTAGGGTAGCACCTAAATACTTACTTCAATTAAGCAGTCAAAATCGCTACTCTATAGGTACTTAATTCGCCAAGAACCTAATTGACTCAATTACTAATTACGTAGAAGGAAATGGCCAGCCCGAGTGTCCGTACCACGCCTGAGGTACTCCAGCCGGGCGGTCCGCCTACTCACATTTAGCCCCGTGCCCCTACATATAGTACAAGCGACGGTATAAGCGAGGCCTCAGTGTCGGAAATGCTACCTTTTTTAATAATAAAAGCTAGTCCATCATAGTATTACGAGCTATCATGTCTTCTAGCTATAATGATTAATTATGAAAACACTAAAAAAAGGGTTTTCCTGAGTAGAATAGGCATCAAAGAACCGGATTTTCATGTGTTTTTCAGTACTACTTAATTAGCAATTGGATAGTTAATTCTACTACTTGACTCAACTCAACCAAAACACCTACTTATACTTAACTCAACTCAACTCAACTCGAGTAGTACTCGAGTCGACTTGAGTATTTGGCTAGTCTTTTAGTACACTGCTAAAATGACGCTAGTGCTAGTGGGCAGTGGGTGAATATCAAATATCCTATAACATATCCTTTTACACTTGGTTTTTCATAATGCCTTGAGCGACAAGCTGAAAAAGGAGTTCCGAAAACGTGTCTGTATTCACCGCAGAGCCGGTGTGCAAAATTAGTTCGGAGGGTAATTACTAATTTACGGTGAAGTCATGAGTTGAAGTTCAAGCACAATAATGGCACAAATTTGGTATAAGCGTAAGCGTTGATTATTCAATCTCTAAATTCTGGTCTCGGTTTCTTATTGAAAAAGAGAAAAATTGGCGTCGAGCCTGTGTATCCCGTCCCCGTCCTGTTTTTTTTCTATCCCGTACCCATCTATCCGATCCGCGCATCTCAAATATGAGTCATATATACAATGAGTGAAGCCCGAGTGAAGCCCACAGAGCCAACATTCGCACACCCAATCCTCTTCACGAAGAAAGATTTCTTCTTCGAGAAGAACGATGATTCAATCACCCCCACCACTAAACAAACAAAACACCAAAGAAAAGTGGAAAAACAAGAAGCCTGTTCCAAGCCTGAATTCCTCTCCAGAGAGAGTCCAGCGGGTATCACCAACAGAAAATTGTCCAAAAACGCCCTCTGTATCGCAGTATTTATCCATCAAGAATCGCGGCCGGAAAGAAATATGTTATCCAAATTTTTAGCATTTCGCAAGAGTCGAACCAGTGGCGCAAAGCGCTACTTCGTTGTCGGTTCCATCGACGTTTCCTTGACAGTCGACGTTTAGTGGTGTAGGGCAATCAGCACAATCGTTGGTAACCTTGAACTCCACACCGACACAGTCTCCAGCAACCTCGAATGAGAGAGATTGACCTGGGTTCTCGCCGGTGAGGGTTGCGTTTGGCATGTTGGATGGCTGTTGGGAGATTGGTTAGTCAGAGTTTGGAAACACGGAATGGGAGGGGAGCTTACCAGTTTGAAGTCACAAGTGAAAGCCTCGAACTGGCGAAGAGTCACGGCGATGTTTCCACAGTCGAGAGCGAGAGTGGCGGGGACTCCAAGGTTTAGGGTGTGTGGGAAAGAAACGGTCTCGGCGATGGAGACATTGTTGCGGAAGGCGGAGAGCGTGAAGGTGGCCTCGTCGGTGGCAAGAGAAGAGTTCGAGTTGTCCAGAGACTCAATGGACTTGGGCTTAGGACCAGGTCTGGTGAAGATGAAAGGAAAGATGGAGCTGGCAATAGCTGTGATCAGTCCAACTCCTGCGGCACCAGCTCCGAGCTTTTCCTTGTTCAAGGCTCTGGCGACGAGAGGAGCAGAAGGCGCCTTTGGCTTCGGAGAACAGTCGGTGGTTCCGTTGACTTCAGCTGGAGCGGGAGCGGGAGCGGGGACAGGTTTTGGGCCAGGTCTGGTGAAGACGAATGGCAGGGCAGAGCCAACAGCAGCTCCCAATAGTCCAAGCCCTGCACCGACACCATATAATTTGGCGGTTGTACCTCCGATTGCTGGGGGTGCAGCTACGGTCTCAAGATCTCTGGTAGTAACTGCGACAGGAGCGACCTTTGGGTTTAAACATGCAGTTGAGGCGGCGGGGTCGGCGGCTTTGGGAGGTTCAGGAGCGACAGCCTTAGCGCCAGGGTTGTGGTTCGCAGTGTGGAACATAAATGTCAAAGGCATACCAACAAGTCCAACGAGGGCGCCGAGGGCACCAGCAATGGCTGTCTTTCTGCCATCCTTTGGCTCTCGGGTCTGAAGCTCTCGCAGTTCGAGGTGCTTTCTTGGAGGACTGGCCTCGGCGAAGGTCGAGAGTGCGACGGTCGCAACAAGGGCGATGCTCCTGAACTGCATGGTGAGAATGGTATGAAAACTTGTGGTTGAAGGGAAGAAAGGTAAAGAGAACCGAAGTCGAGAGGAGAAGAGAAGTAAAGAGGAGAGAAGAGAAGGAAAGAGAAGAGAAGAAAAGAGGACAAAAATGAAAAGGAAGAAGGTGGTGGTGGTGGAATGAAAAGAGAGTCTTGAGAGATATCCAGGCCAACTTATGTAGAAGTCTAAAAGAACTTGATTCTCAAAATCACTCACTCCGCCACCCACTCACTAAACGGAGCGGAATACTCAGGAGTGGCCCGGTGGAGCTCAACCGCCACGATGACCAACAATCAGCCTCTCCTTTCTACGGAAATATCCCCAGCTTCTCTGGGGAGAGTGGACTTCTCGGAGTCCCTCCGGACGGCTTTGGCCTAATTTTTAGCGAAATCAGCGAATCAGCGACCAAGATTTGGGGAATAGAAACATCTCCTTCTATCACATATGATCTGCGTGACATCGAGGCAGCCTTAGCTGTATACCCGGACCCTCTTTACCTCGTGCCAGGTATAGAAAATGTAGCTTTCCAAGGGTAGCTTTAGTGGATTACGGGGTAAAAATCCACCCATGAAGTTTTACGTTTGTTACCTAATGCCCAGGACGAAGTATAAACGAAACATGGGGTTTAGGGGTCCAATGGCGTCGGAAGTTTATGCGAGCCTTGCCGATTGGACTCGGCAAAAATGTTTTGTTTACAATTGGCTTCGGGCCAACCGAACCTTGAGGCTGAAAGGACAAGAATAGACAAACGAGGCAAAGCTCTTCCCCTCCCCCCCATGTTCGTGTATCACCCATACGAGTTTCTGGGGAAGCCACAATACGGCACGGGAGTAGTTGAATATACCGACAGATTCCCCAAAGATCAGCCACATGGTCAGAGGCAGATCGCCCTTCCAAATTGGATCCTGCTGGATACCGTAACGTAAGGGATTGATTGTTGCTACTTCGCAGGTATTGTTAAGATAAAACCTCCTAATGTCACGACTTTCGCCTCCTCCGGCCTATGGCCACGTGATCAACTCGAAGAAGAAGGCAGAGAGAATTGCGGCCGTGGCGATTGTTAATTCTCCGATTCCGTATACCGTACGGAGTACTGCTCCGTATGGCTGTACTCGAGTAGGAACAGTATCAAAACCTCCTTTTTTCACCAATCAGAAGGCAATAGTTGAAGAATTCAATCTCTCCAAGTTAATTTGTTGCGCTGTTGTGTTAGGTGGTTGTGGAAGATAACTTGAGGAAGAACCCTGGAAGGCTTTTCGTCCCAGAATTCGGGGTGCAGATTCAAGTGCCTGTTTGTAAGGTCTTGGTGGCACGTGGCAAATGTTTCCCATCCATGGATATGGTAGGTAACAAGAGTTGAACAGAGCTCAGATTCTCAGAATGGCTCGACACTCACACATCCACCCAAAAACAAGAAAGGAGAACTTCGAGGTCAAGTCGTACGGATTAGAGTTCTGGGCACGTCAAATAAAGTACAGTAAGCTCCGTACTCGAATATGAGTGCTCCATAATCAAGGTTGTCTGTACCGCTGATCTCCAGTTTGACGTTTCAGCCTCATAAGCGATTTTATGCCGAGCTTGCCCATGCCCGAACTTGCCTAGTTAAGCTAAAACCTGTACCGGCACATGATGTAACCTTATTGCGGGAGAGAGAATTAGAAGTATATATATTACCCTGCTTCTGTTCTTGAAGATCAGCCTGAAATTTTCGACCAGTAACAAGACAGTTTTCGTCTTTCTCCTTGAGATCCTTTTCATAGAAGTGACGTTTGCAAGTCATTATTCTTGTTCCTACTTATCCAACAACCTCATCTTGTTTTAGGTATTTGTTTCTTCTCCACTCGTTAGCCAAACAGACAGACAAAAATTTCGCTCAAATCACGTTGAAATTGGGCTGGAAAAGTTTTTGATAGCAAGGCTTTACTTACGGAGTAAATTTACAGTATCGGATTATTTTCCCATTCTGAATCAAGGACGTGCACAGCTTTTTTGGTGTAAACTCGGTACAAGAGATATCAGAGTGCCGAATCTCGGCTGAAAAAGAATTCCCCGAACTGTCCAGGAGATAACACGGCTTACTGTAAGGGAAACCAGCGAATTAGAAACTCGGGTCTGGGCGATATAGACAATTTGTCAGGTAGAGCTTATATAGTCGAATGCACTAGAATGGATCAACAGCCCAAGCGCTAGCATATGTATTTAGTCCTGCAAGTCTCAGACTCTCTTTGCTAGATAGTTTAACTAGATTGATAACCACAACTTCAATAAAAATATCACAAATGATTCGCGTAAAATAGAGCAGCATTAACTCCTCGGTCTTAGCCATGTACGAACCTGTGTTTTTTTTGGTCATTTTGCATCTCTGCGGAGTACTAGGGCTCTGGCCCTTCGACCCAAACACTTGCCAATACTTGCCAATACTTCGTCCTAGTCACACTGTCAAAACTCCACTCAGAGACCCAAGGTGTACGAGTAGCCAGGGGGTAGCTAATATCCGATGGGATCAATGCCGCACGTGCCATCACCAGGCCCCTACTCGTGGCTAGACCTTTCCAAATTTCTATTTTGAATGTACTGCGACTTCTAACGTAATTTTGAATTACCTTAATAGACCTTTTTTTTAAAAGGGGGTAGGAAGAGCGTCCCAAGGGGATTTCAGTGCGGCCAAGGATAAAAATTCCCTTAGCACTATCCTGGCGACACATTGGGCCTCCGAGTCGAGTTTTGTCAGTAACGAATGTAAACTTTACGGGAGCGGGTTTTCCCCCATTCCCCATACCCCACTAAAGCTACCCCAGAGAAGCTACAGTTGTTATGCCTGGGAGAAAGTAATTACGGACTACTGCCTTGAGCCTAATTTACATATCTCATTTGCTTTTGGGCACGGGATTGAAAGCGTGGGGGAAATAAAATTCTATCTAAAGCCTAAAGGATCTAATTATTACGGACCGGACTTCGGCGGTATGGCTACCACTCCTCAAGACCTAATAATTAATTTTCAATAGCTCACTTGTATAGAAAAGTGCTTGATATAGATAACCGACAAACCTAAAACTAACCACACCTAGCTGTCGTGTGCTCTATTACCTATTATAGCCTTGCTGTTATATAACCTCTCGCCCACCCAGAGCTATCGTATCAATTACTCTGAGCTGTCGTTGTCTACTGCTCTAAGGTCGTAAAGGAGAACTGCAATATTTTCGTGTTCTCGCTACAGTAAGCCTTGAGCGCTAGTCAGGAAGCCTTTTCTAAACTAAACTAAACGTCGTACAGGATTACCCCGCCTTCCCCAAACTCAGAACCTCCCGAGGTCCTCTTCAAGGTTCTCTACAAGCAACCACGGCACATGACAACAATATTAACAGCAGCGACCTGGAACATTGAAGAGAATAGGGAATGAAGTAGCCGGGTAGGTAGAAAGAAGAGGAGTGGGGTTGTATATAGGGATAGAGAGGTGGGAGTGCCACACTGAGTATATAATAAACAACTTAAAAAAAGGTAGTGAATAATAAAAGATTTGGCTGAAAAGGAATGCGTAAGGATTAATTCTCATTGCATGAGGAGTCATGGTGCCAATCGCCGCCCAAGTTCCGTTCCGTAAATCATGGTCATGACAATCTCATGAGCCGAAATGGCCAAACTGTTGTCAGCTATGACGAATTGTCCTTGCCGTTTATTCTCTCCTTGTTTATTATATTCTACATTCTCGTTGTTGTTTTTATTTTATTTTATTTGATATTTTATTATTTTTATATATTTATTTAAATGAGAAAAATCATTTGATCATCTGCATGCTTTGTGAAAAACTCAGAGCCATCGTTGTTCCGAATTCTGGCAAAAGTAGGCTACAGTAAGTGTAGCTGAGTTCATCTGAAATGTAGCGAATACAACCAAAAGGGTCTCTCATCCCCCTCGGTGTTTAAGCCGGGCGGCTGACAAAAGCTTGGCGCTCAAGCCTTGGAACAACACCAGACGTCCATCTCCACATCTGCCTCCTCCACTTCTCTATACCGTGGCTTGCGCAGCTATGAAAAACGTCTCTCGTTCTTCCGGTTAATGTCGAAGAATATTCGAGGCATTGCGCCTCATAATTTACCCCCCATTCCCCAGTCAGAGCCAGAGTCCTCATGTCTTGGGAACTCCTGAAGCGCTTCATCGAGAGCGATGTATTCAACCAGAATCCATTCCTTTCGGTAGCCTACCTCTCGTAAGAGCCCGCCACCCCTCTCTATGCTGCGCGACCTTATAGGCGGATACTAATTGTGTGTACAGACGGTATGCGGACCACGTCGGAATCCACTATGTGTTATGCTCCAAGCTCCGCCAGTTCAGTTACGAAGAAATAGAGTTCTTTTTGCCGCAGTTATGTCACCTTATAATAAGCGTCGATAACGAGTCTATGGCCCTGGAGGAATTCATCTTAGATCTCTGCGAGGAATCGGTCAATGCGGCTCTGCTGGTATTTTGCCTTCCCCTCAGGCGCAGGCTACGTGCTGACGAAAATAATGACAGACTTTCTGGCTGTTTCAAACATATCTCCACGACCTCTCTCAAAACCCACAATCGGAAGCTTTCAAGACGTGTAGACGGATCTATAATAAGGTACAGCATATCGTGTTTGGAGTTGCGGAGCCAGTAAGAATTGAGAAGATCAAGGAAAATGTACTCCCAGTCACCGTCCTGGCAAGTTTTGTGTTGGCAAGTGCCGCAGTGCCATTCTTGCCAAAATGGGCTGGACCTCTAGCAATTTCTCAGGCAAGAAAACCACAATCCACCGGCGACGTTATATCGGATGGCAGCCAGACGCAGCAAAGAATAGCTCGCAGCCATACAACCACACCAAGTACATCGCGCTCGAAGAGGGGAAAAGAAGGAAGAATTGGGAGCGCGCCGGCGACTGCAGCAAATGGGACTCGACCCAAATTAGCTCGAGCAAGTTCCGCAGAAAGGCCTAAATCATCAGCCTCGACTCGGAAGCCTGCACATGAACCTCGACCGCGCCCAGCCCACCTCGACCTCAAAGCCATTGATCCTCGCCTCAGTTCCTCATCCTTGCCACTGCCGGACTCGCGTTCCCCACGGATGACTGCCATGAGACCTGAACCACCTGCGACTGCAGGTCTTCCACCAAAGCGGCCAGCTGAGCCTCGAAGACATTCCTATGTTTCGAGACCTCTTACACCCTCCGCCCTGTCTGATACACAAAAAGTAAAATTGCTAAGGCAGAACTATTTTCGCTGTGAAACCCAATTTTTGACTGCTCTAGAAGACATATCCAATCGGCTAGTTATTGTCCCTAAGCCTGCACGGTTGAGTGCCCTACGTGCTGAGCTTGCTCTCATTGCTCAAGATTTGCCTGCGGAAGTGGATATTCCCGTCATTTGTCCCGCAACTTTGGTAGATGGAGCACCTAGCAAGAGCCGACATCACCGCATCGTGCGTTTAAATCCTGCTGAGGCTACCGTATTGAACAGTGCAGAGAAAGTGCCGTATCTGTTGATGGTAGAGGTTCTTCGTGATGATTTCTCATTTGACCCTACCACTCACGATAACCAGAGATTACTTGCTAAGCTCATGTCCGAGCAAGGAAAAGGCCGTAAGCGAATTTTCGACATATCGGAAGCAGCCAATATTCCCCATGGGACCAAATCAATAGCAGAAACCCCCTCAGATAGCGTTTTTGAGCCGATGTCTGGGGATCTGGGAAGCTCGCCAATTTTGAAAACATTCGAAGCATCAATACCAGCAAAAGCAGTCACATCCCCTCCACCCACTGCGCCTCCCCGGTTGTCTAGCGGTGCTACTACCTTGTCGACTACGTCAGTTCTTGAGACACCAAGGACATCTGAGGCCTCAAGATCTCGGTCAGGAAGCCCAGGCTCTTCACGACGTAAAATGACGCTTCCGAGTTATGGCAGATCTGGTGCGTCAGACCAGCCTGACTTTTCGGCTTTGGCTACCCATATGCGAACAGCATCACAAATGCTCGCGCAATTAGACTCCACGAGTGGCAAAAGACCAAAGAGCGAAGTTGCGGCAATACGAGCCAAGATCATTGCCAGTATGCAAAGTTTGGAAGAACAAAGTTTCGAAACGGACGACACAACGAAAACCCCCACATTTGATGTTATTATGGCAAATGCGAACGTTGCAGCTGCAAATGTCGCTGCAGAAGAGTTGGACGCCGAGAATATATCTGAGCCAGCACTAAATAGTGGTGCCGGTGCTGCCCGAATGGAAAACGACCAGAAAACTGGCGGCGTGCAAAGAAGGGGGGATCGAGAAGATCCAAGTGCTGCAACCTTCGGTGAGGCTTGGAGTGCCAAGAAGGAAAGGATCCGAAAATCTTCGCCTTATGGCTGGATGCCTAATTGGGATGTCCTCAGTGTCATCGTCAAGACTGGTGCTGATTTGAGACAAGAAGCTTTCGCCTGCCAGTTGATCCAGGCTTGCGACAAAATCTGGCGAGATGCTGACACACCCGTATGGGTTAAGAGAATGAGAATTTTAGTAACCGGAGAGTCGTCTGGACTGATCGAGACCATCACAAACGGGGTATCATTGCACTCTTTGAAAAGAAGTTTGACGCTCGCAACCATCGAGTCGGGACAGAATCCTCGTAGACGGATTGCTACGTTAAGGGACCATTTTGTCAAAACCTTTGGAGCCCCCGAAACCGAAGCATACAAAGCTGCAGAGGATGCTTTTAAGAGGTCACTTGCAGCGTATAGCATCATCTCGTATATTCTTCAACTTAAAGATCGACATAACGGCAATGTTCTTATTGACAATGAAGGTCATATTATCCACATTGATTTTGGGTTTATGCTTTCTAATTCTCCGGGTTCTGTTGGGTTTGAAGCTGCACCTTTCAAGTTAACACAAGATTATGTTGATGTTCTTGGGGGCGTGGGTTCCCCAGGCTTCGACGACTACAAGAAATTATGTAAACAGGCTTTCCAAGGTAATTATTTCTCTACGAAGTTTTGATTTGGTTGCTGACGGATGACAGCTCTCCGAAGGTCTGCAGACAATCTGATAGATTTAGTCAGCATGATGGGAGTTGAGTCAAAAATGCCATGTTATTCTTATGGTGTTCAGCAAGCTACGACCAGTCTTAGACAACGGTTCCAACTTCAACTCAGTGCTGATGAGGCTGAGCAGTTTGTAGAAACTGACTTGATTGGGAAGTCGCTAGGGAGTTACTATACACGACTGTGAGTTGTATTCTGCCAATTTGATTAGACTGAAACTAACGCAACAAAAGTTATGACACTTTCCAATATCGAACACAGGGCATATACTAGGAGGTTGTTAATTCGAAATTTGGTGCATGCGAGTGGCGTTGGATATCTTGGCATTTACAAATATTGTTGGTAAAGGCAACGGTAGATTCCCTAGGCAGTTATGTGAGATGTGTGTCACATCTTTAGAAGAAGAACCCAGGTACTGCTATGCGTATACCGGTATCAAACACAACTAGTGTGCGAATCATCATCCGTGAAAATGGTACTTGAAAAGGATGCCAACGCACCGCTTACCCATTTTCGTGCCCTTAATTGTTAATTTGCAGTACTTCAGTCCTTGCCATACATCCCTTATTATGGCGCTTTACCTATTTTGGTGGTACTATGCCTTGCCGGTCGGTGAGCTGATTTCGCCGTGTTATAGAAATTATGCTGGTCGCTTCCTCCTTCAACGACAACTCTCAACACGCCCCGAACTGTTCATATTGACAACTCTTTTGAATGTCCTCTGGCACCCAAACCCAATATATGCGTGGTATGTCCCCGACATTGTCTCTGAATACTATTCACTGCGAAAACGGTGCGATGGCCTTGACTAGAGTCCAAGGACACCGTGCCCGTGATTTCACCACATCGTCACAAGGACGCACCACCATCTTGCAGCCCAGATTCCTTCGAGTTTTGTTTTAACTATCCGTCTGTACCGATACTTAAATGACAATAGGAGCCATACGACCAATGTATTTGGCGACATTAGATCACAGTCAATATGCAGCAGCAACCACAGCTACAAAGGTTGTCAAAAGGATTAGTGGCTATGGTTAGCCGACGGCCAGACAACCTGCTATCACTTACAGAGGCATAGCTTGGACTACATTAACACGCGTCTCCTCTTGTCCTCTACATGTTCACCGCTTTCACAAAACAACTACGTCCTCCACCCAACGTAAGGGATCGCGCACAAATCTCACGAACGCTGATTTGTTCAGGCACGATACTTGCTTTGCAGACACTGACAGGCCATCACCATAGCTTCGCAGAGCTCAAGTATTTGCAAAGCTGAGAGATAGCAGTCGTCTTCTGACCGCAGGAGGATCTCGAGGTCAACTTACACTCGGGACATGGCAACTCCCATTTCCGGTCTGTGATCACGCATATCGCAGCAAATATCGACCCAACGACTCTTCCATCTGTCTATTTGCTGAGCGCGCGTCTTTGTCATTCGCGCTACATGATATCTAGTGCCTGGATCTGAGATATCTGCCATCGCGCTTCACCTTATAACCTGGGCTACATCTTGATCCACCTGCTTGCTTCTACCATTGAGCCCAAGGCCACATCTTTCATCAACAGGATATCAGAAAGTCAGTGGCGAACGACCTCTTCATCATGGGTAAAGGCTACTATTCGCATCCCAAAAAGCATGAGTTCACCTCTTTCGAGGTATTTATGGCCCCTAAAACTATCATTTATAAGACATAGAGCTAACGTACGTCTTTCTAGATTCAAATCACTTTGGGTCTCATGTGCAGAGGAGTGCATCTACTTGGTCCTGAACACAACAAAAAAGGCGAAGCCATTGAGTACGACGCCAAGCATAAGAGAGAAGTCTACACCACATTTGCAACTCGCATGAACGAAATTCTCCACGGTGAAGATTACGCCCAAGATATCAGCAAGAAAGATATCACGGCCCTTATCGATCGGTTGACGGCAGAACACAAAAACCTTTTCGGAAGTCACGGATATCTTGATCGAAATGGGTACAGACGACTGACCAGATCGATCAATCGTGCTTTCCTTTCCAATCGCAAGCAAAACTACGATGGAAGTAAGCAGGAGTGGGAGATGGGTCGAAAGAAGAAGGTCGAGGATGAATTAAGACGCGAACAGGGTTTGCCGACTATTGAGGAGGAGGAAGCTCGTACTCGGGCTCGAGAAGAAGACATTAAGGCAAGAAAGGCGCGAGAGGCTGCAGAAAGTAGGTTCTTCCCGTCTCTCATACCGCCATTTGAAGGGTTTACTGACTCTTTCTCCCACAGACGAAGAACAACTCAGAATCTTCCGTGCCGAAAGAGAGAAGGAGAAGCAAAAGGAAATGCAAAACGCTCGACCTACTTCCGCCTCCATCCTTAAGGGTTTGCTTCCGAGCATCGAGCCTTCTGATGCCCAAGCTACCAACACCCTCTCTACTGCAGCGGCAAACGGAAACAACGAGACGATTTCTGCCTCCGTCCTTCACAGCTTGCTTCCTAGCATCGGAACCACCAATACCCCACAATCTGCACCTACGGAGATGCCCCGAGAGGATGTTAGAAGAGATGAGTACGGTCGACCTCTTTCCAAGCCAAGAGTTCGTGCCAATAACTCTCGCTTCTTTGATACCTCTCGTCCTTCTCATTGATCTGCTTCTTGGTATGGGAATCTACGGGTCATTTGGTAAAGATCTTATCATCTCGGAAAGCTTTGAATCTGATATTATATGGCTATCGTATTCCTGACAACTGTGTTGCAGAAACTGGAGCTCTGTCCGAGTGAAGGCGAGGACTGGATGGGGGAAATATTTTTTCTTATGAAAAAACAGATAGTTACGTAGCGAATCGATGATTTTTCTACTAATTGAATCCTCGGTTTCTTTTGTCTTCTTCCTCAATTGCCAGAGAATTCGTAAGCTGTCAATTTCGTTGAGACTTTAATGAAACTAATGGTGGAATTTCCTAGTAACATTGTAGCATGGTTGTAGTAACATCAAATCTTGTGGATAAAGACCAGAGAGGGTATTGCAGAAAAAGGGCCTGCTATACAACTCTCTTGATGCTACAGTAGCAAAACCTCAAAAACAACCAGAGAAGTGAGCATAAGCAGCGTAGATACCAACGAATGACGACCGTCATCCAACAACCATCTCTCGGTCCGCGTTCAAGTTTGATGTAGGTCCACTGAATAGCTACGCGGAAGGAAATGTAGAACTTTCATGAGTATAGTCTCGAGATTTCCACTCTCATATAAGTACCCTAATGCCTCCTAAGTAACATGAATACTATTACCCTAATCTTTCTATGAGTAGATAATAGATGTGCCAGGGGTTCATTATTATCAAATCATACGCCCCTTGGTACACTGCAGATATGTCTTGATATAAATTAAAAAATATTCCCCCTAAGAACAACACAGTTCTCACTAGATTTGAGGGCGGATGAGGAATACCATAGATACTGCCACTTCTGTACTAATTCTTACGTCAGACCCGAGTTAAGATAAAAACCAGAGCTTTAGCTACACCACTCAACCGATTAGAAGCCCTCTTACAAACATATCAGCCCTCAATCAAGTGAATCCTTTGCACTTCTGCGTACTCATACTCCGTGGACATCAAAGTAGACCCACCACGTGACCACCAACCAATCAAACCCCAAAAATGCCCCCCACAAACCCCCGTTACAGTACTTGAACTCAAATAACACAAAACCCAGCACCTATTACGAGAAGTGTAGTAGAAGCTCCGGTGGCGCGATGGTAACATCAGTGACTAAAGAGCCTTCGTAGGAACCCCAAATAGTTAACCCCAGATTGCCTCAAGCCCTTGAACTTTGGTTTAATGGGGTGAGAGATGCAAGCGTCCACGGGGGGACAGCGCGATTGCTACCTATCTTAGGATAGGCGATCCTCTCGTAACAGCGCCTGAGTCTGTTCGGCACGAAAAGACGAAGTCGTTTTTGCACTTTTTTGACCATTTTTGGATGGCGCGATGTTTTAAGCGATGCCTCCCTCCTCTAGCCACCCTTTCTCTCAATACCCCGGACCATGTATTCACCCCATTGCGCTCTGTGTGTCGCAATTCTGTGATAAAAGTCTATCATAGTCGCTCTCTCTACACACTCTCAATTCCATGTCCATGAACGTTAACGAATCCTCAAAACACCAATAATCAAGAAACCCAGCATCTACTCACTTCTCCAAAGGACTATCCGCAAACCCCCTAAAGTTAACCTCCTTCAACCCCGTCGTATCCAAATCATCCATGTCGGGAATACTTCCCACCCGTCCCTTTGCCACATGTCCCATTCCATACGCTTCCGCAATCCTCTCTCCCACCGCTTCACCACTCCAGTAAGCACCCGTAACCGTGCCCAGCGCAACGAAAGGTGCTGTATGCTCGCCAGCAAACCAAAGACTCCTACCAGGCAAACCCTCCCTCATAATTTCAATATCCTTATCTCCCTCAGTTAGACCCGTTCGGAATGTAGTGTAACTTCCGTACCCAGCGTATTCATCGCGAATCCAATCTGAGAAGAGACAAGAAGTTGGGACGCAGTCCGGAGACGTTTGAGAGTAGGAGGGGAGACGCGAAAAGTACGGTTTGAAGAATTTGATCAAGTAATCTTGTTTCTCCTGCTCGGTGGGGAGAGCGGAGAGGCTATTGGAGAGGGCAATAGATTGCGCACCGTACATGTAGTAGAGCATTGTGGGGTGTTTACATGATCCCGGGAGCGTTGAGAGATCCACAGCTTCTTGACTCCAGAGTTCCGGGTTTGTGTCTGCAGCGTAGAAAGGGGATAGCCATTGTGTAAAGCTGGTAAACTGATCTGAATCTGGCACGCCTTCTTTTAGCCAAAAAGCTTTAGGAAACGTAATGTACACCTATAGGAATGTCAGTAGGAGCACCTCGCAAATTAGGCGCAAAGCTCACCTTTTCTAGTGATCCATAGCCAATAGAGTCGATTGCTTGGGAAAATCTGGGGGGTAGCGGTGGTGTAAAGACATCTTTGTTAATCTTCAACCAGCCCAAGGGATTCGTCATTACTACCTCATCGAACTCAAGTTCGAGTCCATTTACCGTTCGGAGTTTAACATTTTTAGTACCCGATTTGACGCAAACCACTTTTGTTGAAAGTTTTATGTCTGCATCCTTCTTGGCAGGTTCCGCGATCTGACTGATGATGTTCTTATACGTCCCGGCGCAGAAAAGATTTTCTGTTCAACGTTAGCATGTAGTTTTGTTATCTTGCGATAAAAAGAGAGAATCAAGAGAAATAAAACACTCACCCCCATCGAGACACTCTTCCAACCAGAAAAACTTCAGACTCTGTGTAGTGACTGGGCTTCCAACAAACGCGCCCCACAACTCAGACATTTGCATAACAACCTTCCGCCTAATCTCCTCTTCTCCGGGTCCTGGATGTAACTCATGTACTTTTTCAGAGAAGAAATCATGCAGACTTGTCTGGGAGTCAATCGTAGATGTGTTTGTCGCCGAGTCCTTGAACCCTTGAACCACGATGTTCCACATAGATTCCATCAACGAGGCTCCTTCTTCCAGAATAATTCCATCTTCGCCAAATACATGTGACTTAGCGTCCCATGTATGTGTCGGGGTATTTGTTTGCTTCGCTAAATCCAAGATTGGGTTATGTTCCGTTCCATGTATCCTGGAGTTCATAGTCAACACAATGTGCGAGATACAACATATTTCTAGAGACCGAACCAATTTGGGCCTAAATCTACAGAGTAGCCTGATGGCAATGTGACCTGATGTGCTCTTCCACCTGTCCTATCCCTTGCTTCGAGGATTGTGACATCGAACCCGTGTTTTAATAATACATCGGCGCAACGAAGACCCGCTATGCCTGCACCAACAATACCAATTCTTGGTTTTGTCGTGCGGTTTGCTGTTCGGATCTATAGCGAGATGTCAGCAAAAGCTTTGCTGTTCCTCTCCATCAAATTTTGACACGATCCCATTCTGAAAATTGATCTGGGACGACCTCTAGGTAAGTACACAGAAATACGCACCTTTTGCGAGCCGTCCATAATGAGTTGTTGTATGCTCGGGTCCGAAACTGCTCTGGTTTGTAGTGTTCGACAAGCGGCAAGATCTTGATAGATGCGAGAAGTACCTCTTCGGGATCTTGTAGTGTGTGAGATGCTATATGCGTCCATTTTGAGTGGGTAAAGGAATGTAAGGTAGACAACAAATTCTTGAAGAAAAAAATCTAGGATTCTCTAAACGCGGAAAAGAGGAGATTATGAAAAACAGGAGTTCGAATGAATGCGTGGAATGTGTAACGAAATAAATGGCAAATCTTTCATGACACCTCATAGATTTACCCGTTCCGACGTGCGCTTGCCTGTTTCCCGAGTACAGGATGAATGTAAGTTTGCAAGAAAAGTGGGCGAGAAGGTAACAGGTAACTCTTTCTACGTGGAAGGCGCGATGTGTCCGCTTGGTCTGTCCTCCTACCATGAGCTTTTGAGGAGATGAAAATCTGTCTAGACAGTCCTTCTCTTATTTATATATTCATATATATAGGAAAGTAGACAGGTTTATGTGAGCAACACCTGACTTTGATAAACCCCTTGATCAAGTTGGACGAAGTATAGATGAAGATGATGAAAAAACAAGTAGCCAAAATCTCCACCCAGTGACATATGATTAAATAGGAGTAAAACATATGGATACGTATACGTACATTCTGAGCAATGGACGAAAGGCATACACGACAGTATGCATCGGAGTCTGGTGACCTTCTCCTATTAGATTAAGCCGGCGGGAAAACTTCTTCCTCTACAGACGGAGAGTTTCTCCCTCTACAAACGACGAGATGATCTGGAGAGAACGTCGTTGTGAGAGGATACGGACACTTCACTTGCACACAAGACAACACAAGCACTCTCTCTTCGTCTCCGCCTCCAGACCGGGGTACGATTACATTCCGAGGTTAGCCCGAAGCGTCGCGCGTCATAGAAAGAGCGAACCGAGAGCAGCTCAGGGGAGCTGGGGAGATAATTCACCTGAAAATGAAACCAGCACGGGTCCAACCGCCAATCTGGCACATCCCCCACAGGAAAGGAAAAGCATCAAGATGCGGACTTCGAGGATCTCCAAGGAGACCTCAAAAATACTGAATGCGACATCTGGATCATCCGCGATTCGCAGAAGCACGCGAACTTCGATTGCACGCTTTGCACACAACTCAGGGACGGAGGACATCAAAGACGAAGGCGCGGAGATTCCAGATATTGAAGATATTCTCCCATCACGAAAACGTAAACGCGAAGCAACGAGGTCACCAGTCAAGCAATCGCCTGGGAAAAAGACAATCACGGTAAAGAAGGAAGTCGAAGACAATGTCACCTTCTCGCCGGCCAAGAAAGAGCGCAAGACTCGGAAACCTGCGCGCCAGGTGAAGAATGATCAAGGCGAGATTGAGATACATCCGCCAAATGATTGGGAAGAGGTCTATGCCACTGTGAAAGAAATGAGAATATCAGGTGCTGCTTCAAAAGCTGCTGTCGATACAATGGGCTGCGAAAGATTGGGACAGGAGGATGTTCCTCCCAAAATCAAACGATTTCAGACTCTGATCGCCTTGATGCTCTCGTCGCAGACGAAAGACACCACAAACGCTGTTGCTATGGGTCGATTACAGAAGGAATTACCCGCGTGGAAAGAGGGGGAAGCGGTTGGGCTCAATCTTGAGAATATTCTAGCTGTCGATCCGAAGCTGTTAAATGAGTTGATTTGGGTAGTTGGATTTCACAATAACAAGACGAAATACATCAAGGCAGCTGCGGAGATTTTGCGAGATCAATTCAATGGCGATATTCCAGACACGATTGAAGGCTTGATGTCTCTCCCTGGCGTTGGACCTAAGATGGCATATCTCTGTCTGAGTGGCGCGTGGGGTAGGACAGAAGGCATTGGAGTCGACGTACACGTCCATAGGATCACCAATCTGTGGGGCTGGCATAAGACGAAAGGGCCCGAGGAGACACGACTGGCACTGCAAGCTTGGCTTCCCAAAGAGTTATGGCATGAGATAAACTGGCTGCTCGTCGGCTTCGGTCAGAAAATTTGCTTGCCCCAGGGTCGAAAGTGTGGAGAGTGTGAACTTGGCTTGAATGGGTTGTGCAAAGCCGCAGAACGAGGGAAGGTTACCGCGGGGAGAAAAATCAAGGAAGAACTGATCAAGAAGGATGAAGATGGAACCATTCTTGCGAAGGAGGAAATTGTTAAAGTGGAGGAAGTTTCGAAATATTTTCCTGTCAATGCTGCTCCGAATTCTGAAGTGTAAGGGTCAGCAAAGGCACAGGAGATAGAGCTGGAAGGCCGGCCTTTTGGTCATGGCGCCTCCATCTGGTATCTATGTATGATAGTTGTGTCAGTTCTTCGGGCTGTATAAAATGGCGATTCGGCATCTATCTTGGCGACAAATATTGAAAGCGAAAGCGAGCTCGACCATTCCTTCCATTCTTTGTAAATCTTTTCCAGCTTATCGGACAACCGCCATGGATATTGTTATACACAGGACACAGATCCTGTCGAAATCGATGGGCTTGTGTCACAATAATCAAAAATAGAGATTGAATCTCGTCACTTCTTACGATGAATACACGCACTGCTTTCCAACATTGTCCGAATTTTCGCTCACATCTCTTAGCTTCACCTATACTAAATATATCGTTCCAATTTCCATCAACAATAAAAAGGCTCACTAAGTAGTGCAAGGAATGCCTGTAAAGTTGTTTCATAATTGAAATTCTATCATGTGGATATCTCGACTCGACGTCTACCGCCCATTAACAGCCGGTGTCAAATTACATGGCGACTATTACCCTCCTCACAACACCTATGCAAGCCAAAACCAAAATCTCTCAAAAATATTTCGTGGAATTTGCTCTGGCCACTGTGCATCCTCAGCATCCAGTGCTGCTTTGCCAGTTTGTATATCTGCATAAGCGGGATTGACAAATTTTGTTCGCTTGAACACTTTCCAGAAGAGGTACAGCGCAAAAAATATTGGAATACCAATATACGATGCAAGGAATTCTGCTCTTGATTAGCATGCAAGTTTGAAGACGCGGGAGCTGAAATATCTTACGATCAGTGGTCCAATGCGAGTGATTCTCTCCAACAAACACATCGAAACCGGAAAATATGATGATAATGGCAAAATATATGAGAGCAAACCAAGCGGTGTATGGTTGGAATACACTCTTGAATACAAGCGTGTTACGATCAATTCCTTGATGTTTGAGGGCCTTGTGGAACTGGATATAAGAAATACAAATCGAGCACCAAGTAAACAAGGTAGCAATTGTTGTCAAGTTTTGAAACCAAACGAATGCTTTCTCGGCACCACCCTTTCCAACGGAGAGGTAGGTGAGGAGAGAAATGACCGCAGTGATCAGAACACAATAGTATGGAACACCGGTTTTGCTGCAGTGCAGTAAGAAGCGTGGTGCTTGCTTATTCTGAGCGAGAGCGAAAAGATATCGAGCTCCTGTGTACAAGAAGGCGTTGGCGGATGAGGAGGCAGATGTTAAAATGACGGCGTTGATGATGTGCGGGAGCACGGGGATACCAGCATTTTGAATGCCAATAACCCAAGGAGATGCAGCCGCACCTGGAGCGTCTTCTCCTTGCGCTTGCAAAAGATTAGGATCGTCAGAGGCAACGAGTACTCCGATAGCAAGGGAGCCGAGTACGTAGAAGAACAGGATACGCCAAAAGACTCTGCGAACAGCCTTGGGGATGTTCTTGCGAGGGTTTTCGGCTTCACCAGCAGCGACAGCAACCATCTCAACACCACCATACGAGAAAGCAGCATTGACGAGCACGTTGAAAAGACCCAAGAATCGCCCGGTATCTCCTGTGGAGTCGTACTCTTTCATGGCGCCTGGCTTCTTCCAAAATCGGAATCCCAAACGATCCTTTTTCGGTCCACCGCCAAGGTCAACAATGAAAGCCATCAAAAGGAGACCGACAATCGTGATGATTTTGATGCTGGCGAAAACGAACTCCGCTTCACCATATATGGCTACGGCAAAGATATTGAGACCCAACACGACGATGATTATGATGGTAATCCATACGGCGACGCTGATGTGCCGAGCACCTTCCCAATAATTAATGACAATCGAAGCGGCAGAAATTTCGACACAGAGAGTTATGGCAGCTTGATACCAGGTCTGTTAAAATGGACTTGTTAGCAGCTGTTTTGTCTGATTCAAGAATAAGCGATGTCTCGGGAAACCCCGCGACTCAACCAGCTTTCACTTACGTTCCAACCAACTGCAAATCCCATAGCATCATCAACATAACGGGCACAGAACTGAGGGATCGATCCAGGCAGAGGAAGCCAAGTAGCCATCTCACCGAGACATTGCATCATGGCGAAAACGGCGACACCAGTAAAAGTATAACCGAGGAGAACAGAAAGGGGGCCCGAAGTTGTGAAAGCACTTCCAATACCCAAGAACAGACCAGTACCGATAGTACCTCCGAGCGCGATAAATTGAATGTGTCTCGATTTGAGGCTAGCAACAACAGCGTCAGCTCTTGGGGCTTGCTTTTCTGCTGGTTATATTCAATACATACCCTCGAGAGACGTATCCATATTCCTCAGCCTCTTGTATGTTTCCATACAAGTCGGCAGCTTCAGCTATACGTCCACTTTTGGATTCATGTCCAGTGACGGGGTCAACATATTGAGTATGGTTCGACTCGTTGACAGCATATGAATCCTTCTCCATCGTTGAGTTGCGTTGTTGTTGACGGAACCGAAGATGAGAAGCAAAGAGTGGGTAGGCGAGGAATGGGATCTATTGATATATATAGTAAGCTGAACGCGACACAAAGCTAAATTAATCGGAGGGTCTAGGTAGGTGAATGGAGGTGCCACAGCAGGCCCGATGCAATGGAAATCACCGAATGGGCACATTACCTGCAGCTCAGTTTCCTCCTGCTTCTTTGGAGCCTTGGTCCACGCCTCTACACCCTAAGATCGCCTACGAGCCTCTTATATCTGCTGCTGCTCGAGTGGCTTCGAGCCGTTACATGCTTGCAATCGTTCCTCACGCTCGAATCAGAAGCGTGGATCGTCAGCCGATAGTCACTGGGTGCGAGTGGGATGGGAAGAAGCACGCGGGATTGGTTGATTCTCCAAGGCTGCATCTGCAACTACAATAATGACAGTCGACATGGTAGCTTGGTGTTTATGGTAATGGTGTGGTAAAAATTAGCTGTGGGGCAGTATTGCTGGCATTATTCCCAGAACCTTGCCATTCAACCCCTCCTCCTCAATCCCAGCTACTTGAGCTTTGCCTAAGTCAGCATTGTTTTCCAAAGAATATGCCCAGCCCATGGTAGGCCTGTTCCTAGACCAGGTGGAGTCCATTAATCTACTCATCTGATTTCTGGAGCCAAGAAACAAAGTCGGATTACAATCTCAGGTGCTACCAAATCCGGCGTTCGAGTATCATCCAGCCAGCCCGTGCCAAACGGCTCAAGCTGCGAGTAACCGCGAACCAGAGCCAAAATTAGGAATGATTGTGCTTCGAAAATCATACCATCCTTCTGGGAAAGACAACGCAAGACCATCCGAGTATGCGTGAACAACTTCCGGGGTGTAAATATTCCTCTTTGGCTCAAAGTCCTCCAGCAGCAACTGTTTACGGTATCAAAGGTTACATGCGGCCCGATCGCGGTTTTATTTGAGCAAACTCAATGGTGGATGCAAGGAATTTGCAATCGAATCAATAGCCGCCTACCATCTGTTTTCGATAGCTGAAGAGAAGCGGTAACCTATCCAGAGGCGCCCGTTTCTTTCCAAGACCGCAATTCAACGCCTCCAAGCAAGGCTCCACGAGGCATGGCATATTGGCTGTTTTGTTTCACTCGTCCGAGGTTCGTTTAAAAACGCCATTACAGGGGGTTGGATAAGAAAGCTAGGATGATTTTATCCAAACCATAGCTTGGCACTCGTCCGGGTTACTACGCCTCTTCATTCGCCCAACGACGGATGAGCGCACAATACAATACCCTTCACATCGAGGTTCGCCGAAGGCTAGACGGTTCGGTATAAACATATGGAAAGATGTAAAAAAGCTTCAACAGAAGGCTTCCATGGAATTTAGAGGTACTTCGCTCCTCCTTTTCGACCAGATTCCTTGCGAAAATCGACACTTTTTCGACAATTTTCCGAGACTTTTTATAGGGCTGCTCGATTTCACGCTTGCGGGGCTTAGGATCCCCTTGTCTATCCCCTTATACTCCTCTTATAAACCGACTTTTAACACCACAGAACCAGTAAATCCGACATAGAAGGACAACTTTTTGGAATATCGAAAGCACACTTCCCCTTGCACAAAAGAAGGTGTCTTTTCGCTATTTACACACCAACTGAAGACTTTTGTCGGTTAAAGAAGTAAGTACTCATTCAACCGCTTCAGAGCCTACTTCTACCTATCCTAACCTACTATAAATAGTACTAGGCTAGGGCTTCTCTACCCAGTTTCACGAAATACAACTAAACACTCTACTTCTAAGCGATTTTACCTTGTACTTACATTGTCCATTTTCTAGGGTAGAAATAAACCCTCAAAAATATACGAAATCATGTAATTTATAGCCTGTCAATTCTGAAGGAGAAAGCCAGACTTTGGAACATGGCCGTTCACCTAGGTCTAGCCAGTTTCGATCAAAGCAACCCCTTGAGCAAGAGTTTTTTGCTTGATCTGATCCTACGCGGCATCTGGAAAATTCTGCATGTCGGCTTCCGCGCCACCGTAACACACAAACTTTCCGAGTAGGATCTAGGAAGAACTTTCGGCTAGATTTCCATCGAGACTTTCCGTGTTGACGTTTTTCCAAATCTATCTTGGAATTGGTTCATTATTTTGTACGAGCTTCTCACATCAGCTCATGAGAGCGACGATGGAAAGCCCATTTGGGAATTGTTCGAGAAGACTCGTCGAAAAACGAACCTATTAGCCCTCCCTGACCCCTCCACCTCTCCGGTATCTTTAACGCAACCTCGAGGCGAAGGGGAGATGGCGCGTCCCTTCGGCCATAAATCTACGAATCACATTTCAAGACTGGAGAACCAACCGATCACGATTCGGTACAGAATCAAGTACGTCAAGAAGTTTAACTCGACCTCATAATACGGGAAAATATCAGTATGCTGCAAATTTGACCGCGATGATCAAATCAACAAACTTTATATCAATACGTTTGATTTGTCCAGTACCCCTCCTTCGATAGTACTTCTGGAAGAATTCCTCTCTCAGACACTTGCATGCTATTCCATGCTTACCTCGCCTACCCGTCCCATCTCTCATACGCTAGGATCCTTTCCCTTATCTATATCTCCATCACCCACGCAGGGTAGTACAGCTTTCTAGTGCGGCTCGAAAAGGAAGGTGGGCGTAGACCGAGCTTGACTGGCAAGGATGGCTATTGGGACGGGACGGATTGATCGGAGTAAGCTCCCGGTTTGGTTGCGTTCCGTATGAGTTGAGTGAGAAAGAAATGGGATTTTCGAGAAGCATCGCATTTCCATTTCTAAGAGATTTACTCCGAATAGGTCTGAGCATGCTAGAGAGGGTAATCAAGTATCGGATGAGACCTCTCCGTCGCATCTGAAAAGAAAAAAAGAACCTCAATCTTTTTCTATTTAAAATCATAACACAAAGATACCAGATTGGAAGTGTTTATATATAGTTATATGCAGTGCTCCGGAACATCCAAAATCCGCACCTACGACTGGAACGTGTGGAGATTCTGGTGGAACTCCCAGTCTTCAAGCTGGGTCAATCTAGAAGGAAGGATTGCTGTACCGCCGTGAACTTGGGTACAGCAACAGCATGGCAAGCGCGTGGCTTTCAGCGAAAAGTCCCTTCCTGGGAGATTTACAGGTTTGTGCGGCTCGAGATCCATCTTACAGTACTAGTGAACAATGGTTACCTCGAGTGGTACCACGGATCGAAATAGGTGAGACATTCTCCTCGAGTCACCTTCAACGTTCAGCCTCGGTGGTTCTGATCCGAGAAGCGTGGGAGGGAGAGGGTCAGTGTGATATCCGCGTGATATTATCTATCAGTTGTTGGATTTACCATGCCTTATCAGCTATGGATCTCTGCAGTAGGTATCGTCTGTTGGATATTTCCCTATCAGTTGTTTAATCAATATGTGAGGTGTTTATACTTGGCAACGGGTGGGGTTGTTGCGTTTTGGCAGTGTTGTGGGTATGGGGCATCCCGCTTCTCATATGGGGACCCGGCGAAGGCTTGTTGGGAGGGGCGAGCTTATATTTACCTTCCTCTTCTCTTGGGTTTGTTGGATTCGTTGATTCCAACTTCCAAGAGTTTAAGAGGGGAATTGTTCTTGGTACGGCTTGGGTGTAAGCTTATCTTTGGCGACTGACCGATGACGAATCCTTCGGTCTCCAGTCGAGGTCTGGAACGTTTCCTTTTCTTACTGGATCCTTCATCTGTGTTGGGCCATCAGCACTTTTACCCCCAGTTTGTAGGATTGTTAATTATGTCTGAGATCGTGTACCAAGTGAGTTGTTGGGGACCTTTCGTTGCTCCGCGTATACCTTACATTGAAAGTTAAAAAAGTATGCCATAAATCGATATTTAACTTCATTGTGTTGGGACGCCTGGATTGACACCGGTATTGATATATCATTATTCCCAACTGTTCGTAGAACGGATTTGATTGTGCGAGGCCTCCTAGTATGTTGTTATTCGCGGGGGTTTGCGCAGAGCAACGACCAGGTTTCCCAGAAGTATTAGTTGAATCTTCAATGATAGCTTTTGGTGTTTCTTATTCATGAAACCTAAGACATACAAGTCTTCAAAACATGTTCTATAGTATCCTTAAGTGCTATCAAATTGAAAGCTGACGAAGTTGGAAATGACCATGTAAGTAACTTTCAATGTCTAGAGCTAGTTCGAGTTTCTATGCCCTTAGGGACCTCGTCTAAAACCAAATCTACCATTTCTAGATTACAACATGCTCTTGGGCATATTCTTCATCGCCTGTCGCACACCCAAGTCTCCCAAGATCTCTTCAGCGCCACCAAGAATAGCATCAAACTTGTAAGTTCGATGAAACATCTCGATCGTGGAGCCCATTCCAGTTCTCGTCAATGCTCTGCCACCAAAGATTTGGACAGACTCGTCGGCAATCTCGTGCGCAGAACGAGTAGCGAACATCTTGAGGAGGCCGATGGGACCCGCGAGGTGTGTGGCTTGTTGAGAGTAGGGCATTAGTGTCATTTGATATGTGACATTCTCTAGCCATGCCTGGTTTGCTTCACAGTGTGCAATCATTTTGGCGAGTCTTGAGTATGGTTAGTGAATGGAAATGAGATGGATAAGTTTAGATGAACCCACTTTTGTCGAATCGTTGGTTGCTCAATGAGTCTTTTACCAAAGACAATTCTTTGGTTACTCCATTTAAGACATTCCTCCGTGACGAGACGACTCATTCGGACGACTCCTACAGTCATCATCCATCTTTCGTGGTTGAAATTAGAGAGAATGACTTGCATTCCCTTGTTCTCCTTCCCAAGTAAGTTCTCCACAGGTACTTTGACACTGTTTTACGTTAGTCATTGTTGTTAAAACCGTCTGTTTTGGAAGTTCATACTTGTCAAATGTGACGAATGACGTGCCAGCAGTAGGAGAGTATGAAGTTTTGATAGCGCTCGTCTCGACACCTTCTTGTCTCTCGATCAAAACTACCGAGAGTCCCTTGTCTGTGCGTGCACCTGTAACAAAATAATCGCAAAACACACCATTGGTGATCCATTTCTTGGTTCCGTTGACGATGTAATGTTTCCCATCCGCGGTCTTCTCAGCGGTAGTCCGGATTCCAGCAACGTCAGAGCCAGCAAAAGCCTCCGTGATGGCCAGGCACATCTTCTTCTTTCCAGAAAAAACTTCACTTGCAATTTTATTCTTCCACTCCTCGTCGTTTGCCCATTGAAGAACAGCAGTCAGAGAAATCATCATTCTGAAGGTTTGTTAGTGTTAGTTTCCAAGTGCCCATTAGAACAAAACATACCCTGCCAGATTACCATCCTGAAATCCTCGAGCGTTTGCTCTAAGCATTTCTTGACCAACAACCAAGTCATGAAAGTAATCAAACTCTTCGCCTTTGAGCACACCACCCATCAATTCAACTCCATGCAAATGCTTTCCTGGACCCAATCGCATATGCATTATACCTCTTTCGGACATCTTGTCGATCAAATCCTGCGGTATCGTGGTACCCTCCTTTTCGCATTCCTGCGCAACAGGGTATACCTCCTCGTCAACAAATTTCCTCATAGCCTTTTGCAACTTTCTATGACTCTCTTTATAATATGGACTTTTGAATTGTGGAGTGAGCCATGTCGGTTCGCCGTAGGGGACTTGACTTAAATCACCGGCATTATGCTGAATAACTTTGGATTTCTCGCCTTCGATTGTGCCAATGCATAGACTCGAGTACTTCTGTAAGACCTCTTGTCTATGAAGGTTGTAAAATGCTTCTGTTGCGTCGGTTCCAGCAACTTGCTTCAACACGAATTCTCCTCCCGGATGGGCGTCGATGAAGTCGGTAACATCGTAGACTTTACTGTCAATCACAAACCACTGAGTTGCCCAGGATTAGCATAACCACATTGACTCTTTTCAATATTCAAAGGGGACCAGGGGGGCTTCAAGGAGCTGTCGACGTCTTGATAGTAACCCAAGGGAGTAGCTTACGAGAGAATCTCCGGTATTGTTTTTTGCGACCTCCTCTCGTGTGAATACTTTATGGGGCATGATTCAGTATTAATTCTGAGCTTGTGGAGAGTTCAGGACGGAATCGAAAGAATGGAGAGAAGAAGGTGAGGTTGGATATGTTGGTTCCCCCCACAAGACAGAATCTGGGGTAACAACCTGGAAGGTAACAACAGTTGGCCGAGCCGAGGCTCGTGGATTGACCAATGATCGTTTGTATATTACCGAGACCCCAGGTTGGCAGCTAAAGTGGCAGTACTCGTACGAGCAAAAACACATTTATTATTATTTTTTCTGCCTTTTTCTGTAAATCTAAATCAACATACAAGTTCGAGTGATACATTCGCTTCAGTTGTTTGTATTGTTCTTTTGCTTATCCCAGTGACGATATAATGTTCGCAGATTATCATAGATAGCAAGAACAACGAAAGCTACTTTCTACCGCAACAGATAGGTACTTGACAGTTCTAGTCGCACGTGAATGCGGCCATATACCTATAGTTAGCCTGTGTAATTCACTAATAAAGTCGGGTTGCCATTCCTGCGTTGACTCATGTTGAATTGAAACAATTTGGCTGATTAATCCATATCGAAATTGCAGTTATTTCTCTTCCAATACTCCGTATCAACTATCTATAATTTGAGATTGCGGTTCATGAATATTGAATTGGCAAATGAAACGCCACCATTAGCTCGTTAAGCGAGTTTGCAATCAACATGCTTCTGCTGAGGGGTAGATGAATTATGATGAGTAATTGATGTCATCTATTTCTAATCTGTCAAACTGAACTCAAACTCCCCTCCAAACAAAAAACATCAAGTTGAATCGTTGACAGTTTCAAGCAACCATCCTACCCAGTCGGAATATTCGGACTAATCCAGATTCGTGCCTAGCACAATGACTGAAGCGTAGTGAGTACTATCATCACCGTCACACTGTTTGATACTGACAAACTGATCAAAAAGTCTCAAAGCCTTGGGCGAGAAGCTCACGAAGGAAGGCCCTCACAAAGTTGAAGATACGCCTCGTCGAGTCAGAGGTGTACTAGGAGGAGAGTACATCTTCGACACTACGGAAGCAAAATATGTTTGGGAGCATCCATACTATAACATCGCTCCTTTGCTTTACTCCGTCCTTTTCTCCAAAACTATGCGTTCAGAGCACACAATAACTAACACTAGTATTACAGACCCATACTTTTATATCCCCACCACGTCTCTCAAACTCCAAGAATTCACCAAAACATCTGATCCCAAATTACCCTACTTCATAGCCAATATAAAGAACCATGGAAAGACCGCGCTTGTCCTTGGATTTACCCACGGCGGCCCTCTTGATGGCATGTCACGCATCTCCGTACCTTCCCTCGACAAATGGCTTGTAGAGGACGAGATTCTCCAAGGACCACACCCCAAGGACCCTTACAAGAGAGTCGAAACCATCCCATCGTCTCGAGAGATTCGTATCGAGCACAAGGGTAAAACCATCCTCACCACGTCGCAGAACATATTTCTCTATGAAACGACGTTAAGGCCAAGATACTATTTGAACCCCGGCGCTGTGGTAGATTGGGGCTCTTTGGTGGAAAGTGAGACGACTACCTTTTGCCCCTATAAAGGGATGGCGGAGTATGATTTCTCCCTCTCTATTCCCCTCTTGATTTGAAGACGTCTTCTTGGGAATAGGCGCTGATTTACGACAGCTATTACCATCTCAAGGTTGGCGATGAAACTGTGGAGGATGCAATATGGTATTACAAGTACCCAACATCCGAGTCCGCTTTGATTGCTGGAAGATTATGTTTCTATAACGAGAAATTCGATGTCTTCGTTGATGGAGTGAAGGAGAAGAAGTGATGGTCAGGACGTGAAGTCTACGTATGATGCTTAAGCAAGTCAGTGAATAGTCGTTCTACAGAGTAGAGCCAAGTTAGGGAACTAAAAGTTTTATTCATGATTTTTCAACCTGCTTTTCCCCCATCGAGAGTTTCCGATGGAGTTGTTGTGAATGGATCAAAAGGTAATATTAAATTAGGCATACCTTTGTTGAAAGAGAAACGGGCAACTCCCACGATATCACACGGGTCATACCTACAACCCAAAATCAACCTGGAATGGTGCAAGTACCGCCGACTGTCGACATTCGCGCTCCAATCCACCGCAGGAGCATTTTTGGAAGCATTCTGAACCCGACCTCAACCCAAACTCAATCTGAACCACATCTCACCTGTCACTCTCCGAGATCTCATCATCTCCATCCCCCTCCTCTTCATATCTAAAATCACGCCTCGCCCTCCGCCTCTGTGACCGTCTATGCCGAATGTACATATACGCCAGCATAGCAGCAAATAACACCATCCTCCTCCCCTGCCTACTCCGGTATTGGAGAAAGTAGGAGCAGAAGCGCTGGTGGACCTGATGCCTGCTGGAAGACATGATCTCTCTTCCTGATGGCATCAAGTTTGTATTCTTAATTCAAGGTATACTAGGAGGTGAAAGAGGGGAGCGGATCAGGAAAATATTGTGCAAAAATCATGATGTGATAGATTAGGTTGGCAATGGTCGAACTGAGAAGAGGAGTCCACGTGAGTGTAAAACCCCAGAGACAGAAAGCTAATTTATCAGAAGTAAATCATCTCATCTTCCATCAGCCATGGAACTTTCCGCTAGTTCGATGCTAGGGTGGGGTGCTCAAAATAGAAATACGAACGATGACCACATCGCGAGCTAAACTATGTGTTGTGCTGGGTCTACTTTCTCTTTTGCTCCACTTCCTTATTTGATCCACTTATAGTTCTGCTGCCTAAATGCTTCATGTCTGCCTAAACCTTACACTCTTTATATAAACACCTTAGATAGCTACCTTTTACAATGCAATCAATTCTCCATGACCTTCAGTACCCAATACCCTTTCAACCCAATACTATGATACGTAGATCCTTGACGGAATTAGTTTCCCTTGGCAATCCATAGTTGATTAAACGGCGCTCTAAACGTGACCTGGTTATTGCTTTTCTGTGGAATAATGCACCATAACCTCCCACGACTGAATAGGTTGACAACAATCAAAATTGAAAACGGTATATGTAAGTAGAAAAGTTGAAGTAAATTGTTTTTGATCAACCTTCCAGTCATTTGATTTCATGGCCATTTTTCACCTTCCGCCTGTCACCAATAAAAGCCAGAAATCATCTAAAGCAATGAAATGCAGCCTTGTTCACCTCCCATAAAGAACCCTCGATTGATTTCATCGAGAGGTGATCCTTGAAGCTACAATTGGCGCACCTATATCTACACGTACAGGGTATTTTTATGCAAATAAAGTAAATTCCCCCCAGGCCACGAAAGCCTTTCCACCAGGAGCCATGGAACAAAACAAAAGCGCCAGCATAACAGAAGAAACCGTAGGCGAAGTAACGTTAGGCCGTTTTTGCTCTTTGAAGGCCAAGAACAGCAACAAGGCTCTGTCTCTGAACTCCAGAGATGATCCGACACAATGTTGGACTTGTGAAGTCGAGGAGGCACCAGATGAAAGAGATCGGAACATGCGCAACACATATGTGGAGCGTGTATCAACTTTCTTTCAAGGCCCTGATCAATGTTTGTTACTTTTTCCGCCAGCAGACTTCGCTGCGGTCTTTGCTGCAAGCTCGCGCTTCCTGGCTTTTTTGTTCAACTTCTTCTGAGGTTTTATACTAGCTGGCGCCAAATTCGAAGCAGAACCGGTGGGTTTCGTGTTCGCTTGTTGGCTCTGGGCTTTCTTTTTCTTCTTTTGTTTTTTGCTTGATACGGGAGGACCTGGATTGGGACTATTGGCACGGCCTCTCTTTCTTCTGTTATATCCCATTGCATTCGGAAACTGATCTATAGGCGGATAACTGGGCGCGAGATTTGGCTGATATCCCTGAGAATACGGGTCCTGGATGTGACTTTGAACATTAAACCTCATATCACTATCATGGTAATCATGGTATTGGGGACGATACGAATCCTCATTGGGAGCCCTAGGGCCCGTTTTCGAGGGTTTATTGAAATGAATGTGACCATGTTGAGTCGAGGGTTTGTTGATCTTGGGACGGATGAAATCGGCTTCGTCGTCGCTATCTTCAATGGTAAATGGATCATTGGCCCTACCCTTGCCCTTGATACTGAATTCCTTCTGATTTGGCCTCGGGATTGAGTAGTCGACACCCGCAGAAAGAGCTCGATTTACGCTCATAGGATCGACATATTTTCGATGATTAGCGATAGACCACGTGTGGTGATCACTAGAGAGTGAGGAGCCCCTAGTCAATCCACAGGCTGGCCCATAATGACCGTCGGCCCCGCATTGATAACAATGTATGGGGATGTCACGAACGACCCTAATTTCTTCTTGTTTGGGTACAAAGCTCCGCCAGATGAAATGGCACTCTTCTTCCAAGTGTTCCTGGGAGCCACAAATCTCACATGAACTAGACTCTGCTCTCGCAGAAAGCTTTTCTGAGCAGTTCACAGTCTTATGGCCTCGTTGACGACACTTACTACAACGCAAACTGCTAGGGCAGGTGAAGGTTGAATGCTTTCCAACTTGCAAACAAAGCTCGCATGATAGAGCTGGACAGTTCCCAACCTTATGACCAGTGTCACCACAAGCAAGGCATCGGCAGATTGAATCATCGTTGCCATCTGCGGGAAAATATCTCCTCTGGAGTCTCATCTCCTCGGCACTGAGGGTAGTAGTAGCAGCCATGGGGGTTGCAGAGGACAACGCGTCAGTCATTCTAACATCTTCACCTTGTCCTTTCGTAAACTCGCCAGTGAGGTCAATGGTGATGCTCGTGAGAGAAACCAGGCTTTGGGGTTTGTCTGTTGGAGATGACGATATTCTCGAAATCTTTGGGAGAAGTGGGTTTTGCTGAACTTGAGCTGATGACTTGGTATCAGTTTTCATGACTGCGCGATCGTCTCTGGCTAATTCCATTGCCTCCTCAAATGTTAGATGACCAGCAGCTCTAGATGTTGCCAATAAGATTGGCTGGAGCTTAGGGAGATGAAAATACCAATTATTTTGGTAGCAATGGAAAGCGCTGCGAAGATCTCCAAGCTCCCAATTGCGAATGACAGCTAAGTTTTGTCTCAAGAATTCTGGCGCAAATATATTGAAGGAAAAGTCCTGGATTTTATACGGCATGCCAAGTTCGTTTAACATCAAGGGGGTCGCAAATGACTCACCATGATGTTGAAATTTCCGTAATTCTCTTGCAGGCGCAGGGTAGAACGTCTTACCGGTGTTGATCAGATTAGCAGCTGTCCATGAGTGAGGGAGAGGCCAGAATTTTGTGTAGGCAAGAACCACATCGACATCAGCTGTTAATGCTTCCAATGATTTGCTTCGAGTGCCAGCATTGACAGATTCGAATGGTTCTTCTTGGTGCATCTTCGAAGCCTCCGGAAGCGTTTTTTCAAGTGATACTGTAGGTGGCTCTGCTGGCACGCTCTCCAAGTTCGGTGCTTGAGGGTTACTGTTGGTTATGGAATGATCGCTTGCGGTGGAGAGAGGGTTGGGAGAATTGTTCGCAATCTCAATTTCCCTAATCTCGCCAACCACAAATTCCTTTGGCTGTGCGACTTGGGGTTGCTTGGACGATTTAATAGCACGCGATGACCGTTTACTGCCAAAAGAAGTGCGGAGTCCAGGCTGTACGCCGGAATTCCATCCCGAGGTTGAAGGTATTCGTCCATCTTGAAAAGAAGGTGATTGTGCATTATCCTGTCCAAACGCCGGAACACGATTCTGTGCTTGCGTGCCTGCTTGCGTGCAACCTTGTTCGGTATCAAAAGGATACAGCGGCGGTTGGTTCGTGGGCAAAGAAGTAGCCTTGCTTCGCACGGAAGAAGTATGAGGGACTTCCTCAACATTTCCATGTTGCTCAGTTGCAGCATCTTCGGTCTTGGAGCGCCCTTCTTCAGGTGTAGTCTCAGCCATTGTTGCAAGTGCACCCTCTCCCTGGGCTCCTGCGGATGCCGACTCTGGATGGTTTTCCCCTCCAATAGGTTGCGCACTACCAAGCTGCTCCCCATCCGCTCTACTCGACACGTCAACAGGTGGTTTTGAGGCTGTCGTAACAGTCTCGCCATCTCCTTTCGTTGCGCTGCAGGCAGGTATGGTGGAACTCTCGAGGGAATCTGGCTCGGAATTCTTCATCGCGAGCGCTTCTCCCTCATGAAGATCGCGCTTTCGGCCGACGAGCGATGTCCTCGAGTCATCCATGGTATCAGCATCGAGCTCCATCACGCCGCTATGAGGCCAGTTGCAGTAATGGTCATGCAGTAGTCAACTGCAATGCGATCGTCGTAGTCCGTTGACGTAGGCTTCGAATGGGATGGGATCCTACATGCAAAAAGAAGTTAGTTCTTGTTGGCGACCTTCGCACCAAATTGCTTGGGTAGCAGAGGCTGCGATCGACCAGGCAGCACTGGTACGAGTACTTGGTAGATATGCGCAGATGACGGCCTGCGCGGTGGTGGTGTTGACGTATGTTTGGTGGCGAGGAGACCGAGACACCAATTGGTGATGGTGATGGCTCAAAGATCAAGACCTCCCGTCGATCTGATGTCGCCCAGGGCTGAGGACAGGTGAATTTTATTCATTCATACCCACGCGAGCCACGCCAGGCACTTGAGCAACTCCCGTCCGACTCCCGATCCGTGCCCGCCAGTACAATCCCGGCAAAACCACGGCCCCGGCCGTCGGAGCCGAGCTGGACCCACTTTGGTGATGCAGACCGACGTGCAGAACCTCCAACCCAAGACTCGCCAGAAAGCAATCATCTCAACGCCCACCGACCTTCTCCTTTGCCCAATCCCAATCTTTGGACGCCTCTCAATCCAAGTATCACGACATAGTATCTCCTCACCCGCCACGGCGTGCTATCCCAAGCTCTTGTGAAGCTAAGCTTTCACCCGATCAACAGCCTCCCCTCCGTCTCGAAGTCCCAAGTGAGTTAGTTGTTCATCATTCCAATTCCCGGCAGATCAATCGTCCCAGTACTTGTACCTTCCCGGAACCAGAAAGGCCCAGAAACCCACCACGATCCGGTCCTGGACCTGCGATAGTCACTCCCTCACCAATTGCCTGTGCTAGCTGTCTTCAAACCAGATCAACACCCTTTCCTGCCTTCGCCGTGTTCATAGCTTGTGCTAACGTGGTACGTGGTGTTTGGTAGGACCATACCAGACTAGCAATCCAGTAATCTCTCCCAGCGCCTAGCGACGGCGTCACATACCCTATATTTCTCTCTTATCTGCGGCATACTCGAGCGCGAGACCCCCTGAAACCCATTGCCTATACGAGACATTGCCTGTGCAAACGCAGCGTATCCTCAAGATTCCGGCTTCGACTACCGCCAAACTGTCTTCCCCAATTCTCCTGCGTCGAACCGTCTCCTACGACGCGAGCTCTAAGCCTCCTCGGTCGAGTGGCCAGCATAGTGCGATGAGCGAGCATAAGACCGGGAGGCGAAGGCGGTCGAGTAGCTTGCTCTACCAAGAGCCGCCGGAGACGATTGAGCATATGAGTGATCAGGCCGCACTACCAAATTTGAATGCTGACTGGGTCAACGCAAAAGGTTAGCGCTTTCCTGAGGAGATGGTGGGATTGAGACGTTGAAATATCTCGGTATTATCCTTGAATTTTAAATCATTTACAAAATGCGGGGCATTATTTGATTCAACAGTGCTAACAGTTCTGGTGCTTCAAGGTGCATGGACGATACATGTAGTGTTAATTGCGTGCCTCAAAGTTCTTTTTGACATAATTCCCGGAGTTTCACAAGAGACGTCGTGGACCCTGACGAACATATCTTACATGTTCGGCTCATTCCTCATGTTTCATTGGGTTCGGGGAGTACCTTTTGAATTCAACGCAGGCGCATACGATAATCTGAACATGTGGGAGCAAATCGACAATGGAGCTCAATATACGCCAGCGAAGAAATTTTTGCTCAGTGTGCCTATTGTTCTATTTTTGTTGAGTACCCACTATACTCACTACGACTTGACCTACTTTACCATCAATTTTTTGGCTGTGTTGGGAGTGGTCATACCGAAGCTACCATACGTAAGCGCCCCACCGAGGCATCATCTAGTAAGCAAAACTAACTGATTCTCAGAGTCATCGAACCCGCGTAGGATTATTTTCTGGTGCTCCAGAGGACAGATAGAAGGAGAGTTGCATGGCGTTTGTACGATATTTTGAGTTTACCCCGTTGGTGTGGCCGACAAAATACACAATTGGCAGCGAATGCATAAAAGGGTGTATTTAAACAGGAAAAGAGTTATCAACTTTTGGCTACATGGAACATACCAATTTCACAAGAATGATAACATTTGTTTCTCTATTTTGTGATATGAGGACACCCAGGTGTATTTGCCGATGGTTGTGAGCTAGGTAAAATGTATGATGCAAATACTCATTTTTTTTATTAGCATTTTGATACAACGCTAACTATCCCGTAGTTTTTGTGATGTCAAGTCTTTCGCGTTAAGTCTTTCGCGTTAGTGAGTGGATCCTCATGAGAGGTTTCCTTATCTAATTCACATCCCCCCACAAAAAAGAAAAACCGTGAGTGAGCTGAGAAGGCTAGCTTTGATAGCCTCATCATACATCGCATCATTCATCGATGAGCAATGATTCTACCATATTTGAGAATGAAGCGTTTTTGGACTAAGTGCTAGCTAGGTTTTGTTATCAAAGTATAATAATTTATGACTTCCCTTTTCTTTCCTTTCTTACATCTTAATTTCATTTTTTCCCGTTCAGCCCAGCCCTATTGTTTTCGTTTTATTCAACCCAGTCACTCGCTTCGCTTCGCACAACATTTTCCACGATGCAATTCACCGGACTTGTTACGAGCGTTGCCCTTGCGGGTACTGCTCAGGCCTTCGCTTTGCCATATAGCGGATACGGCCGCCACGATGAGACTCCCGAGGTTTACAAGCCCGAGGAGACGTCATACGAACATCACCCTGAGTACCAGCCTGAGTATAAGCCAGAGTACCAGCCAGAATACAAGCCAGAATACAAGCCAGAGTACCAGCCAGAATACAAGCCAGAGGAGTACAAGCCAGAATATAAGCCAGAGGAGTACAAGCCAGAATATAAGCCAGAGGAGTACAAGCCAGAGGAGTACAAGCCAGAGGAGTACAAGCCAGAATATAAGCCAGAGGAGTACAAGCCAGAGGAGTACAAGCCAGAGGAGTACAAGCCAGAGTACAAGCCTACCCAAGCCGCTTACTACAAGGCTGAGGAAACCTCATACTCTGCTGAGTACAAACAGGAATACAAAGTAAGTGTTTACCGATTCATCTTACATTGTCAATATTGGGGGATCGGAAGACGCTGAATCTTTCTTTATCCTTCTACTTTTATCTTTTTCTTTTTTTGGGAGAGGAACGCTGACTTCGAATTTCTCGTAGCCTGAATACAAGCCAGTCGAGACTCCCTACTACAAGAAAGAGGAGTACAAGTCTGAGGAGTACAAGCCAGAATACAAGTCTGAGGAGTACAAGCCAGAGTACAAGCCAGAGTACAAGCCAGAGTACAAGCCAGAATACAAGCCAGAATACAAGCCTGAATACAAGCCTGAGGAGTACAAGCCTGAGTATAAGGCTGAGGAGTACAAGCCAGAGGAGTACAAGCCAGAATACAAACCTGAGGAGTACAAGCCAGAATACAAGGAGTATAAGCCAGAGGAGTACAAGCCAGAATACAAGGAGTATAAGCCAGAGGAGTACAAGCCAGAATACAAGGAGTATAAGCCAGAGGAGTACAAGCCAGAATATAAACCTGAGGAGTACAAGCCAGAATACAAGTCTGAGGAGTACAAGCCTGAGTATAAGGCTGAGGAGTACAAGCCTGAGTATAAGGCTGAGGAGTACAAGCCAGAATACAAGCCAGAATACAAGCCAGAGGAGTACAAGCCAGAATACAAGCCAGAATACAAGCCAGAATACAAGCCTGAGGAGTACAAGCCTGAGTATAAGGCTGAGGAGTACAAGCCAGAGGAGTACAAGCCAGAATACAAACCTGAGGAGTACAAGCCAGAATACAAGGAGTATAAGCCAGAGGAGTACAAGCCAGAATACAAACCTGAGGAGTACAAGCCAGAATATAAACCTGAGGAGTACAAGCCAGAATACAAGTCTGAGGAGTACAAGCCTGAGTATAAGGCTGAGGAGTACAAGCCAGTATACAAGCCAGAATACAAGCCAGAATACAAGCCAGAGTACAAGCCAGAGTATAAGGCTGAGGAGTACAAGCCAGAGGAGTACAAGCCAGAATACAAACCTGAGGAGTACAAGCCAGAATACAAGGAGTATAAGCCAGAGGAGTACAAGCCAGAATACAAGCCTGAGGAGTACAAGCCAGAATATAAACCTGAGGAGTACAAGCCAGAATACAAGTCTGAGGAGTACAAGCCTGAGTATAAGGCTGAGGAGTACAAGCCAGAATACAAGCCAGAATACAAGCCAGAGGAGTACAAGCCAGAATACAAGCCAGAGGAGTACAAACCAGAATACAATCCAGAGTATAAGCCAGAGGAGTATAAGCCAGAGTACAAGCCAGAGTATAAGTCGGAGGAGTACAAGCATGGCTCATACAAAACCTACCAGTACAAGCCACAGGCTAAGTACACCCCAGAGCCACAATACACCTCTCACATTGCCACCCCCACTTACATCGCTCCCGTCTCTTTTGCCTCTGAAATTCGCTCCGCCGTCACTACCGAGACAACCCCGGTAGATGAGGACAACGCTGCAGTTCAGCGACGTGGAGACTACCAGCCAGAGTACAAGCCAGAATATAAGGAGGAGTACAAATCTGTCGGGTACAAGCCAGAATACAAGCCAGAATACAAGCCAGAGGAGTATAAGCCAGAGTACAAGAAGGAGGAGTACAAATCTGCTGAGTACAAGCCAGAATACAAGAAGGAGGAATACAAATCTGCCGAGTACAAGCCAGAATACAAGAAGGAGGAGTATGAAACTGCCGAGTACAAGACCCCTGAGTATAAGGCTTACAAGCCAACTGCAACCCCATACAAGTTCGGTTATAAGCATGCTGCTACCAAGGGTTATTCTACATCTGCAGCATATACTACCCCATATGCTACTAAAGGGTATGCTGCCGAAAAGGCTTACGTTACACCTGCACCATATGCCACCGGGTATCCTGCTCAAGGATATGCTGTTGGAACTGGCGTAAGTGTATTCCATGCAACCTCTACAATGACTTACTAATTTTTTACAGTCTTACCAAACTATCGTTGTCACTGAGACCGTGACTGCGTAAGTTATACCCCCACGAATTCTTTTGCTATTTTTTCCGCTATTTGTCGCAATTTGTTTCAATTCCCCACCCGTTTATTCACAAAACTTGTTCATGGTTTTGCCTTCTCTTTGATCGTTTTTTGGCATCTTTACTGACCATGTACCCTCGCTTAGCCCAGATAACTCTACCCAAACCGTCACCGAGACCTATACCGTTCCATCTGCCTATCAAACCGGAGCTGGACCATACTCCAACAACACTTCCCCATATAACACTTCCCCGTATGACACTTCCTCATATAAATCTTCCTCATATAAAACTTCCCCATATTCTAACACCACTTCCTCAAACAATGGTGGATCAAGCGGCAATTCTTCTGGATCTCAAACCGGAGGAAACGGAGGTGCTCAGAACGGTCAGAACGGTCAAAATGGTCAAAATGGCCAGAACGGTCAGAACGGCCAGAATGGTCAGAATGGCAGCAATGGAGGATGCAAAACATGCCCTGGAAGTGGTAACACTTCGCCAGCTCCAGGTCCTTCAGGTGGTTCTTCAGATGGTTCTTCAGGTGGTGCTTCAGGTGGTGCTTCAGGTTCTTCAGGAAGCTCCGGAAACTACACTGCTCCATCCGGCCCACCAGCCCCATCCAACCCTGACTCTGGATCTGGATCTGGATCATCTGGATCTGGATCATCTGGATCCTCAGGCTCAGGCTCCTCAGGAAGCCCAGGCTCTTCAGAATCCTCAGGATCTTCGGGCTCTTCTTACCCAGGCAGCTCAGGAAACTCCTCCGCACCACTCACCACCAGCAACGGTGTTGCCATCGCCTCCACCTCCTTCGGTGCCATCGTTGCCATCGCTGCTGCTTTCTTCCTTTTGTAAATTAATCCCTGAACATCCCTTTGTGTTTTCTTGAAGAGCGGGTATAGCGAGCGAATCTTGTTACTTTAGCGTTTGATGTTCTTTTTTTTTTCTTCTTTTCATTTTCTTCTATTATTTATTTTATTATTCCCCATGGAGTTTGGATGGATGTATAGATAGAGTTAGAAAGGGTTGGAGAAAGAGACGGAAAACGACTGGGACCTGCATTCGTTATACCTTTCTCATCAAGTTGCTTGAAGGATAACATAGGCAGGGTTAGGTGGAAAGCGGTTGATCAGCATGTCACAACTTGAGATTTGACATAGAGGAGTTTGGCGTTCTGGCATCGGGGGTTTGGAAAAGGAGTTTGGAGTTCTGGCATTGGGAATCTTTTCAAGGCGCTTCTTTTTTGGGGGATCTGTCGGGCAGATCATACTTGGAATTACTTCCACCTTGGGTATTTCATTTGTCGGCGTTTTGGGTGTTGAGTTGGTTTACAAAAATAATCCTTTGGGTTTGGGGTTATTGGGTCTGGTTTAAATGGCGTTGGGATATAGACGGAACGGCGTTTTTGGAGTTTGGGATTTTCAGGGAGGGATCTGTTTTGTGAAGAGCTTGTGTTCTTAAAAACATTTACTTTATCGATGAGATAGCGTTGCCTCTGGAGAAGTAACAAAATAGAATCCCCTTCCTAGATTGTGCGTCCTTTCATCGGAGGTTGTGTTATTTATGCGAATTATGTGAATTGCTCAGGGAAAAAGTCTCTCAAGGAAAGGGTTTTTTTGCGTTAAAGGACATGTTTCCTAGGGCTCATTTACTTGCAAATTGCAATGGGAAGTATTTTTTGGTTTTGAAGAATTGATGAAATGCTCGACTTGCAGTTGTGTCTACTCTATCTTATCCTAAAACTCAGACAATCTATCTTTGTATCATTCCATCCAATAACATAGTTTGGTTTGTCGAACTTCTCCTAGATCTTCCGGTACAATAAATTGAATACGTTCTGTCTGGATAGAGAGGGTATTCGCCAATTTTCTAAAAGAAATATATCAACTTAGTATAATCACTGAATAAGAATTGATTGATGATTCAAGTACTCTATCCCTCCCAGAAAGTAGAAGTAGCGGAAAGACGTACTCTAGAAGTGGAATAAAAAGATCCACCTTTACACCATCTTCCTCGTATAGCAAAGTCATTTGGCAAACCAGACCATGTTTCTAAGTATTAGAGCCCCAATTTGACCCATCTCTCGCGTGTAATTATTTCCACTTACTAGAGTATACATTTTCTTACTCCCTCTAGTGTCTGCAAGGGATAAGTAACCACGCCAATGATGAGAAACATACCTGCCTAGCTACCAAGCTACCTATCAAGATGGTGATATAATTATCTTACCCACAAGGAGAGAAGGTATTAATATAGAAATATCTATCAACAAGGCTTAAAGGAAATAAATAAGTACAAATAGTGGTATCATACTCGACTGTATTACAAACCTAAGGAGTAGAAGCGTTCTAGTACTTATATTACTCGAACAAGTTGGTCTACGATATGACTAAGTGAATATCGCAACACAAGGAGAGATCCCCTCCGAGGCTTAGATCACCATTCACGTGGTGACAATGTGACATCCCCACTCGACTTTAACGAAAGTCCAATTCACCCAGTCTGTATACAGAGCTGTTAGTACAGTTCCCCAAGTCTCGAGGACAAGTCTCACACGTGTGCAACGCCAACCTATTCACCAATGACAATATCCCCCCCTAGGAGCCCTCGAGGCCAACCCGCCTCGCCTCCCGCGAAGCTACGATCGCGCCCATATATATATCCCCAAGCATCTGGGCTCGAAGCCTCTTTCCTTCTACCCAAAACCAAAACACACAACCATACCCAAAACACACCACAAAACCCAAAACAACACCACCACACCCAAAACAACGCCTGAGCGATACGTCTTGTCTATCTTGTGCTAATATCTCGAGCAGTTATCTCCTATCGAGACCTCGACGAGATTACTACACAAATCGCGAATCGCGAATCATCAGAACCCGCCTACTGCTGTACGACTCCCGATCGCCAAAGCCTGTCCTAAGAGAACATCTCGCCTTCGACATTATGTACCCACAAGAGTACGTCCAGCAAACTCTCCAAGCCTCGGAAGCCACACCCACGACACACCACCACCATTACACCGACTACCAGGGAGCACCAAACGTCCAGCCGACAATGAAATCTATCTATCTAGGCTGTCGACATGAGCTAGACTTGAGCGTGAGTCTTGGAGCTCTCAGTGTTGATGGCAATGAAAATATCCACATAGATAACTCTCGTCCAGGAGTCTCCATCCTCATCCATCCTCGTTGGTGTCCGAACTGTCTCCTCCATCGCCAACAAGCCATCCAGGAGAACTTCTCGAGGCGATGGACCATTCCACCACCAGCCGACAGAGAACAGGCGCGCATCCAGCAAAAGAACGCGGACTTCGCACGCGGAGTCATGGATGGTCGAATCCTGGCGTTGTCTGAGCCGATCGTTGACCACCCTGATCTTCTACTGACGGAACAGCAGAATGCTGAGAGACTCAATGCTAAAATTGAACAGAAGCTCGTGAATATGTTCGCTGCATCGAGTTTGGCTCCTTTTGATGAGGGATGGACTCCGCAAATGAGGGACATGGTGCAGTTCTCTCAATCCGATAAGCACTTCAAGAAGGGTATTAAAGAAGGGGTTGAGATACAACTCGATTTTGAGAAGAGTGTATTGGAGGCGAACACAGAGGGGGAGAGGGAGATGAGATTGGGGAACGCACTTTATTAAGTGTTTGGGGAGGCGGGAAATGGAGGTGGAGGAGGAACCTTAGGGGCTCTGGACTGAGAAGGAATCCCAGCTCTTGGGGACGCTGCCTCATCTACCATTTCTTTGGTTTGGTCTAGATTTTACTTTTGATCTGAGGGGGGATATTTTTGAAGAGTTCTGGGGAAGTATCTGGTCCTGTACACGTCTTTCTAGCTTAGATTAGGATGACCCAATGAAATGAAATGCCAATTCCCATATCTAGCCTTGATATTAATTGCCGTGAAAAATAGAAACGTAAGTAAACATTGTAATCAGAAAACCCCCCGTAGACTTATTACTATTGTAGATATGACTAAACTAAAACAGGTTCTATTTATCTAACACGTAGATTTAACCCCCTCTTAGTAACATAATACCGATATATTCACAAAAACAGGTGTAAAAAACTTCTAATATATTCTCACTTAGTATAGATAACAGAGCACCAATAAGAACTAATAAATTCGGGATCTTTACTTAAAAGCCTTAAGTAATTATAATGTTCCAGAAACTTGAATAAATCAAGTGAATTAAATAAAGAAATAGGTAATACAAGTAGAATAGTATCTTTATTTATTCCACATTCCGTGTAAATTATCTACTTAAAATTGATTACCTAAAATATTTTAAGAAAATAAATTTGTTTAGTCATAGACATAATAACTCCTACTACAAAAATAACATACTTACATTTTACAAAATATCCCACTATGATCAGAATACTGTACTACAAGTAAATCAATTCACTATAATCCAAACCAATACAAAAACCCCATACTTACTCACACACATAGTATACCAACAACCAAAACACCGAGTGGGGATCAGCAACAAACCACAAACCGCACCGTAAATCACCACAAGAAAGAGTTCGTATAAACACACACCCATCTAGATCCCAGACATGGAACACTCTAAATGACGTCGCAGAACCCTCACTATCTGCGAAAAACAAGCTAAACACACTCAATCAAAACCTAATCACGGATAAGATCCCGACGCGTCGTCAGCGGTGCTTAGAAACTCTGTAATACCGTACCTAGGTTTTTTGTCGTCGAGTTTATACTCACAGGTGTTTCCACCATGTGCACCAAGGTGGATCAAGTCTTATTCACACAGGCCTCATTCTCTTGTACTTTGTACAAGTTTCAAAGGAGACGCTAGTATATAGTTCTCGTTCGATCTCCTAGATAATAGCTCCTCAGTTCATTCCATACTCTTATTTTGGAGTTATTCTGGAATTCTCGGCATTCCACATACCTTTCAACATTTTTCTACTGTGGTCTATGGACTTTGACGAGGATGGGATATCGCAGTAACTTGACACGGGTTTCTTTAAGAGGAGAGGAAGCTATGAAGCGCTAGCATATACATATGAGTGAAGAGCAGTACTATCCAGGTACAGATCTCCACATTCTAATGACACATCATTACAGTACAGTACTATAACTTAAATCTCCACACTACGACCGCGGAACCAGCTCCCTACTTCCTAGAATAAGAACTAGTGAACTATCTTATCCACAAACTTAACTTGGGGATCCTTGACCCCCAATGGGAGAATCAGAGTTGGAACACACCGGGTAAAAGTGTACTTGGTAGTATAATAAGCGAGCGTGGGGTAAATTCTTCGAGACTAAGTAACTCAGTGAATAGAAAATAGGGTGATTTTGCCAACGGTATTAGTTCATGAGCGTATGGATAATTAGGTCTATAACTTATTAACAGGTTTGGCAGGCGTATTTTAGTGACGAGTTAGTAAGTTAGTATAAAATAAAGAGAACGTAAGGACGGTTTCTTATATAAATACAAATACGAGGAGTCTGTTCAAAATACAAAGGCTTATATCGCTCGAAATAGGCTCAATTGAAGACTAAAAAGTAGGATAAACTATGAATTAACTTTTGTTAGTACTAATAACACTCAAGCCTCCTGGAATGGCGCTTGTTAGTTTCATAGTATTTGCACTGATATTACACGGAACTCGTCCACTTTTTAGTATAAACCTAATTTCTAAAATCTCACTAAAAACCGCTGGCAAAATCACCCTAATTAACACTTCACCTATCTACACCTCTACCTCTCTCTCCTCTCTCCGGCAGAAAATCAGAAGAGAAAGCTAACCTATACCATACCGCCAAAACCCTACATACCCGGTTTCCACATCGCGTAAAGGGGGTGGACAGTCAATGCCGGACACTATCACGTAGATCATATATAAAAAAACTCTACATCAGCCAGATACGCGTCTATTATTCGCTGGTTCATCTAAAAACCAGGGCCAGTGACAGTGTCCAGCTTCAACTGTCCACCCCGATACGCGAGCTATCGCTGTATCAGATATCTACTTCAAGCCCGCCTTGGGGTAAACCCAACTCTAACTCTAACTTAGCTCTACATAAAGTTTAGAAATGATCCGATGGTGGACGGAAGCTGGAATCAAGGGGTGGGGTTGGGGTGTATTTGTAGTAGGAATAAGCAGTTTGCAGATAGTTTGGGATAATGGTTATTTAATATAATTAGTTATCCTTCATTCTCTGCTGTTTTGATTCGTACCTAAGTGGAGGTGAGTTGGGTGAGTAGAGGACGTGGAGCCATGGCATGGGTAGTAATATTATATACTTAGAGTTTACGAGATATCTTCCTTTAGGTTTCTTTTGTAGGATATGAAACTAGGTAGGTACTATCCATACTAAATATCTACTTACTTAGTTAAGAAGATGAATATTCCTCCTCGTATCTATCTCTCTTTATACCTAGATATTACTAAGACTAATATAAATCCTAATTAATTATTAAGAAAAAGGTAGGCAAACGGAATTAAATAACCTTCTCGTAAATCGTATTCGTATAATCGTCTATTCGGTCGGTAAGATATATTATATATTAACTTAGGAAATAAGTAATATATCTTTATACTAGCTAATAGTCTTACCTTAACGTTATAATAGATTCTTATAGGTCCCTTTCTATTATAGAAGGAAAAGAGGGATTAGGAGTAGATAAAGAGCGATATTTATTTATTTATTTATTGCTATTTAACGTCAAGCGGAGTCTAGCTCGCGTGGGCTAGGTCCTAGAAGAGTCCCAAAATAGGGCAAATGACGCTAGGGGGGTGCCCTAGGCTACAGGGGGGTGTAAACGAAAGAGCTAATTTACATGAGGCAGTTTAAAGAGAAGCTCCACTTTCGGAACAGCTCTTATCCTTAATTAGTTTAAGAACCAGGGTAAAACAAAGGAGATTGTGAGGGTTAGAACCCATAGTGGGGCTCGGGCCTAGAGCCCTCGCTAAGCTAAGCGACCCCGCCTCTGGAACGCCATGGAATAAGATAGAATGCTATGACGCAGAAGATTGGTAATACTATGGAACAGTGTTGAATGCAATGGAAATGCTACATTTAGTATAAGAGTAGAGGAGGAACATGTATTTACAGACCACGTAGTTCTTAATTGAATATTGAACCCACACCTTTGAGTTGTTCGAGGTCTGGCCTCTCACAGAGATATATAAAGAAAAAGGAAATAAAAGAAGGCCTGTCTATCTAGAGAGGCAGATCTTAGTGTAGAATTCAGTATTGAAGTAAACCTTGCTAAAGAGCTCTTCGCAGTGGGATCCGAAGAGCAGTTGAGGATTTCTCTTAGCCTTAGCTAATAGCTTAGGTGCTTTGTTGTTTGCTAGCTTGCAAAAGAGTAGGTGGAATTGAGACTTAGCCTTCCTGCACCTATACTCTCCCCCGAGGTGAGAAGTGTATCATAGTGAAAGAAACGAAGGTGGTAGGCGGTGAAGTCTCCATGGCCAGAACGAGCAGCTATTAAGCGGGCTAGGACCTCTCTAGGCAGCTGGAGAGACCGGGGTTTCAAGGACCAGTTGTAGAGCCCTAGATCCTTGTAAAGACCTGGAAGTGTAGTGCTCCAGAGCTTCTTCGCAAGCGTGCCCCCTAGCTCCTTTACCTCTCTCTTAAGCGTGGCTGTACAGAGTAGAGAGGGGGAACCAGGAAGAAGTATCCGCGCTGCTTTTCCTGCAGCTTTATCCGCAATCTCATTGCCAAGGATACCTATGTGGCTAGGACACCACCTTGTCTGTATTTTCCCAGGGTACGATTGAGCTAATTCGTAGACCCTGTTAAATGTCTCTTGTGAGGTGCCACAGGACCGGTAGGTCAGCTGTAGTGTGGCTTCAAGGTTGTCAAGGCAGATCCAGCACTTCCTTGCCGAAGGCCAGAAAGAGGATTCTAGGGCAAGCTCTAGGCCATGGAGAGCAGCTCTAGCTTCTGCATCATATATTTCTAACGCTTTGCCGAAAGAGAAGCTCTTTGTATTAAGAACAACCCCCCCTCTTGTGAGGCACACGCCCCCACCAGTGCTTTTATCGTCCAAGCGAGAGCCGTCGGTAAATACTACTAAGTCGGTAGGTGGGAGTGTAGCTAAAAACTCAAGGAATTTGGCCTTAAAGGAGCTCTTGTCTCCACTGGGCTCAGGTCCTGCTACCTCTAGAAGCCGGGATTGTCGGTTGAAACCTCTGTCCCACGGCGGGTCTTGTATAGGGTCGATCTCTTCAGAGGGGGGCAGGGCTCTATAAGAGCGGTAGATAAGCCTAGCTTTAGAGCTAGGGTTATTTACACATCGTTTAAGCGGGTGGGTAGGGTCTAGCCGTCGGATCCTAGCTTCTAGTGCTTCGCTCCTTGTTATAAGAGCAATTTCAGAGGCTTGGAGGCCAGATTCCATGAGTAGTACCGAGGTAGGGGTAGTCTTATATACTGGGAGGGTAATCCTCGCACATTTAGCCACTACTCTGTCTAAAAGAGTCAGGTGACGGCCAATTCGGTTGTTTGTAGTCCCTCCTTCCTTGGCTCTGGCTCGTCCAGGGAACCAGG